TTTATCCCCATCTGTCTAAACTAAGGTAAAAGTTAGAACTTGTCTTGTGGAAATCAAAACTAAGTTACATTTCTGGGTTCAGAGTCCAGAGACACCAAACCGATTAGCAAATGTGTAGATATTATATGGATTGATACCTATTGCATACGATGACGTGATGCTTCTTGTCAGCATTACAGAAGCATATCATCGCTAAAGCACTTATTCTATTCTTAGGGGCGAGTTCCAATTTATTATCATATCCAGGGTTGGAACAAAACAAAACGGAGCATATAATTCGGCTCATGCTTAAAAGTACCGACCGGTAAGTTGGCACATGACGTTTTCGTAGGGTACGGTATAAAAATTGAGTTTGCTGATTGTGAAAATGGTAATAGGAGTATAAGAATAAGTCAAGGATTCAATTCCATAGTGCTAATCGAAGAAGTCGTAAATCATTTCCTCTCCGGTGTAGATTTTGTACATCAAAATTGGATTTTCTAAGCGATTATTCGACTTCCACTTTGTGGGCGAAGTAGCGGATGATCTTTGTAGGGGCGGTCTGTTCGATAAACCAAACATTTTGTCAAGAGGAAAATTTTTCTGTCAAAATCTTAAGTTATTAAAAAAGTTGGTTGCACACTCATGTTTAAGAGATTTTTCATTTTTAACAGAATTTGTAAATATTCACCCTCAAAGATTTGTAAAAGATGTAACCGATAAAATACTGAAGGAGAAACTATAAAATAGTTTAATGATAAATTTGTTGTTAATATATACATAGGGAAAAGAAAAGCAACATTTTCAAAATGTTTATTTATTTTCGCAATAGGTACATGAAAATCTTGTATTTAAATTAAATTTTACGTACTATATAGTAAATGGCTCATTTTCAATTAAAACATCATGCAAAATTATACAGTAAGCGGAGGTGTCTGCTGCAAATGATTCAATTTCCAGCTTCAAGTCGATAACCACATTATGAATAATTACTTTCATTGTGACGAGTACAGTTGATTACGAATATTGGCTGTCTTTTAAACGCCACTTAACTGAGAAGATAACCACTTTCAGAATCGTCGTATTGCGTTCGATAGTTTAGATATTCCTCGTAGGCATCTATATACTTGATATCCGAGGAGAGATTTTGCTGCTTATACGGGTACCTTCTGTTGTTGACGTTTGGATTTAATCGAACCGGTCCAATCCGGTCGTTATCCAAGGGCTTTGCCCATCAGGTCCACCAGCTTTGCTATCAGATCCAACAGCTTTGCCAACTGGTCCATCAGCTTTTCTAACTAGTCCATCAGCTTTCCCAACTTGTCCATCAGCTTTGCCAACTGGTCCATCAGCTTTGCCAACTGGTCCATCAGCTTTGCCAACTGGTCCATCAGCTTTCCCAACTGGTCCATCAGCTTTGCCAACTGATCCATCAGCTTTTCCAACTGGTTCATCAGCTTTGCCAACTGGTCCATCAGCTTTGCCAACTGGTCCATTAACTTTGCCAACTGGTCCATTAGCTTTTTCAACTGGTCCATCAGCTTTGCCAACTGGTCCATCAGCTTTGCCAACTGATCCATCAGCTTTGTCAACTGGTCCATCAGCTTTTCCAACTGGTCCATTAGCTTTGCCAACTGATCCAACAGCTATTCATCAGATTTGCGACTCGGTCCAACAGCGATTTGAACCAGTATCGGTTTGTAAATCTTGTTATGATCACGTTATTCTATTTATAATTAAACCTATAATTGTTGGAAATTGGTTACACAATTTAATATCGCCATATACCATTTGCATAGCCCCCGTTCTACAAATATAAATGGCCAAAATGCATATTACCCATTATACTTCATCAATATACCATCAGACCAAGTATAAGGAAAAGCCGATTTCATTCGCAAATTGTCACTGAGGTGGAAGAAAATGCGCCAGCTCCGCTTACATTAGAAGCAATTTGCTATTATCACATAATCTTGCCATTGCGCTTTACTTAACGTTAATACAATACTTATGTACTGCAGTAATTTCTAATAAAATAGCAATAATAGTTATTTTGTACTTTATTACAATTAATACATCTTATTACGAATATAATACAGGCTCCAAACAGCTATAATAACTAGTAAGCAACAGGTTCTGATTTTATAAAATTCTACTATTTTTCTTCATTTTGATTTTCTATCCCACTTTCCTCTTTCTGTTCATCTCCCACACTTTCCCCGTCACTTTTTTCGTTGCCGGTACCTCGACCTTCCCAATTCTTCAAATCGTCTACATATTCTTCTAGTGCAGCCTCACGGAGCTTGTGTATAAGATAAGATAAACAGTATTTACCTTCTAAAAAACTTTCACACAACTTAACACCTAGCCCATATTTTTCAGCAAGAGCGTTACATTCTTCTTCAGAATAATGTCGACCTAGCCCATACACGGCCTCGTGCATAGCATCGAACTCCATAGCAGACAATCGTTGCATTACTCGTTCAACCCCTGTGCGCGCATCGACGGGTTTCGTCCAACGTTCAGCAGCGTAACACATCCACATCTCGTATTTACACTAACTTAGTACACTTAACTTTTACAACTTAAGTACCTTTGCCATCTCCACATCAACGGTTACCACTCCACTTCCAACATGATACCAGCATTGTTACAGTAAAGTGTCATTAACCCTAGAGAGGTGAAATTTTCCATAATCATCGGTCATCGGCAGGAACCACTGATCGTCCATATTCAGAAACATTATGTATGGCATTACTATACAGTATTACGTTGTGAGAAACAGGTGTCGGACGTGTTTGCTTGATTTAAAGTGACTCCCAGAAATGTCCTAGGTCCGAAAATATTCTAACACAGTTTTTCAGGTCGGAAACGTTTATGCTTGTTTAGAGCATGCTAAATATTTGTGGTGTAACAGTTTAGATATCCGGATGAGCTGTTTTTCTGTAATTCCCATGATTGGTTTACCCATTAATCCTCTAATAGATATGTAGCGACTAGCGAGACCTTTACTTTTGTAACTTTAAATAATTCCGTGGAAAGTTTGGAGTACCATTTTTAAATCTGGCGGACCTCATTACGTATTAGATTCACTAGATACAGTTTGATAATACATCTATCAACATATTGTTTGGTGGCAATATCGCTATCCCAATACGGGTGGATAACGTTACGAATCCTCTTATTTTGCATAAGTTCCCATCACTACCTACTTACCTAATTCCACATGAACTTTTGCACATTCACCCGTCTTCTGATCACTGCGGATCCTATTTCTCGATGATTAATGACATCCAAATTTGTCGAGCCTCGGGGGAAAATTTTTGAGGCTTTTTCAGTACAAGCAATTCATACAGCCATGGAGTACCGCTGTAAATTTCATCGGTCCGTCAAATGTCACATTATCCTCTCCATTTATAACCCATCGTATCAAAAGCTATAAACGTGGTCAATATCGTTCTTTTGAGCGGCTTTTTCATCAAGTAGTTGTGATAAGTTAATCGTTTCAGTATAGTATCCTCTTTTTCATTTTCATATTGTTTCTTGTTACTATACGTTGTCACTAATTTCATTAGTTTCGATAAAATTGAGACGTTTAGCAGGTGTGATCTGTACATTTTCTGCGGGCTATGGTGTTGTAAACTGCTCTTCTTCTTCTTAAATAGCAGTCGATTCATATTCAATTTTATATTCAATTTAATTTAATATCAATTTAGGTATTTTGAGTTCTTGCTGAGCTAACCATTCGCCCATATGAATAAAAAGAAGCATATGCTTATACTTGCAAAATTCAAAGTAAATACTCGTATGTGCCCCTTCACACTGGGCGACTTAGCAGCGCTGGTTAGCCATGAGACGGGACGCAGTGCAGAGCTGCTGAGCGGCGCAGTGTGAAGGGGCACTTACGAGTATTTCCTTTGAAGAGACAATGATTGCCATGGATTTTATGCTACGCTTAAGCTAAGCTCCGCCTAAATTTGACGGTGCAAACGGCCATTAAGTTGCTCTACTATTGGCTTATATGTTGTTTCAACAAACGTCGAGTTTCAATCTCACCTCCTTTAAACACTTGATAGTATTGCGGGTCTTAGTTAGTTTCTGCTTCATCGCTTTATCTCTTGCGTCCATCTTTATAACAGAATCGATTAACAGATTTTGGAACCGGTACCAGTTCAAATAACTATTGGACCGGATTGCTAATCTGATGGATAGCTGTTGGAACGGTTGAAAAACCCTGTTGAGCAAACTTGCAAAGCCTTTGGTCTTTCACCATACAGATGAAATTATACTTATGGACCCAGCACTTTAAAGTTCCACCGCTTTGGGACCCGGTCCAACCATTATTTGAATTTGAACAATTGTGCTGAATACTGGATTAAAAGAGAGTAATTTACGATAAAAATGGTATCTTTAACAATTCCAGAAAAAAAAAAAAATTAATTACGTTTTAAGTATTGCGTATTGCGAGTATCTAGAACTACTAATATTCATTTGTTGCTGGTATAGAAATTTTAGTTGGGTCTACTTGCTTCGAATAACTGACCAATCAATCCCTTAATTTGAAATTGAACTGTTCGCACTGCGCTCACGAACTCCGATTTGTTTAACGCCTGCGTACACTTGCAACATCAAGGGCAGACGTAATCTCCAAACATTTTGTCTGTATTTCGCTCGAGTCATTAATACTTTTACAATTAATTAAGAAGCGGGTTCACCTTTTTCGATAACCCTGTATATTGGCGAAATGGTTATTTGCGCTGTCATAATGGTAATCAGCACAGATTACTACTTCAATAGCGTTCGAAAAGCTTGAGATATTAGAAAACAATTGAAAATCTTCTCTCAGAGGGTGAGGAAGAACATTGTATAAAATTCACCGTGCGGTATTTGAAAGCATGAATATGTACTACATATTGAGCAAACTTGACCAAACAATCCTTTAATTCGAGTCCACATTTTTCGATGACCATGTATACCTATAAACAAAATGATTATGTTGTGCTGTCATAAGTTTCCCGGGTGTTGTAGATAGGAACACTTTTATGATAACAATATGAAAAAATATTTATTTCTATATACAATAACTACACATTCATTTCGTAGAGCCTACGCAGCATCTCTTCAGTCTCTAGTACGTTAGCGCGCACAGTTTCCAAATTTCTGATAGTTTCAGCCAGCTCATCCGATAACTGTGTGGTCAACGTCTCCAATACCACTTGTCGATGTTGGTAGCTTCGGTGAAGCTCCTGCAGCCATCGCATGCTGTGCTCCTTAACCGCAATTAAATTCACTGGTGGGAGCAGCATTTGTTGTTCAGCATGCGTTGAGTGCTGATGATGAAGGTGATCCGGATGCTGCATTTGTGGTGGTGGTGGTGGTGGTAGACGTTGATCCGACGCGGGACGGGTCTGGTGACTCTCAAGATTTCCACTATATTGTTGAGGTGTATAAAAAATGAACGCTATTAATTACTATGTACTTACTGCACTCCCGCAAATTCGTCTTCTATATCGCTATCAGCAATATATATGACGTTTTCTGACGTCCTTTGTTGAGCGGTTGCAGGTGACCCATGATGTTGGCTACCATCAGTTGAGGGTAACCTCAAGGTTGACGGGTGCACTAGCAAATCCTGCACTATTTGAATTTTCTTCATTGAAGGGTTCTGGGACATTTTCACTGTTCTGTGGCGCCTTTACGATTACGTATACGACAGTTATAGGTATTCGTGTAAGAAGTTCACTAAGAATGTTAAATCGCAAGTTCTTCAATTTAAGGCCGATTCTCACTTTCGTGCAAAGAACCGGCTCGGCAACGGTACGGCACAGACTCGGCACGGGCAAAGTTTTTTGAGTTCAATTCACACTGCGACACGCTTGCCGCAGGTAAGCAGTTTCTACGTGAGTTTCAACTGTGGAAATGTTCGAAACTTCCACGTTAATTAAAATAGGTCTAATATTAGATGACGAAGAACAAGAAAGTACATATTGCAGAAAAATAAAAATACGTTTTTGTGTATATAAAATGCATAAGAAGTATCTTTTATGACCGAAATCATTCTCTCGGACACATTCAATCAGCATCTCATCTTGTTCCGCTGAAAAAGTGTTCCTTTGCTGACCCTTCAACCTTTCTTGTACTATGAAAACTGAACTAAAGTCGGTGACCTGCACAGATTGTATTCACACTTGTCGGAACGTGCACGGTACATGCCCGGCAAATATTGTTTCAGAAGAACACCGTGTGCAAAGGCCGTAGCTTGCCGAGTCGTTGCTCGCATAGTGTGAATTACACCCCAAAAAATTCATAAGATTCAATAATATAGATATTTTGCCGAGTCGATGCCTTGCCTGTGCCGAGTACGTGCCTTGCACGAAAGTGAGAATCGACCTTTATTATGCAATAGGGTTGCTAACGTTAGCAAGGTGATAGTAATTCTCTAAGGGTAATAACTAGCACAAGCGGATGTGGTGAGTTCGCATAAAAGAAAAAAAAAATTGGTTATTGGCTATTGGGTTATTGATCTATAAGTATGTGTAAAAGTCAATGATTTCTTCGTTCGAAATTCTATATTCTCTAATTGGCTTGAAATATTTTTCAATAAAACAAGACGACTTATTGTTTGGGGAAGACAACATCTTGTTTTGTTGATCGATGATTTTTTATTATTATCATGTAATAACACGGTCAACGACCCCCGAAACATTAGACGATGTTAGTTAAGGAATAGGTGTTGGCACCATCGATATCTTCCAAAATGCGTTGGAAATTACGTGGAATAATAAGTCAACTCTGAATTTGATCATTCCTTTAATGTTATAAACTTAGGTACCGGATTCATCACCGTTCATCTTATACATTCCTACGTCCAGCATATGGACATTCTAGTTAATCCCTTACAATCCGTACATAAAATAATTTTGTTTTGTTTTGCTTCAACCCTCGATATAATTATAAATTGCAACTTCTCTAAGAATATGTGCTTTAGCGACGACATTCTTCCGTAATGTAGGCAACAAACATCACTTTATCGTATGGAATATAATCAATCCCCTATTTATACCGGTTTGGTACTTTCTCCGAACCCGGAAATGCAACATGTTTTGACTTCCCTGTGAACTCTTTCATAATTGCATCAATGGAAAGGAAAGCCAGTTTCCCATCCCTCATGCATGTCATGTAGGTAACTATTGCTTCTAAAACAGATAAACACTGATTTTGGAACAAGAGCCGGGTTAAGAATTGTGAAGAATTGAAGAATTTCGAAGTATTGAAGTGGAAAAGTATAATTACCAACTTATTGGAACCAAGCAAGAATGGTCAAATACGAGGTCAAATACGTATAAACCCCCTAGCTTACTAAACAATTATTTATTTTTTAGTAGTATTGATTTTAGGGCTGCTGCAATAAACAGGCCAAAATATTGTACCCTTGTGGGCCCATTGATATTTATTACATAGTGCTTACAACAACAATTAGTTGTAATTATATCATATTCAAATTTCCATCGTTTCTTATTCCGAAATAAAGACAATTCTCCTGAAACTTTCGTCAACAGTTATCAAAGTACACTAAGTGTTCATTTATTTATTGCGGCCCGTATACATTTCAAATACGATTTCACCTTTGAATAACTGAATAACCTGATAAGTTTGGGCGTGATTGTTAATTAGAGATCAGCACGCGCTTAATATAGACCTATCTACATATTTCCATACCCGGTTTTGATTTCTCATTGAGCTCTCATAATTGCAGCAATTGAAAGGAGAGCCAGCCTCATAAGCCAGGTTCTAACTTTTACCTTGATTTGGACCAGATGGGGACAAAAGACAATTTATTATAAAATTGTAAAAAGTAACGTCTAAATTTATACCATACGGGGATGATTTCATCCCAAATTAAACTTGATAATTCCTAATTTGAATTTGAGTTGAAATTGTTAAATCTCAAATTGGGTTTGTTTTGTCTCAAATTGGGCTTAAAATGGTGTAGTGGAGGTACCCATAAAGTGGTCCTATTTTTAATTTATAGGTTTTTCTAATAATTATAGTTATACTAGAAAACGACACCGTTCTCGCATAAAAGCCGATGAAACGGAAATATGTGAATATTAGGAAAATGTTAAGTTTACAGTTTAATAGTTCCTTAACCTGGCTCCACATTTACCTACACGGCAAACTAGAAAAACGGCGGCGTTGACGTTGACTACCTATTTTATGGAAAGTGCACTTTTGCAGTTTTAGATAACGCTTATGCCTACTAGCCTCATTGAGTACGCATACTTCATCATGACTGGTAGGCAAAATCAATTTTTTTCCATTTTATCCAAAATTTAATAGATGCAATTTCAGATCAAGAAATTGAAGTTGTTTGCGGAGCTATGCAGACCGAGAGAGGTAAATATATCCGTATATTATACGCTTTAACCGTATATTTTTATAGAAAGGGAACTTCGCAACCAAATAATTGCGAAATATAAATCAGTAAGTACTTTACATGAATCATGACATATTGTTAATTTTCTATAATATAGGAGAATGTAGCGATAATTCGCGGTTTGGGGGTAATCCTCTCAACAATTAAAATGGAAGAAGGGAGGCATAAAGATATGTGGTTCCAGGTCTATAAAGACCTGGACCTATACAATACTTTTTGGGTATTTTATGTAAGTAGCTAACCGCTTTAATAATGTCACGCTTCAATCTGTATTTATTCTTTCAGATCTAAATAAATACCTAATTTTGTTTTTGTTTTTCCTATACAGTCCTACACATGATTACCAGCATATGGACGTTCTAGTTAATTCCTTACCTAAAATAATTTTGTTTTGTTTTGTTCCAACCCTGGATATGATAATAAATTGGAACTCGCCCCTAAGAATAGAATAAGTGCTTTAGCGATGATATGCTTCTGTAATGCAGGCAAGAAGCATCACGTCATCGTATGCAATAGGTATCAATCCATATAGTATCTACACATTTGCTAATCGGTTTGGTGTCTCTGAACCCAGAAATGCAACTTAGTTTTGATTTCTCTGTGAACTCTTTCATAATTACAACAATCGAACGGCCGGCCTCACAAGACAAGTTCTAACTTTTACCTTAGTTTAGACAGATGGGGATAAAATAGTATTTATTATCAGAAAAAGTAGCGTCTAAATTCATAACATTCGGGGATGTTATGGTGTTTTTCTACATTAATAGTTTGCATGAATCAGGCTACATCTTCATTATTCAAACCACTCAATCGGCCGGTTGCAGGAAATTATTTCCAAATCTGAGTTTAAACAAGAATTTTGACATTTGATTGGCTGCATACTACAGTATAAAGTCAATCAAAATGTCTTAATACCGGATTAAACAATAATCCTGGATTATTTTATTTTTTGTGCAACTGGCCGAATAGACTTTATTTAAATTAAGGGAAATTAATCCTAAAGTGCTGCTTAAAAGTTATACCTACATCGGTAAAAATCCCTTTCTTGATGTTTTAAAGCCTCATACATCCATCACAGTCACCATCCTGGTGTCGAAAGAAGACTGGATATTGGTTTCCAAACTAGTCTTGGTGGTACGATCAATGTCGGAAGTTTCGAAAACTAGAATGCATGATTTTCTATTATGCATCATCAGATGTCATCTCATACAGGAGAGTATCGGTACCTATGTACAGCAATTTCAACCGGTCGTCGCTAAGTTTTCGGTTACAGTTGAAAATCGTACATTCTAGTTTTCGAAATGTCCAAAATGAGCAGCCCATGATAATAATAGTTATAATAAGTTTAATTATAAATAGGATATTATGGCCATAATTTTGGGGCTGGGAGCCATTCCCCGATCCACTTTAATTGAAAGCAGAGTATATAGGGGGCTCAGGTTCGTCGTTTTTATGGATCTGGAATTAGATCGTGCTTCTTGGATTATCTATGTTAGTAGCTAAATGCTCTAGTAATGTTACGTTTCGTTATTCTTTCAGATATAAATAAATATCTAATTCTTTGTTTTGTTTTGTTTTTTGCTATCCACTCCCGCATACGATTGGGAGCATCATTTCAAGGATCTCACTAGCGATAATAAATATTTACAATTCTTCCTAAAATTCAACCATCTTGATCTTCCACGAGAGAATCTTCGGTACTTAGGCAGACAGAACAAGAGTTCTAGAATTAATTTAAAGTTGCATAAACAAACACATACTAATTCTTAGCGGTCATAAAGATTGACATGTTAGATTAGATAAATGTTTTTTGTATAGGTAATGAGGCCCCCCCCCCCTTTAAAAATTTCACATAAACCATATTAGCTTTCCTTGCGATACGAGACAGGAAATTGTATGGCAAATAATTTGCTTGCTTTGCGAAAAGACACATGAAATTGGTTTCTCGCATTATAAGCATAATTTGTAACAAAAATCTAGCGCAGTTGACACAAAATAAACTTGCTTACTTTGCGAAAAGATAGGGGAAATTGCTTCCCGCAGTGTTAGCATAAATTTATAATAAAAATTGAGTGCTGTTGACATATGCCGCGATCAGTGTTTCGGACCGAATCGGTAATCGGCAAGTAAGATTTTATCTTAAATTTCTATGACTAAAAGTATCGACTACGTAATTGATTTCTACACTTTTGTTTTTCTTATAGATATACAATAATAATGGAAGAATTTGATTTCGCTTCCCTGAACTCGTCGACCTATTGTAAGCCATTCAAAAATGTAAAGGATATGGAAATTGGTGAAAAATACCGAATTGTTGATATCGGCGTGATTGGTACCAAGTTTGGAGATCGAATTGTGGTTGAAACCGAAACCTTCAAGTGCATACTGCCCCAACGTTACCATACATACTTCGAAGCAGAAAATCGACTAGAGTGCTTCCAAACAACCCTAGCAAATAAAGTTATATTTATAACTAGTATGGGAGCTGCAGGTGTAACGACTAATGTACAAATTGTAGTTACATAAAAATTACCTACCCATAAGGCATGTAGTAAAGTTTAAATATGAATAAATGCGTTACAGTTTTCTACCATTCATCCTTACGACTCACCCCGAGAGCGAGCAACCATCGCCTCATTATAGGCCTGGGGACCACGAAATGTATTTACAGGTTAGAATGGAGCATGACATTGGTAATAGGGCCCCCCTTACATGTCTCGGAGAATTATAAGTTGGGGCCATGTCACGGCACCTGTTTTTTCATTGACTTCAACCTCTAACTATAGAATCTCTCAAAGTCTGCGTGGCTCATTTGGTTACGCGCTAGCTTTCTATTTCAGGTATCGTGGGTTCGATTCCCAACGCAGATTGAAAAAAAAAATTTTGTCTATAGCAATCACGTGACCGATGAGGCGGGTCCAAAATAACATCCAAGATGGCGGATGGAGCGAGAAAGGGAGACAGACAGACGGTCAAAAATGGCGCCCAACAAAATGGCGGGATTAGATACTAATAAAATGGCGGCCGATCCAAGATGGAGGATTTAGTGACTAATAAAATGGCGCCCAACAAAATGGCGGGATTAGAGACTAATAAAATGGCTACCGATCCAAGATGGCGGAATTAGAAACTAACAAAATGGCGACCAATCCAAGATGGCGGATTTGGTGACTAATAAAATGGCGCTCGATCCAAAATGGCCGACCACACCGCTCATTGGCTGTGACGCCACAGGGGGCGGTCCCTAAAGGCTCCGCCTACCGTATCCCATTGGCCAAGGGGAGGGGCATAGGGGGGCGTGCTCGTCTCTGATTGGCTGTGACGTCACGTGCTCGTCTCTGATTGGTGTGACGTCACTTCCTGGTCCAGAACGAACATAGGTCTTCTACTCGAATACCTATCTCTGTTAATTTCCGTAAAGTTAAACGAATAATGTTTGCAGTTTGCGCTAATTTTGGATTGTAATTGTGCGTATTAATTTTAAGGTTGCGAACGTTACTTTCATCCAATTGGAGATATAGTATTAAAACTCATTGCTCCGCCACTGGAAGTGAGAAATTATGACAGTTGACACCTTGTTGACACTTACCGGTATTTGAGCCACAACCAGAGCTTAGTCTTCCGCATATACACGCATACATGCGCATATGTGCGACTCGGAATAGACCCTTTATCCAGAACCGAGAGCTATAAATAGACTGTGACTGGTAAGAAATTTGTATTGTTTAATAAATACTAAACTGTGATAAACAAAGACATATTTGTAATGATAACATTTTTGATGCTAGATATGGAGGGACGCGATGTCCTACCACTCATCAAAATCGAACCAAAACAAGAAGAAATCCTTACGGAAACATTTCACTAAACAACGAAGCATTGGTTACAATAAAGGACGAAATTACTGCACAATGCTCCAAGTTGCTCGGCAATGAAGAAGTACAAAAGCAAACTGATTGTGGATGGAATATTAAAACTCAGTTTTCCAACGATTTTGAACGTGACTTCAGTCATCACACAAGTAGTAAGCTGCAGGTAAAACTAACATTTTTTAAAGCATAATGTTTCAGAAAACTTTAACTGTGCTCATTGTGATTATGGAACAAATATTGAACGATATCTTAAGCGACACCTTTTAAAACATAACGATTCTAAAGATTTTAAATGTGCTAGTTGTGAATACAAGACAAATGTCAAATACCACTTTAAACGACATCTTTTAACACATACAGATTCTAATGATTTTAAATGTGCTCATTGTAATTATGAAACAAGTAATGAACACTATCTTAAACGACACGTTTTAAAACATATCGGTTTAAAATATTTTAAATGTGCTAGTTGTGATTACAAGACAAATAACAAATATCACTTTAAAGACCATTTCTTAACGCATACTGTTTCTAACGCTTTTAAATGTGCTCATTGTGATTATGGAACAAATAATGAACGATACCTTAAACGACACCTTTTAAAACATTCCAATTCTAAAGATTTTAAATGTGGTAATTGTGATTACAAGACAAATATCAAATACCACTTTAAACGACACCTTTTAACACATACCATTTCTAAAGAGTTTAAATGTGCTCATTGTAATTATGGAACTAATAATGAATGGTATCTGAAACAACACCTTTTAAAACATATCGATGCTAAAGATTTGGAATGTGCTAATTGTGAATATAAGACAAATAACAAATACCACTTTAAAGAACACCTTTTAACACATACCGATACTAAAGATTTTAAATGTGCTCAGTGTGATTTTGTAACAAATAAACAACAGTATCTTAAACGACATCTTTTAAAACATCGATTCTAAGGATTTTAAATGTACTAATTGTGATTACGAGACAAATATCAAATACCACTTTAAAGAACACCTTTTAACTCATACCGATTCTAAAGATTTTAAATGTGCTCATTGTGATTATGGAGCAAATAGTGAACGATATCTTAAACGACACCTTTTAAAGCATACCGATTCTAATTTTAAATGTGATATTTGTGATTACGAATCAAATAGCAAATACTGCTTTAAACGTCACCTTTTAAAACATAGCGGTCCAAAAGATTTTAAATGTGCTCATTGCGACTTTGAGACACCTAAAAAATTCTCTCTTAAAAACACCTTATAACACACAAACCGTTTTTACAAGGAACAAATTTCTCGTTAAATTAAATACGCACACTTCGGGAAATCATAACAAAAAATATGCATTTGGAAGGATCTAAATAGATTTTTTCAATTTACATGAACTTCTGAAAATCAAACAATTTTAGCTGGTAATAATTAACGTAAAATACTTTTAATTTGTGGCGATCGTAGTAGTACAGAAAGTGGGTAAGTTGCAAAATAGGTACTTCGTAATTTAATATGAAGTGACCCCTTTTTGCGCCGCCTATGGTTTTCAGTTGATTACATACGGATGCTATTGCGCATGTGCCGCGTTCTGCTTGCGTTGCAAAATGTATCCCTGTTTGTGTTGGGCACAAATGCCGATTTTAAGGTAAGGTGGGAGGTAAATCTATGCATATATTGTAATGATCTTAAGGGGTCAACTAACTTCACTCCGAACACTAAATTCAAATACGGTGGGAAAATACTAAAAGGATATGGCTACCATGTCCAGCCTTCTCCTCTGCCGGAACAAATGGCTCGTGATCGGATCGCCTAGGACAGAGACCCTACATTTTACTCACCGTTAAGTTGTAACCGTTACACTCGGAATGGGGGCTGCTATCGGGGAGGAAAAGAAACAGTCAAATGCGGCCTAAAGTATTTATTGTTACCCAAACAGATTCCCTAATAATTTGGAAATGCAGAAGTCCCTAACGAGTAGGCCTGTGCGAGGGAAGACCTCTGCCAGAGAAACCCTCGACTCGTGTTCGTAGAAGCTAAAGGGGTTGACGTTAATAAACAAGCTAACACAGGGTTTCCTGAAATATAATACGATACTCTTAACAGTACTTGGTAAATAGTAGTCATTACGGCGATATAAAATAGTCATTATTGGAACAACGGATTGGAACAATACCAGGGGAATAAACTCTTCTAGCTGGCTTAGTCGGTACAACATGAAATAGCAATGACATCCAAACTCGTGTTCCCAAGCGTCAATTATCTCACGATTATACCCAAACTCGGTCACACACACCTTTCAGAAACGGAAGACTGTTAATTATAGTTCCACCCCTGGAACAGGTAACAAGACTGCTCTGGGTTTGCGAGTACAACTTGCCTAAAGCTGAAGGTTCGAAACTAGAGTCGCTTGCCTTGTGGTTTTCTTGCAATTTTATAATTTGATTCGCCGATGGACTCTAGTTTCTCACGGTCGAAAGATTAGTGTCCTCTCATAAATGGTCATTGCACACGTAGAAAATCATCGCTTCTACTCTACAACTAAGCTACTCAACAACTGTGAACACGAATCTGAATAGTCATATAGGCGCCTTCCAAGTTAACATAATAAACACAAATCCGAAACTTCCCCAGCTAGAGGGTCGCTTTCCCCATAACATTTTGGCAAGATATTTAACACCAGGCATCCCCTTACAAACAAAGTACAAAATTGGCAGTTATGTGAATATTCGGATTGAAGTACAAATTGCAAAATGATATAAATATGAGGGAACACAATTTACATTACATGCAATTAATGAATTAACAAAAACCAATTACATCACCTGATATGAACTCTCGAATTGTAAACTACGGGAACGAAACTCTCTCGAAGGTAGTCAGCAAGCAAGTCCCTCTTCCCATTCCAAAAAGGCGCCGAACTTCCTTTCAACAAATAAAAACCCTCTTCACCCCTGAGTCGGAAACTAACCCACCCCGGAATGGAAATTTCCATCCTATCTAACAGTAAATCCGGCTGTTGTTATTTAGTATCCCTCTTTTCAAAAACCAGGTACCTAACCCCAATTGATTACAAAAACATTCAAATTCTAAAAATAAAATTCTAGGTATTTTGGTAGTGGCTCCGCTACCGGGAAGGACGGCAGTGTCTGGCTTCTTTGGTTGCGTTCGTAGATTTTGTTTTTGATGTTAAGTATCCAGCCTTTGTCATAAAGGTATGCCCATCTCAATATGATCTAAGATATCAACACTGCCTAAGTCTATTCATGGTACTAGGGCTCGCCATGATTGTATGATATAGTTTCTGTCGATCTTTCGGACTATAGTGTTCATTAGCTGCATATTATTGATTTTCCTTTACAGTTAACAATAAATAACTAATAAGTTTGTATGTCCATGCATTTTATTTGTGGATCATTTGGGAATTCAGTATGAAAAACCCATCGCTCCGCCACTGATGGTGATACGTTATGACTTGCCGGTATTTGAGCTACAGCCAGAGCTTTATCTACGTCATTGAGTTAGAAAACTAATGGAGGGAATCAAATGCTTGGCCAAACGTAGACCACGGGACCCAAAAGTGGCCTCTGTCTGTGATTAAAGTACCACACCACTTCCGTTATCATTAGCGTCTCACTTCAGTGGCGTAGAGATATAATTTTCTTTCCACTAATAGGAATAATAACAAAAAAATGTATAGAAAGAGTAAAATACATGCTCGTGGTAAAGTAAACAAAATAGACAAGGATGGGAAAGTATGCAAATTTAATATAATCATTGATTACGAATCTAAATATACGTTATGATGCGTTCCAGTAGTAGTATAATTAACGCCAGTTTACTATAGCCACTACAACTTGACAACCACCATTAAATTCACTGTGTTGATCAATTGACGGGTTGGTCTCAGGTTCATTACAACGGCAGACAGATTCAATAATAATTATTGTTTATTGGTCTCAAAATGTATCCGCACTCGTAAAAAAACTCACACCTGATATCCATATTATAAACTCACACGTTAAGCTGTAAAAACAAATTTTGATAGTAGTAAGTACTGCATATTTGATGAACATTTTCCGGTGCAACTTTTGGTCGAAATCACAGTCAATGAAGCGTTGTGAGCACAAAAGCAAATTTCGAGATCTGTTCTTGAGATATATTTACAAATGTTAGGTAACCATTTTGCTCGAAGTACTGGTTCGTTTGGAAAACTAAGAAACATAATACTAGGTACCTACAAACTCGCCTACAACATGTCTTACCGATGAAAGGAAATGCCCTGTTTCTTCCCTTCATGAGAAATTTTGCATTATACGCAGCTAATCATTCTCAATTCACAAAATTGCGTGTGATAAAAAACACTATGAGGCGGTTAGTTATTTATATAAACCAGAGCATTACTTTAAAATGGCAAATTTAATAAAATTTGAATTTGGTGGAAAACTGACAGTGACAGGACCCGCGTTTTCATATGTCAAATAATGTCGACCAAAATGTACCTTCACGGGAACCTATCCACGCGAGTGGCCTCTATCTGTGGCAACTTCCGTCTACAAAAATTCTTACCCCCTCTACCATTATATTCCCTCCATTAGTTTTCTAATCAATGATCTACGTAGATAAGTTCTGTGATAAGTTCGTGCTACGTAGGCATTAAAGACCGCTAGATATGGACGAAAATGATGTTCTACCGCTTATTAAAGTCGAACATAAACAAGAAGAAATCCAATCCGATCTTCAAGAAAAGAATTTAGTAAGCAACGATGCAGTGGTTACAATAAAGGACGAAATTACCATTACAGCACATTGCTCAGAATCGCTTGACAATGAAGAAGTACAACAACAAAGTGAATGGAGTAACGACTTAGAATGTGAATTTGATCAACACGCGAATAGTAAGGTTCAAGTTCAACAACATCTTTTAAAGAATATTTCAGGATGCTTAAACTGTTCTCATTGTGATTATAGGACAAAGAATAAACAACTATTTCAACGGCACATTGTGACACACAAACGTAATGCATTACAGTGTCCAGATTGTGATTACAAGGCAAACAACAAATATTGCTTAAAACGACATCTTTTAAAGCATACCAATTCTAAATATTTTAAATGTGCTAATTGTGATTACGAGACAAATAACAAATACAACTTTAATCAACACGTTTTAAAGCATACCAATTCTAAAGACTTTAAATGTGCTCTTTGTGATTATGGAACAAATAATAAACGATATCTTAAACGACACCTTTTAAAACATACTGCTTCTCAAGATTTTAAATGTGCTCATTGTGATTATAGAACAAATGATAAACGAAATCTTAAACAACACGTTTTAAAACATATTGATTCTGAAGATTTTAAATGTGCTCATTGTGATTATAGAACAAACATTAGACGATATCTTAAACGACACCTTTTAAAACATATCGGTTCTGAAAAATTTAAATGCGCTAATTGTGATTACGAGACAAATAGCAAATACTACTTTAAGCGTCATCTTTTAAAACATACCGATTCTAAAAATTTTAAGTGTGCTAATTGTGATTACAGGACAAATAAAAAATACAACTTTAATCAACACGTTTTGAAGCATACCGATTCTAAACATTTTAAATGTGCTCATTGTGATTACGGAACGAATAATAAACGGTATCTTAAACGACACCTTTTAAAACATGTCGATTCTAAAGATTTTAAATGTGCTCATTGTGACTATAGCACAAATATTAAACGATATCTTACACGTCACCTGTTAAACCATATCGATTCTAAAGATTTTAAGTGTGCAAATTGTGATTACGAGACAAATAACAAATACCACTTTAAACGACACCATTTAACGCACACGTAGTTCTAGGAGGGATATTTGTAAATGTTACGAGGTGCTCACTTCAAAAAAACAAAATAAAAACCAAGTATTAATAGCTTAAGCATTTGGAAGGACCAAAACAGTTTTTTTTTATATCTACATGAATTTCTGAAAACCAATTTTGACTGGGAATTAAACGGCTTAATAAGTAAAGTTATAGTTGTAATTTGCAATTTTGATAAAAATACAAAACACTGCCATTTACATAGCTAGAAGAAAGTGTACCTCAGCTTTATCATTTACCTCCCTCACCACTGGCAACCGCACTTTAGAATCATACTGTTGCGTAAACTGCAGGGGGTCTCGTTTCTCTACGTTGAAATAATACCGACGATGAGAGCGAGTCACCCTGTAGTTGAAAATTTAAGTGCTGTAAACGTAATTTAGGTTTAGCGTTAGAAATTTCAGTTTGTTTAGGACCCGAGGGAAACTCGGTCAAATCGACACAGAATTTGAGTCATTGTAATGTTCAGTTTTTATATCGTAAATTTAGAGTTTGTGTAAATAATTTTGGTTGTATTTAATCACTGTCTGAAATTCGAGGAACGCATAAATAGGGAGAAACGTGTAGTTTGAAATCGACGTAGGAAAGAAGATTTGGACGGCCGATATCGGACAAATTGATTGGCGAGGTTTGATCAAATATGTAGACCACATAATGGACGCATACTTACAGTTTCGAGCAGACGTTGCATGTTCATAAAATGTAGAGAACAGGAAAGTACTTTGCCGCATTAGGATTAGGCCCAATTTTTGTACTTGCGCTGCAAAATATGGTGAAAGTTGCCGTATTAACCTCTGTTACATAGATGGCGCCACTTCTTACATACTAATTTCACATTTCATGCATTGCGAATGATTCCTTTACGTAAAGTTGACGTAATAGTTTCACACAAATTAATTGGAGGTTGTGAATGCAGCTTTACTGAATCTAATTGGGAGTTCGGTGAAATAAAACATCGATCCGCCACTGTAAGTGAAACACTATCAACATGAGGATTGACCCTTACCGGTACTTGAGCTACAGCTAGAGTTTGTACGTCGGCTGATGACTGGTAAGAAATTTGCACCAATCTTTATTTTTGATTAACGTAACACATTTTTTGATGTTAGATATGGACGGAAATGATGTAGTACCACCACTCATTAAAATCGAACCAAAACAAGAAGAAGAAATCCATTCCGATCTAAAAGGAAACATTCTAGTAAGCAATGAAGCATTGGTTACAATAAAGGATGAAGTTAGCATTATTGCACAGTGCTCCAAATCGCTCAATAATGAAGTTGTACAACTAACTGAATGTGGATGGGATACTAAAATACAAAGTTCTCATGCGGAATTTAAACATTTTATAAAGAATAATGATCCAGAAGGCTATCACTGTGTTCATTGTGACTATGAAACAAAGATTAAACAACTGTTTCAACAGCACATTTTAACACACAAACATAATGCCCTACAATGTGCTCATTGCGATTACAAGACAAATAATAAATACCATTTAAAACGACACCTTCTAAATCATACCGATTTTAAAGACTTTAAATGTGCTCATTGTGATTATAAGACAAATAATAAATACAACTTTAATCAACACCTTTTAACACATACTAATTCTAAAGATTTTAAATGTGCTCATTGTGATTATGTTACAAATATTAAACGATATCTCAAACAACACTTTTTAAAACATACCAATTCTAAAGAATTTAAATGTGCTCATTGTGATTACGAGACATATAATAAAGACTATTATAAACGACACCTCTTAAGACACACTGATTTTAAAGATTTTAAATGTGGTAGTTGTGATTACGGGACAAATATCAAATACCACTTTAAACAACACCTTTTAATACATACTGATTCTAAAGATTTTAAATGTGCCAATTGTGATTACAAGACAAATGAGAACTACCGCTTAAAACGACACCTTTTAAAACATAAACTTTCTAAAGACTATAACTGTGCTGATTGTGATTATGGAACAAAGTATAAACAATTGCTTCAAAAGCACATTTTAACACACAAACGTGTTGCGTTACAATGTGGTAATTGTGATTACAAAACAAACGACAAAATCTACTTTAAGCGACACCTTTTAAAACATATTGATTCTAAAGAATTTAAATGTGCTCATTGTGATTGTCAAACAAATGATAAATACTACTTTAAACGACACCTTTTAGAACATACCGATTCTAAAGAATTTAAATGTGTCAATTGTGATTACGAAACAAATAACAAACACTACTTTAAACGACACCTTTTGAAACATATCGATTCCAAAAAATTTAAATGTGCTAATTGTGATTACGAAACAAATGACAAATACATTTTGAAACAACACCTTTTGAAACATGCAGATTCAAAACAATTAAAATGTGCTAATTGTGATTACGAGACAAACAACAAATACCACTTTAAACAACACCATTTAAAACATGCCCACTCTAAAGAATTTAAATGTGCTTATTGTGATTACGAGACAAATAACAAGCATTGCTTTAAACTACATCTTTCAAATCATACGGATTCTAAAGAATTTAAATGCACCAACTGTGATTACCAAACAAATGACAAATACTACTTTAAAAGACACCTTTTAAAACATAAAGTTTCTAAGGATTTTAAATGTGCTCATTGCGATTTTGAAACCCATAACAAATTCTGTCTTAAACAACACCTTTTAAGACACAAATCAGGAACAAATTTCTCGTTAACTTAAATATTAATTCTTTAGTGTGTGGCTTCTTGTATGTGCATGCAAGGTAATAGTTTGTGGATGTGAAAACATTTAAGTAGGTTTCATTTACCTTAGAGCAAGACTTGGAAATAGAAATTTAATTGTTTATAAATATTTAAATCACATTTCAGGAGATCTAACATAACATAAAAGTAATATGTAATCTATTTTAACTCTCTTCTTCCCCCCCCCCCCCTGTTTTAAGAAAATATTAGTGTGGTGTATGCGCTAGTGCTATTTCTTAAGTTGGCAATAGCGTGTCATGGAGACCGCATGTAAATAAAGTAGTTATTCACCTCAACAGTCTTTGAATTACGATACCCACGTGTTACACCTTAAAATATCCACCCAGCGTGTGAGAAGATATAAAATTGGCGACGAGGATGGGATAAGGAAGTGCGTTTTGTGACAATTTACTGTTTACTTGTGTTTCCAGAATTCGCGAGTAACAAAAACGATGGCTTCCCTGGGTAGCATCCAACATTTTTCAATAAGTGATCCTAAACAATGGGAATCTTATGTGGAAAGAATGGAATTCTTTTTCACGGCAAATGGGATTGCGGATGCAAGTAAGAAACGCGCGACATTTTTGAGCCTATGCGGCCCAGAAACGTACGAAATTCTTAGGTCATTGGTCGCGCCGGCGAAAGTCGCTGATAAAACGTACGGGGAAATTATAAAGGAATTAGGTACACATTTCTCTCCGAAGACATCGGAGATTGTTTACCGTTTCAAATTCTACAGACGGGATCAACAAAATGGGGAGACATTCCCCGTATACCTTAAGGAATTACGTAAATTGGCCGAACCGTGCGGATTTGAGGCTACTTTAGACACAATGTTACGTGACAGAATAGTTTGTGGAATAATCGATGAGACATTACAGAAAAGATTACTTGCTACCACCGATTTAAAATTAGCGGATGTAACAAAAATGTGCGTAGCTCACGAAACTGCTACGACCAGTTTTGCAATGATTCGCGAAGGGGGCAGCGGCGATCGAGTGGAGGTTAATGCCCTTAATTCACGCAAGCAAGTAAAATCAGCTGATCGCGCGAGCAGACCGGGGCGCGTTGGGAAAAAGTGTTTTCGATGTGAAAAAGACCACGCTGCAGACTCGTGCGTTCACAGTCAATCAACTTGTAGTTACTGTAAAAAATTAGGACATATCGCAATCGCGTGTTTCAAAAAGAAAAGAGAAAGCCAAAACAAACTTAAAGTGCACATTGCAAATGACAGCGACCCTTACACGGAGGAGCCGGAAATTTCTCCGGACCCGAATTGCGTTAATAGTGATTACGTTTTTTCAATAAATAACGTAACGCCTGACAAATTTTCCGGTAAATATTTAACAGCCGTTTCAGTCAACGGGATACAGACAAAAATGGAAGTGGATTCGGGCGCTGGCTATTCGATTATAGGCCGATCGTTGTTCCAAAAAATCTCGAACGGGAATCACCTGAAATTGAAGAAGAGTCATGTTATCTTAAGAGACTACCAAAACAACCCGATACCAACAGTGGGAGAATGTTTGGTGGAGGTGCGTCGAGGTTCACGGAGGTCAACCCTTCCGTTAATCATCACCGAAGGAAACCGCCCGAGTCTTTTAGGCAGAAACTGGTTCCAAGAGCTGGGTCTAACTGTTTCCGGGGTAAGTCACGTTGACGGTACTCCTAATTACGCACGCGAATATCCTGAGGTATTTTGCGGGAATTTGGGCGCATACCGGGGGCCTCCAGTAAGTTTTTCGGTAGACGCGTCTGTGAAGCCGATTCTATTGCGAGCGCGTAAGGTTCCTTTCGCTCTAAAGGACAAAATAGAGAGGGAACTGGACAAACTGATAAGTCAAGGAGTGCTAGAACCAATCTCATATCCAAGGTGGGGCACCCCTATCGTTACCGTTTGCAAGGGCAATGGGGAGGTGCGAATTTGCGGAGATTACAGGTCCACACTTAACCGCGCATTACGTCCTGAACCGTACCCGGTGCCGTCGGTACAAGGAATTTTATCCGCGCTCGCTGGCGGGAAAGTGTTCGCTAAATTGGATTTAGCCCAGGCTTACCTACAGTTGAGTGTCGATCGCGAGGCTGCGGAAGCACAGACAATAATAACGCATAAGGGGGTTTTTAAATGCAATCGTTTGCAATTCGGAATTTCCGTCGCGCCTCAGATATTCCAAAAATTCATGGACATGAGACTGGCGGGTATCTCGGGAGTGTTACCGTACTACGACGACATACTAGTCGTGGGAAGTTCCGATGACGATTTAGACACTAAAGTGCGCACGGTACTGTCGAAATTTCGTGAAGACGGGCTACAATTGCGCCGGGAAAAATGTATTTTTCGTACAAAATCCATTGAATTCCTCGGGTTTAGAATAAGCGAAGACGGTATTCGCCCAACGAAAGATAAAATCGCGGCAATAGTAAACGCGCCTCCTCCAACTAATGTGACAGAATTACAAGCATTTTTGGGGTTGGTCAATTTTTATCACGTGTTCATGAAGGACAAAGCGACCATCGCTAAACCTTTACATGCGTTACTTCAAAAGAACGCTCAATGGCAATGGCGAACGTCAGAACGAGAGGCTTTCCAAGCTTTAAAGGATTGCTTAATCAGGGAGCCCGTGCTGGCTCACTACAATGACCGGAGAAACTTATTTTTGACTTGCGACGCGAGTCCGTATGGGGTAGGTTGCGTTCTTAGTCAGTTGGACGACCGGGGGCGAGACGTTCCAGTAGCGTATCACAGCCGTTCTTTGTCGTCAGCTGAGAGGAAATACGCTCAAATCGACAAGGAGGCACTCACTATCATCACGGGTGTTAAAAAGTTTCACGAATACATCTACGGCCGAGGGGTGACAATAACAACGGACCACAAACCTTTATTGGGAGTCTTCAATCCGAAGAAGGGGGTTCCAGACATTCTATCACCTAGGATGCTAAGATGGACACTAATGCTATCTGCGTACGACTACGAACTAAGGTACGTGCCAGGAGCTAAGATCCAGAATGCGGACGCATTAAGCAGACTGCCCCAAAAAATCAAGGTTCCAGAACCTCCGCCATCTGAAGACGTCTTAATGCTGGAAAACATTCCAGAAAAGCTAATCAGCGCCAGAGAAATTGCCCAGGAAACCAAACGAGATCCTGTTTTATCAAGGGTTATGCAGTGGATCTGGAAGGGATGGCCTGACAACGGGAAAAAATTGCCAGACGAATTTACTCCTTACTTACAACGCAAACATGAGCTAAATTGCTACCAAGATTGTCTCCTGTGGGGCACCAGGGTTATCGTTCCACTAGGGGTGAGGGACACGGTGCTAAAAATGCTCCATTCAGCTCACCCAGGTATCGTCAAGATGAAATCTCTCGCGCGTTCGTACGTATGGTGGCCGAATATTGACAAGCAAATTGAGAAGCTGGTTGGGTTGTGTAGAGAATGCCAAGAAACGAGAAACATGCCGAGGAAGTCGTCTATTCATCCTTGGGAGTGGGCTAGAGCTCCGTGGTCGCGTATCCACATTGATCACGCCGGACCAATGAAAGGAAAACTTTTTCTGGTAGTGACCGACGCCTATTCCAAATGGCTCGAGGTAAAACTAGTGCCAAATACCTCGAGTGCTGTTACAATCGGGGTGCTACGAGAATTGTTCGCCACCCACGGCATACCGGATGTGTTAGAATGTATAGATAGTAGTCGGCTGAGGGTAATTGTCAATTAATAAATAAAATAGAAAGTTATCATTTGATTGAATTAGTTTGTATTCATCTTCCACATTAAAACAAGAGGTTATGGGCTACGCGGATACTATTTGTGAACCTTGTATCATGGGCAAGCAATCTAGAAAGCCGTTCGCCAATTTAGGCGGAGCGCGATCAAAGCGTACGTTGGCTTTGGTACACAGTGATGTTTGTGGGCCGATTTCACCATGCACATGGGATGGTTACAAATATATGGTGACATTTATTGATGACTTTACTCATTTTATGGCAGTGTACCTTATCAAAGAAAAATCGGATGTCTTCACTATGTTCCAGAAATACAAATTAATGGCGGAAACGCATACTGGGCAGAAAATAGGCGCGTTACGTTGTGACAATAGAGGAGAATACACATCTAATCGGTTCAAGGCACAATGCGAAGCATCTGGCATTCAATTACAGTATTCGATTTCGTATACACCGCAACTAAATGGTGTCGCGGAACGAATGAATCGAACGTTAGAGGGTAAGGTCCATGCTCGAAGGTGGACATATGGAACGCATATTTTGGGGTGAAGCTGTATATTGTGCAACTTTTGTGATGAATCGTAGTATAACTCGAGCGATTCAGTCGGTTGCAACACCATACGAGCTTTGGATGGGGAAGAAACCAGACATTTCAAAATTCCGTGTTTTTGGTTCGCCTGCATATGTACATATTCCTGATCAACTTCGTAAAAAGCTGGATGCAAAATCAACCAAGATGGTGATGGTTGGTTATGGAGTTAATGGCTATCGACTTTGGGATTCTTCAAAGAATCGAATTATTGTAAAACGTGATGTAATATTCGATGAATCAAAACGCAATGAATCATCGAACATATTTTACGAGTCAGATCAAGCGAAGAGTGGTGTTGACGAGGCGGAGATTGACGATGTTGGAGATAAAACAAAGTGTAAAGGAAAGGATAGTATTGATTCAGGCGGAGTAATAGATGTTGGACGAATTGATACTGAATTTGATAATCAAGAATTATATTCCGGCAATGAATTAGCACGTTCAAAGCGAAAGCGTCAACCACCAAGTAAATTCGGTAGCTGGGTCGACAGTTCGACAATTGAATTAAGATACGATGATGAGCATGAAAATTATCTATCCACATGTTCATTTAATACAGACGAATGCTTCTCTGCATTTGCACTAAATGCAATAGCATTCATTGATGATGTTCCCATGAAATTTGGAGACATTGCAAAACGAAATGATTCTGATCAATGGATGAAAGCGATCAATGAAGAAATGAATTCTTTAAAAAGAAATGAAACTTGGTCCCTTGTTGAACGACCATCCAACCGTGCTGTCATTACTTGTAAATGGATATTCTCAAGGAAGCGGAATGCTGCAGGAGAATTGGAAACGTACAAAGCAAGGTTGGTCGCTCGTGGGTTCACGCAACGAGAGGGGTTTGACTTCAATGAGACCTATTCACCGGTGGCGAAAATCACGACTGTACGTCTTTTGCTGGCGCTTGCGGTTGAGCGAGATTTGGAAATACACCAAATGGACGTGAAGACTGCTTTTCTTAATGGCAAGCTTGAAGAGGACATTTATATGGAGCAACCCGATGGCTTTGTCCAAGGCAAATTGGTGTGCAAATTGAATAAGTCTCTCTACGGACTTAAACAAGCGTCAAGAGTTTGGAATGAGCGTTTTCACACATTTGTTGTAAGAATTGGTTTCTTACGTTCGCAATATGATCAATGTTTGTACTTGATGGGCAGTGGGGCAAGTATGATCTTACTTTTATTGTATGTGGACGATTTAATTTTGCTTGGAAAGAATTTGGATAAGATTTTGATTGTTAAGCGTTTGATTGCAGCCGAATTTGAGATGCGAGATATGGGTGAAATAAAAACCTTCCTTGGCATCAATATCCAAAGAAACCGTGATGCTGGGACATTATATTTAAGTCAACGCAAATATCTCGAAGACGTTCTACGTAGATTCAACATGAATAATTGCAATCCGGTTGCCACACCAATGGAGATTCAAACCAAGAAGATCACACGCAGTGAATCAGAATTCACGAAGAAACCTTATCGTGAACTGATTGGCTGTCTTATGTACATAGCTTATGCAACAAGACCTGATTTATGTGCCGCTGTCGGTTACTTCAGCCAATTCCAGTCATGTGCGACTGATGAACATTGGATTGGTGCAAAACGAATATTAAGATATGTCAAAAGTTCTCTTGATTTGCGATTATTATACAACTGCCATTATAAATCACCAGTATTGGAGGGATTTGCCGATGCTGATTATGATAGTGAATCAAATGAGCGAAAATCGATTTCAGGAAATATAATCAAAGTGTTTGGTTCAACAGTTGGATGGACAGCACGAAAGCAAACGTCCATTGCTTTATAACTACGGAGTCAGAGTACATTTCTTTGGCGATTGCTGCTGCTGAAATTATCTGGTACCGTGGTATATTATGTGAAATTGGTATATCTCTGGATGGACCAACGATTATTCATGAAGACAATCAAGGGAGCTATAAAAATCGCTTTAGGTGAAAAGGTTTCACAACGAACAAAACATATTGATATAAAATATCATTTCATTCGTGATTGCATTGAGAAACAAATCATCAATCTTCGTTATATTAAAATGCAAGAGCAACAGGCCGACATAATGACAAAGGGGTTGTCAAAGAATGTATTCCAGTACATATGCAAGAAAATTGGACTTGTAAATTGATCTGGATATTATTTTTTTTTTTTAGTTATTGTTCTGTTGATTAGATGTAAAGTAAGCGATTCAAATATTTAGGATTAAAATTGAATCGAGGCGGAGTGTTAGAATGTATAGATAGTAGTCGGCTGAGGGTAATTGTCAATTAATAAATAAAATAGAAAGTTATCATTTGATTGAATTAGTTTGTATTCATCTTCCACATTAAAACAAGAGGATGTTGTCGTATCCGACAATGGAACGAGTTTCAGCTCTTCCGAATTTAAGCAGTTCCTGAAAAACAACATGATTCGACAAGCTTTAGTGGCACCATACCATCCGAGCAGTAATGGGCAAGCGGAAAGAATGGTGCAAAATGTAAAAAACGCTATCCGGAAAATGACCGAGGGAACAGCAGAAGGAAATCTACAGTTGGTTTTAAGCAGATACTTATTAGCCCAACACATTACACCACACTGCACAACAGGCCGATCACCGGCGGAGATCTTGATGGGGCGTAAGCTAAACACCGTCTATGATCGTATGCAGCCTGATTTCCGTAAGGAAATGATGGCCAAACAAGAAGACAAGGTCATTCACACCAGGATCAAAATGGCTGCCAGCACAAGTCGTGAGTACTACGGGACCCGTCAGTTACCGGGTACAAACACCAGATGGGCAAACATTACGCCGCCATTCCGACCAAATTAGGGCTCGGGTAGAAGAACCGACCGAAAGTTTGGGAGCACTGGGTGATCCCGAAATTCCACCGACAACACCAGAAGCTGCCAACTGCAGCGAACCGCAGCAGCAGGACAACGGGAATAGCCAAGTCGTGGAGATCAAGAAGCCCCCAGAAAGAGCGAGGCGGGCTCCAAAATACTTGGAAGATTTCGTGCCGTAGTTTCAATCCGGGGGGAAGGAGTGTGGTGTATGCGCTAGTGCTATTTCTTAAGTTGGCAATAGCGTGTCATGGAGACCGCATGTAAATAAAGTAGTTATTCACCTCAACAGTCTTTGAATTACGATACCCACGTGTTACACCTTAAAATATCCACCCAGCGTGTGAGAAGATATAAAAATTAGTTAGAAGCAGACATTTTCTTATTTGTGGAAACTGATTTCAATTTAAAGTCTCAAACATGAAGACAATAAATTTTTTCAATTGTTAAATAATGAATTGACTGTTTTATCGTTAACAAAATAGTAGGTTTTCTCCGTTTTCCAATTATACAAGGTATTCACTTCAAAATGAACCATTAACTGCAATTTTGATAAAAAAAACTTCAAATCACAATCATTGGCAGCCTATTTGCTGCAATAGTAACACGTGTTTTTCCGTTGAGAAGATGATTAATGCTGATCGTCAATTTTTAAGAAGTAAACAATTACAATAACCTAACAAAATAGATGCCCGGTTGAAGATTTCTTGTGCTTGGAGAGAATTGTCATTGAGTTGTGCTAAAGCGTATGCCTAATTAGACACTTGTTATGAGTTCAATTTTAGTGGAATAGAATGAAAATTAAAACCCATCTCTCCGCCATTGGGATTGAGAAGCTATGAGGGTTCAATCTTCCTGATCCGGAATTTGAGCCACAGCCATAGCTCTTTGTCAGTGGAGTGCTATCAGATTGTGACGGTTTAAGAAGTTGAAGTTGTGTTGATTAAAACTAAACTGTATTTCTGATAAACAAAAACGTGATTGCTAGATATGGAGGGAAAGGATGTTGTACCACAAATTAAAATCGAACCAAAACAAGAAGAAGAAATCCATTCGGATCTCCAGCAAAACGTTTTAGTAAACAACGAAGTATTGGTTACCATAAAGGACGAAATTGTTGTTACTGCACAGTGCTCCAAATCACTTGATAATGAAGTGCAACAAACTGATTGTGGTTGGAATATTAAAACTGAAATGTCCAATACGACAAACTGTACGCTGCAATTAAAGGGTAATGTTTTTGAAGGCTTAAACTGTGATTATGGAACAAAGAATAAACAACTGCTTCAACGGCACATTTTAACACATAAAGGTAATGCTCTACAATGTGCTAATTGTGATTATAAGACAAGTAACAAATACCATTTTAAACGACACCTTTTGAGACATACCGATTCTAAAGCTCTTAAATGTGTTCATTGTGATTACAAGACTAATAACAGATACTGCTTAAAGCAGCATCTTTTAAAACATAACGATTCTAAAGATTTGAAATGTGCTCATTGTGATTATTTAACAAATAACAAACGATATCTTAAACAACACATTTTAAAACATATCGATTCGAAAGTTTTTAAATGTGCTGATTGCGTCTACCAGACAAATGATAAATACTACTTTAAACGACACCTTTGGAAACATGCAGATTCTAATGATTTTAAATGTAATAATTGCGATTACAAGACAAATAAGAAATACTGCCTAAAACAACACCTTTTAAAACATATCGATTCTAACGGTTTGAAATGTGCTCATTGCAATTATTTAACAAATAATAAACAATATTTTAAACAACACATTTTGAAACATATTGATTCTAAAGATTTTAAATGTGCTAATTGTGGTTACGGGACAAATCACAAATACCGCTTTACACGACATCTATTAATTCATACCGACTCTAAGGATTTTAAATGTGCTAATTGTGATTACAAGACAAATAACAAATATCTCTTGAAACGGCACCTTTTAACACATACCGATTCTAAAGATTTTAAATGTGGTAATTGCAATTTCCAAACAAATGATAAATACTACTTTAAACAACACCTTTTAAATCATACCGATTCTAAAGATTTTAAATGTGTTAATTGTGATTACCAGACAAATAACAAATACTGCTTAAAACAACACCTTTTAAAACATATCGTTTCTAACGACTTTAAATGTGCTTATTGTGATTATTTAACAAATAATAAACTATACCTGAAACAACACACTTTAAAACATATCGATTCTAAAAATTTAAAATGTGGTAATTGTGATTACGAAACAAATAACAAATACCGCCTTAAACGCCACCTTTTAACACATACCGATTCCAAAAATTTTAAATGTTCTAATTGTAATTACAAGACAAATATCAAATACCACTTTAAAAGGCACCTTTTAACACATACCGATTCTAAAGATTTTAAATGTGCTAATTGTGATTACCAAACAAATGATAAATACTACTTTAAACAACACCTTTCAAATCATACCGATTCTAAAGATTTTAAATGTGACAATTGTAATTACAAGACCAATAACAAAAAATACTTAAAACGACATCGTTTGAGGCATATCGATTCTAAAGATCTTAAATGTGTTGATTGTGATTACAAGACAAACAACAAGTACTGCTTAAAACGACACCTTTCAAAACATGCCGATTTTAAAGATTTTAAATGTGCTCATTGCGCCTATGAGACACATAACAAATTCTGTCTTAAAAAACATCTTTCAAGGCACACAACCGTTTTTTCCAAGGAACCAATCTTTCATTAAGGTAAATATTAATTCTGTAGTGTCTGGTGAATTCATGAGATGGCCTAACTTTTGTTAGTAACATTTCAAATGTTTGCGGATGTTGGAAACATTTAAGTATCAATTACCTCAGAGCAAGACATGTCAGAGAACGCAAATAAATATTATATTATTATTTTTATTATAAATCCGAGTTTAAGCAGGGATATTTGTAAATATATGGGAGGTTGAAACTTTTAGCTGTTAGTATTATAAATATGCCTTTCCTAGTTGCGGAAACTCATATCGATTTAAGGTAATTTTTTAATGTTGTAGAATAATAAATTTTTTTCCTAATAACGTTTATTATGCATTCTCTGTTACGCTACTGACATTGTAAAACAAGTGCAAATCAGCGCCATCTATTAACATGTTACATGCAACCAGATGTAAATACACAAAATCAGCTGGAAAACGTCAAGTGTTATTGTACAAAGTTCGTTGTGGAATAGGAACACGTAGTCATTAGACTGCATACTCAAACGGTGGGAAGTTCACGACCTTCCACAAAGCTATGCCCTATCAGATTTCAAAATAATTCATTAGACAAAAATGGTGCAAGTACAAAGCAAGTTCGCTCCGATCCACATAAACTGCTACGAATTTTGTCATCCATGGACCGAAAGTTGCCTCGAGGCGAGCGTCGGAAGCTACCTGTGCGCGATCGTCGACTCGCTTCGAATTTACACGACCGTGTACATGGTAAATTGCCCCACACACGTCCACATTTAAATAACCGAACCGTTTTTCAGCTGGCGCTCTTAATGAAAGGTAGCGTACCGTCGAAAGAGGAGATCAAGAAAACCGTACTGGGAATGCTGCAGTCGACCGCGTTTCTAAGCGCCAACGGCATGGGATTCACTCTCTTTCTCTGCCTACTAAGGTACCATAATTAGTGATAGTTCCCAACCTTTGTGGGGGTGCATATTTGGTTCTTCGTTAAAATAACCCATGACAAAAGAGCTCCGATAAAACAGTTCACTGCCAAAATGACCTTGGCTATTACCTATTTGCAGAATAAAGCTTTTCTGATCGTAGTTGCCATGGAAACAATCGGTGCACCGATGGTAATTGTGGAAATTATTGGTGGGTTTATACGATCATTATCATTAGTTCACTAAGTTGAGGATGGTTTTGTTGGGTAGCAACGTCATACGGTTGTAATCTTAGAGAAGGAAAGAATGCATAGTCTAAGGTTGTAATAGTGCCTATTACAGGTGAGTACAAAAATTTGGCACAACGGCATCTTGCGGAAATTCTACGAACTTGTAATACGTACATTACAACCGAATTACGCGCCATACTTTTTCTACGACCTCCATGAATTTCGAAATGAAAATAAGGCAAAACCAAAATGGCGTCTATTGACAGTTTTGACATTTGTTTTTTTCCGCCATCTTGTCTAAGCGACCGACGCGTACGTTTCCTATGAAGCGGATCTTGTACGACAACAAGCAACACTTCCTGTATCGTCAAATCGCTTAACGACCAAATTCCGTTTCCGTCTTTACTTTCATTACGGAAATAGGACTGCAAAAGCAGCTTATTTTCTTCCAAAGTAAAATTCAGTTGCAGTCTTGCAGAAATATTACAAACTAAAACGATAAAACATGAATTTCTGATTTAAAATGTAATTTCCGTTGTGCAAATAGGTAGCCTCAGCCTTCAAGAGCCATGATGGTTTTAGAGAACGGACGGTAAAATCAAAATGGAATATCCCCCAGCACAGAAGACTCGATAAATATTATTTTTATTTACTTTTTTTATTCGCTATCTCACTCCCATAACTTCCTCTTCTCTATCTCTTTCTGCTCTATCCCTGCCTCCTTTCTCTTTTTTTGAGACTTCTATGTATAGACAAAGTCAACTTTTTTTTAAATAGATACAATATACTGTTGGGTTTTCCTGACCCCCCCCTCCCCCTCCCAGCAGTACCCTTGGCGAACGAGGGATCAATGATGATTCTTTCTCTCTCACTCTAGCATTTCCATCAGCTAATCGAAACTTCGAATATATTTCCGGGGGGGGGGGGATATTATAACCCCTTATTCTACAGTATCCCCCCACCCCCACTACGTATTGTAACGATAATTTTGTGTACAATGTAATGATTACAAACTGAATCAAAACTTGTTTCCTTTTTTGTTGTGAAAAGTAGCGAACTTTAAATTCGGATTAAGCACCCCTAAAAACACGTACACTCGCACAATTTAATTGGACTAATAAACAAACTCGTAGGAAGCTTCTCGGCCACTTCAACTTCTTGACCGTCTCGGCGATCCCATCGTTCCTAGCCAACTTCTTCGCCATCTTAATCGAGCGCCCGTCGAGACGCACCCTGCTCAGCCTGTACGTAAGCAACGTCGCGACGGAGACAGTGTGGAACATGGCGGTGTCGCGCGACTGGGTACGGCCGCGAAACGACGGAGTCGTCGTCATTTTCAGCGTGTGCATGGCGATCCTGCTCACGTACTTTAAAAGCGGTCTGCATAAGAGAGACGGAGAGCGTGTCGACTCGATGTTCGGCGTCTTAAGGTAAGGATGGTCATTATCGCTTTAAGGTTGCCATTTTGCTTATGTTTATTTTTTGATATTTAATAATCAGATCTTAATGGGTTGCTTGGTTACATAACATCAAACAAAGTATTCTCATTCACTTAAGGGTCATAATGGGATCAATAAATGTATCATTATCATAAGGTGCTTTTGTTTGACACATTTTCAGCATTGGATCCCCAATTTTGACGGTGGTATTGTGTGACCTACCGTTATTTTCAAACATTTTATTTGGAACGGTCAAAGGCCGTAAAGTAAATCGGTCCGGACTGAATAAAAATCGCAACAATACACTTTACCTTAATCACACAGCGTCTAAAACTACCCATTGAGTCGTCCAACTTTGGAAAACTGGATCACTCTCTATTTAGGATTCGTGGCACGGTACCAAACGTTGCCGATGTCAAATTTTGCTGTTTTTTTTAATATCTCAAGCCCTCTAGAAGGCTAGGAGTATAGAGACATTTTTCCAAGAATAAATTTTCCAAAATTGCGACTAGCCCAATGTGACGTTAATTCTTTTAGGCTCATCGTGGGGCCTTACGAGGAGAAGTCCATATCGCGCCCGAGCGAGGTAAACACATTCCATCGGGAGCAGACGCGAAACGACCCCCTATCGTCCGGCAGCCGTTGGAGCGTGCCCGGCGGCCGCAGTTCCGCCAATAACACATATCGTCTTATCACGCAAGCGCTCCGCATCTACAGAAGGCTGATTAATAAGATTAAGTGCCTTAATCGTAACCCGGCGTGTCCGCACCCGTTCAGCTGCGTGCATTACACGCTGCAGGGCGCTTGCAAGATGGCCGGCGTCGGTCTGTCGATACAATTAGCGTTGAGTTTCGTTTTCAATTTGAAGAGTATCTTCCTTTCCCCGAGGGCGATCAAGACGATCGTGTGGAAGAAGAAGACGTTATCGCTGGCGATCTTCTTGGGAGGATTCTCCGGCCTGTTTAGGGTAAGTTGTCGTCGGCAGTACGTCGGCTGACGAGGCCGTTTTAGGGCATCTGCTGCGTCTTGCGCAACGTTACCGGAACGGATAGCGCGTGTCACGCGATACCAGCCGCTTTAATTGCGGGCATCGCGTTTAAACAGTATCCGGATACGACGGTGGCGCTCTACGTGATGTGGAAGATGGCGCAAATCTCGTACGGTCTCGGCATCGAGAGGGGAATCGTGCCTCGCGTGCCCGGATTTACCATCTTCCTCTACTGCGTGAGCACCGCGATTTTATTTCACACTGCTTTACTCGAACCGGTCAATTTGAGGCCGAGCTATTGGAAATTTCTACATTCGATTTCGGCCGGACGGTTGGTATCCGACAGTTGACGGCCGTGGACCAATAGTCGTTATTTGTAGGGTCGCCACGATGAACCGCGAACCGCTGGACGTTTGGGGATTAGAGACCTCGAGGCAACTCGTCGAAGTCCTACGGAATACTCATACACGACGAGGCGTCAAATATTACGTTTCCAACTTTTCATGACCCGCTTTCTTTCTGTGAGCGCACGGTTTAACTAGGAAAAATTACTCACGTCGCTGTTGAATTTTTACGAAATGAAGAATGCTCAAATTTGTTAATGTGATGAAAAAACTAGTACACTTGTAATTAGATTTAAGGCTAAAAGTAAATTTAAGCACCAACATGTAATTATGTGAAATTAGTGAGAGAGTTGTTTTTTGATACGGGTAGGGATTGTTACGTTTCTATTGCTTTATCGATTTATATATTGTCTACATTGTTTTTTTAGTAAACGTTACCTAGTTTCTTGGGTTTTGTGTACTTACTGGCTCGACGTGACAAATGTTAGATTTTTTCTCCCACTTTAAATGCCGCGCTATTTCTCTCTCTCTCTCTCTCTTTTGATTGCAGATTATTGGCAGACAGCGCCCTTCTGAATTCAGACGGCCGTGGTCAGGATTAAAAAAAATACTTTGAATCAGGCATCACGAGTGGTGGCGCTGAGTGAGATGTAACCATGGCGAGAGGCTGGTAGTAGGAAATGTGATGAGTAACGTTTGATGGTAGCGTAAAGGGGGCCGAATTACGATGTGTCTATGGTATAAATACACTTAACGATTTTCTTCTTCTTATAGCTACATTTTTATCAAAAAAATACACCAAATTCAGAAGAACTATCGTACCTTTGCATCACTATACCAAAGTATTCCGTTTTAAGCTAGTTTTAGTATACTTCGAAAAGGTGGGAGATCATGATCATTTCACACGAGAGGTTTTGGGTGCCAGCCACCATAGTTGCAATATAATTTTGTGTAGTATTTTTCTCATAGCGACTAACATTAGTTTGTGCCGTTGCTTCGTCTAATTGGGGATTTGTACACATTGGAAATGCTTAGCTTGGGTAATAACAGACCACTGCCCGTACGCTTTCTACCGTTATTGTTATTCTAGATTCATCGTAGGCCCTTACGAAGAAAAATCCGTATCATTTTCGAATGAGGCATCCACTTTTTACCGAGAGCGAACTGAAAACAGTAGCAGCCGTTGGACAATTCCCTCCGGGAGCCTTTTCTCTCGAGCACTCTTGATTTATAAAGGGCTAATCGATAAGATAAAGCGTCTAAATAGTAACCCTGCGTGCCCGCATCCGTTCAGTTGTGTCCACTACGCACTGCAAGGGTTCGGCAAAATGGTCGGAGTTGGTTTGGCTGTACAATTCGCGTTGAGTTTCGTTTTCAACCTGAAGACCATCTTCATTTCACCGAAGGCGATCCTGTGGAGAAAGAAAACGATTTCCCTCGCACTATTCCTGGGAGGATTCACCGGGTTGTTTAGGGTAAGATTCATTGGCACTATTTCCGCTAATCGACAATTTAGGGGACTTGCTGTATTTTGCGGAACGTAACCGAAACGGATGGTGCGTGTCATGCGTTGGTAGCCGCTCTAATCGCGGGAATTGCGTTTAAGCAATATCCGAATACTACCATAGCGCTTTACTTGATGTGGAGGGTGGCTCGGGTACCTACTCTATTATATAATTAGACTTATGACCAATCAACCTCAATAGATCGTCTATAACCACGGAATTGACAAAGGAATCGTGCCCCGCGTGCCCGGATTTAATATCTTCCTGTACTGCTTAAGCACCGCGATCTTATTCCACACGGCTACGTTTGAACCGGCGCGTCTGAGACTGAGCTACTGGAGTTTCTTACATTCGATTTCCGCCGGACGGTGGGTGTCTTAAATTTTAGGGTAATCTCCAACGTGCATTGTTTTTAGGTTCGCCTCGTTTAACCATGGCGCGCTAGACGTGTGGGGATTGGATACGTCAAAACAGCTAGCTGAAGTTCTGAAAAATTTCCACGCCCGCTCAAGCGTTTAATCTTTCCGATTTACTCCAATTTGAGACTTAATAGCAGCTTCCTAACCTAACAAATAAAACCTTTCCGAGCTTTGTATCGTTTCTTATGTCTTACAGTTCCTATTTTTGTGTGTACAGATCTGTTGTTCGAATGACGCGGTCACGGGGGTGGCAAATAGCTAACCAAACGAGTTACGACAACTAATGCCTGGATTGACCTCGACTCTCAACTGTAAACTCGTATACCTCGGCCGAGGGTCCAGTTACCTATCTCGGGGGAGAGATTCTGCTAACAAAAATTCTTTCTGTGATATGAACCATACTGTTTTCCACATATTGTCGTTAATTTGATTTGACCAGCAAAGAAAGGCATGTAATTTTCCATCTTACATGTAACAGAAGCGTTTGATTGAACCAAAGATGAGTCACATGTTGTACCTTGTTTTGTTACTTACTTGTACCCAAACCAGTTCATTGTTTTTCAACTTTCTTTTACCCTGTTTTTATATCATGTTTTGTGTATGTGACTTTTAGCCCATTTGTGAAGTTTTCAAGTAGTTTGAAAACCGAGACTTTTAAATATGTTTTTTCCAGATCGATCTGATTGTCTTCGGCCGGTTACAGAGCTTTCTGGTTTCCACAAGGTTTTCTTGCCTTGAAAAGAGCACATAAGACTTTTGAAATATCTAGAAAATCTTACATGGTTCTAGAAAAGAGCCGAACCGGGTTTAGAAGGTGTAATGTTTTTAGGGGTTCCCCAGCAGACACTGACAATGTTGTCTTACTAGTGTAAGTTACCGTTGGTAACCCTGGGGAAAACAGCATAGCTCACACAAATATATACAGCGACTGCAATGCGGTTTTTTCCACGGAGATAAATGGTTAGATCAAACATCCAGAGCGACATCATACTGATAATAATCCACTTAAACTTGAATAAATCAAAATGGGCAAAAAACCAAATTCGACAAAAAATTCAAAGGGCTGTAACATTTGATCTAGTAGCCCGATCTTGGAACTGTTTGAAATTATGGATTCTACAGGCCACATTCTATAAGACAATGTTTTTTTCCCGGTCGATCTGAGACAATTTTTTTTTCGTGCCTCAAAAAAGGCAGTGTATAACCTTCCTTTTTTACAAAAAATCGACTACACCAAAATTTCTCGGGAAAAAACTTTTTCTTATTAATTTTGGTGCGTAGATACAAAACGATTCGTACTTTTTCGATTAGACGTCTCAATCAAAAGTTATGGGCAAAAAACCAAATTCGACAAAAAATTCAAAGGGCTGTAACTTTTGATCTAGTAGCCCGATCTTGGAACTGTTTGAAATTATGGATTCTGCAGGCCACATTCTATAAGAAAATGTTTTTCCCGGTCGATCTGAGACAATTTTTTTTTCGTGCCTCAAAAAAGGCATTATAACCTTCCTTTTACGAAAATCGACTACACCAAAATTTCTCGGGAAAAAACTTTTTCATATTAATTTTGATGCGTAGAATCCAAAACGATTCGTACTTTTTTGATTAGACGTCTCGATCAAAAGTGAAGGGTAAAAAACCAAATTCGACAAAAAATTCAAAGGGCTGTAACTTTTTAGGGGTTCCCTAGCAGACACTGACAATTGTTGTCTTACTAGTGTAAGTTACAGTTGGAAACCCTGGGGAAACAGCATAGCTCACACAAATATATACAGCGACTGCAATGCGGTTTTTTCCACGAAGATAATGGTTAGATCAAACATCCAGAGCAACATCATACTGATAATCATCCACTTAAACTTGAATACATCAAGAACCCTTAAGGAAAGGAGATAATAGCACAATGGCCTGTACAGTATAACAAACAAACATGATTCAGGTAACGGTGCATAAACAAAAGCTCAAAGTACGCCACCTTTATCAGTGTTTTATGTAAAATGTAATTAATAGCAAAATGCGATTGGAGTTCAATGATTAATAGTTGGTACAAGAAAGAACAAAAGAGTTACTAGCTGTAAATACACTTTCAAAACATAACAAATATAATATAATAATAATAATATATTTATTGGTGGTGTATATGTATAGACATATGCATGATATTCCACCACGGACCTCTTAAAAAAAAATATTCCACACATCAAAGTAAGATAGAAAATGCAAATATAGCTCATACTACATTGTTAAAATTAAACTAAGTTTTAAGTCTACACCACTATTGTATACGATCCTCTCTCTCTCTCTACGAAAATTTAAACCAAGATGGCTGTAAGAAGCGTTCGTGCTCTCAAGGCGGCCCAGGCAGCTTTCTACTTTTTTAAAAAATCGCGATGTTGCCAGCTTTCAAAAATGTATGCATTGTCGTAAGTTGTATACACATGGTAGAATCTCTCATCTTGTGAATTTGAAATTTATTGTTTGTTGATTGATTAACGTACTTACGACGGGCTATGAACAATTCTTAAAAGCTTTAGAATGATACAGATTGTGAGCACCCTGTATATACCGTGCGCGTCGCGTTAGTAGCCACTATTTGGTACCAACATAACAACACTTTTCAAAACACGTGTGTGGAAGCGTTGTTAGATACTATTTAAATAAATAATTAAAAATGGGTATGAAAATTGTTTATTTATTAACTGCATGCTCTTATATATTTGTGCCCAATAGGTTTTTCGCCTAGAGGAGGGGGCCGTGGAGGTGGTGGTCGCGGTTTTCGTGGCGGCGGCGGCGGACGTGGAGGTGGCGGCGGCCGACCAAGCTTCGGTGGAAAGCCAAGTTTCGGCAGAGGAGGCGGTGGTAGAGGCGGCGGCGGTGGTGGCCGCGGCGGGGGCCGAGGACGAGGCGGCAAACCGGGAGGATTTAGGGGCGGCTCCAACGTCGTTATCGAGCCGCACAGACACGAAGGAGTCTTCATCGCGAGAGGCAAAGAGGACGCCTTGGTCACGCTGAACTTTGTACCCGGCTCGGAGGTTTACGGCGAGAAACGCATATCGGTCGAAAACGAGGGCACCAAAATCGAATATCGAGTGTGGAATCCGTTCCGAAGCAAACTGGCCGCCGCAATTCTAGGAGGCGTCGACCACATTCACATCGCGCCGGCCAGCAAGGTGTTATATCTAGGCGCCGCCTCTGGCACAACGGTTTCGCACGTCTCCGATATAGTCGGCCCGGACGGCTTAGTGTACGCGGTCGAGTTTTCGCACAGGAGCGGCCGCGATCTTATAAACGTCGCGAAAAAGCGCACGAACATTATTCCGATAATCGAGGACGCGCGTCACCCGCACAAGTATCGAATGCTCGTCGGAATGGTCGACACGATCTTCGCGGACGTCGCACAGCCCGATCAGGCCAGGATCGTCGCGATTAACGCCCATCACTTTTTGAAGAACGGCGGTCACTTCGTTATTTCGATTAAGGCGTCGTGCATTGATTCGACGGCGCAGCCCGAGGCCGTCTTCGCGGCGGAAGTGAAGAAATTGCAGGCGGAAAAGTTCAAACCTCAAGAACAGATCACGTTGGAACCATACGAGAGGGACCATGCAGTTGTGGTCGGGATGTATAGACCGCCGCCAAAATAAACTTGAATTTATATTTTGTTAAATACGTAGTACGTAAGGTATGAGCAGATGTTTTTAGATTGTAAGGTATGCATTAAGAGTTAAAAAAGTGTAATTTTTCTATTGGGAGTTAGATTGACACTGCCTGGAAGAGCATGAAGGCTCAAAGTAAAGAAAATCTTCTATTATTTGTGTATCTGTTGCTCGTTTTTTTGTGTTGTTAATTTATGGGGGACCAATAAATTTTAGAACCAAGAGGAACGAAAGTATTCTGCGTTAGCATTTTCACTGTTATATAGGCAACACACAATACAACTTAAATTTGAATGGGAGGGAAATATATGTATTTGGGAGAGGTATACAGAGATGTGATTAAAGTCTCTGGAGGTATAATGTGAGGGCTAGAGCCTTTGATTCCTATTACGTTATCTGTGCCTAGCGACCACGGTCCCTGTATATACAACTTACAACGATACATACATTTTTGAGAGTTGGCAACCATGCATGCATGTTTTTAACGTCTACTTACAGTTACATCGCAATGGTAATGCACAAATTCAGTGTTGCCAAATTACCATCGTACTTTTCTACAAAACTGAGAAGACGGGCATTACTGCTTACTGGACTGAATGCGAAGGCTGTTGTCACATGAAAAATGCATAGTTCACCACGGTCAACTCTACACTCATCTTTAGGCGGAACATAACATTAAAGCTGTGCGTTGAATGCGCCCATTGCAAGAGAACCTTGAGGTAAACAACAAAACATAACCTTCAAGCTGTCATCTTAAAGAAAGTATTTCTAAACTTCTTTTAAATGCCTTCCAAAAAGAAAAAATACAACGCACGATTTCCAGCTGTGAGTAAATTTTGAGGGGAGACAATCTCTTAAATGACGATCCGCTTTTTTTAAGGGGCGAATTAAAAAAATCATGCAAACAGATGAGGAGGTTGGGAAAGTGGCACAAGCTGTACCTGTTATTATCTATATCCTTAATTTAAATTGCAAATTTCATTTCTATTTTAGCTTAATAAGACTTTTTCCTTAACGCTGCATACCTCGAACGTTGGAGTTGTTTGTCGAATCGTTACTGACAAAATCGATGCAGATAACGCAGGCGAGGAATGCGAAAACGTTAACTCCGTCCCATATGAAGCAGTGTATACTGTCGGAGAGCCGGTTCGATTTTCTAAAGGATTTAGTGAAAAACGTTCCCGATCCGAGCGCGCAAGAGGACAACGAGAACGACGCCGGCGAGGTTCTAGATTACTCATTAAGTAAATCGTCGGAAAATTCGCAGAAGCAAGACAAGTCGGATATTGTCGCGAATTTTTACGTCGAACAAGGGCCGTCTGTCGGAAGGACGCCGGTCATTCAGTACGGCCCGTCGGTGACGCAAATGGAAAAACCTAAGTTAAGCTTTTCGATAGATAGTTTAGTAAGTAAGGAAGTAAGCGATCAGAAGGTGTACGTCGAGCTGGCGAAAGCTCCGACGACGCCAGTACCTTCGTCGAGTCAAACGCAAGCAGTACCTCATTTAGTACCAAGTGTAAATAGCAAACCTATCCCCGCTGTACCTGCATCTACCATTCCCCTTCACGATAATGTACCACCGTTGATACCGATTTCGCGTAACAATACTTTTCCCCCAAATAGTGGTGACAATAATCTTTACATCGACGAGGATTACGACAATTGAGGATAAGATTTGGTGTGTAAATGTTCGATGGATTACATTACAGTTGAAAATATTTTGTATAGAATGAATGTAAAACAAATATGCAATTAGGTAGTAAATAAATACAGTTATGTTTCTATTTACGTGTTGATTTGACTCGAATAGCGCATTGCATATACAAATACTACTTTTTCTTATAGAATGTGGTCCGTAGAATTCATAATTTTAAACAGTTCCAAGATTGATTGGGCTACTAGATCAAAAGTTACAGCCCTTTGAATTTTTTGTCGAAATTGGTTTTTTGCCCATAACTTTTGATTGAGACGTCTAATCGAAAAAGTACGAATCGTTTTGGATTCTACGCACCAAAATTAATAAGAAACAGTTTTTCCCTGAGAAATTTTGGTGTAGTCGATTTTTGTTAAAAAAGTAGCCCGATCTTGGAACTGTTTGAAATTATGGATTCTACAGGCCACATGAATTTTTTGTCGATATTTTTTTTTTGTCCATAACTTTTGATTGAGAAGCCTAGCTACCTTCCGAAAAAGTGACAATTAAATGCTACAGGATGAGTCATTGGCTTTCTCCGTTTTCGGTAGTGGATAGGAATCTCCAACTGTATATGAGAGGCAATTTTAAAATTCTCCTTTAATTAAGCAGAGAATAAATACATTTTAAAAAACGTACAACACAAATACAAAGTTAGTTCTTTAAAAGATGAAACATATTAAAATTAAATAAATAAAACAAAATAAATTTTTTACAAATAAACACAAATGACTGACAATAAAAAATTATATCTATAATACTATAATGTGTTAATATAATTTACTTATATAATTAAATAAATCTTTTTTTTGCGGGGGGAATTAAATGCACCACAACTGTTTATCGTTTTCTACATTTTATGCATAAAAATTTGTTTATTATTTGTAATCGTGACTAGCTTAAAAAGTACATTACAGAAGTTCGTCTCGTCAACGATCACAAATATATTGTCTCACTGTTCATCAATGAAAACTTAAAGTTGTACTATTAATCGATTAGTCTTTCTAATGTACACCAAAAATTGTAATTGACCGCTCTTATTACTAATCGTTATTATTCAAATGGGAATAAATAATGTGAGAAATTATACAGTAAGTACAGAGCCCTATGTTTATCTACAAATTTTAGTAAATAATTAATTTGCTCGAGAAACACTCAATGATTATAGCAAAATCTATGCCGAGGTAACTAACTCAGTCAACTTTATACAGGAACATTCTGTATAAATCTAAAAACTATTCGATTTTTTCTTTATATGCAAATCTACGACGAAATCTATAACTTGGGCACTAAATTTTTTTTCATTCCTCTTATAACAACTATTGTATATAATATTTTCTTTCTCTCTCTCTCGTAACGAAACGCTTAGCTCTCGTAACTTGAACTGTGGTGCTCGGCTTGAGGTGACGGTGGCGTGGATAAATTTGAACTATTGTTACTCGCTATCGAATGACGTGGACTGCTCTTCTCGGTTCCCTAAATTAAATTGGTCACGAAATTTAAAAAAAAAACCTTAACATCATACCTTAATTATGTCGTGTAACGAAGACATGCTACCTATACTGGCGGGGTCGGGTGACGGCGACGGATCGATTGGTCGTGGCAACGCCGGCGGAAGATCCCGCGGTCGCGGCGGCGCCGCCCTCTTTACGCTGTTGTAGGCGGGAAACGTCGACTTGATCGGGGTCGGGTTCGATATCTCGGGTCGTCGCCGTTCGATCTGTTTCGGAGGTAGGGGCGCCATTTTCGATGGCTTCAATTGTTTCGGTTATTGCGCGAACACTTGCAGAAAGCGAATCTATTACCTTACTCTGCAGCTGTACGTAGCCCGGATCGGGCGTGGTGACCACCGTGGTCAGGTCGATCAGGCGCTGACGCTGAATGCCCTCGCCGGGGCCCATGTGACTGATGTGATTGAAGTTTGTCGGCGCGGATATCAATTTCGATCGCCGGTCCATGCTTCTGAATTAAAAAATTTAAATTTTGGGTGTATCAAAAACATTTTGCATTTTTTTTTGGGGTGCTAAATTTGTTGAAATCAGATTTTCTATTTTTTACGTTTTCAAAATATTTCCAAATTTGGGAATTTGCTGCAGATGTGCTTTTTCAAATCTCCCCAGTTTTCAAATTTTGTGTGTATCAAAAAAATTTTGCATTTTTTTTGGACTGCTAATTTGTTGAAATCAGATTTTCTGTTTTTTTAAGTTCTCAAAATACTTCCGAATTTTCGAATTAGCTGCAAATGTGCTTCTTCAAACCTACCCAATTTTTCTGGAATTTTTCTGAATAAAAAAATTCAAATGTTGTGTGTATCATGCATTTTTTTGGTGCTAATTTGTTGAAATCAGATTATCTATTTTTTAAGTTCTCAAAATATTTCCAAATTTGGAAATTAGCTGCAGATGTACTTTTTCAAATCTCCGCAGTTTTTTGGAATTTTTGTGAATTAAAAAATTCAAATTTTGTGTGTATTTTACAATTTTTTTGGGGTGCTAATTTGTTGAAATCAGATTTGCTTTTTCAAATCTCCCCAATTTTTCTAAAATTTTCCTGAATTAAAAAATTCAAATTTTGGGTGTATCAAAAAAATTTTGCATTTTTTTGGGGTGCTAATTTGTTGAAATCAGATTTTCTTATCAAAATATTTGTTTGTCGCTATTTAATGTGTAATTTGTTTGTTACCTATATAATACTTAATGTACCTACTCGTAATTTAAATATTTGTTGACAATTTCTACACTAGTTTGTCTATGGAATAAAGTACTTAAAAAAAAAGAATTTGAGAATTAATTGCAGATGTGCTTTTTTCAAATCTCACCAGTTTTTCTGGAATTTTTCTGAATTAAAAAATTCTAATTTTGTGTGTATCCAAAAAATTTAGCATTTTTTGGGGTGCTAATCCGATTTTCTATTTTTTAAGTTCTCAAAATATTTCCGAATTTGGGAATTAGCTGCAGATTTTCAAATATCCCCAGTCTTTCTAGAATTTTTCTGAATTAAACAATTCAAATTTTGTGTGTATCAAAAAAAATTTGCATTTTTTTGGGGTGCTAGTTTGTTGAAATCAGATTTTCGATTTTTTAAGTTCTCAAAACATTTCCGAATTTGAGAATTAGCTGCTGATGTGCTTTTTTCAAATCTTCCCAGTTTTTCTGAAATTTTTCTGAATTAAAAAATTCCAATTTTGTGTGTATCAAAAAAATTTTGCATTTTTTTGGGGTGCTAATTTGTTGAAATCGGATTTTCTATTTTTTAACAAAATATTTCCAAATTTGGGAATTAGTTGCAGATGTGCTTTTTCAAATTTCACTTGAAGGAGGGGGCGCAGTAAAGGGAAAGCGATAGGCTAAAATTATACTGGAAATCATCCATTTGAAAATGTTTTTGACACAAATTTCAATTCAGGAAGAGGGAACTGTCTATTAATTAGTGGGAGGTTGATGACATTGTGATAATTTAATATCAAAGTTTGCTGTTAGATGACGAAATTATATAGAAGGGGGTACTGTAATGGAACTTTTTAGGTTGTGCGATCAACACAGGACGGAAATTAAAATTAAACTTACAATCGCTGTGCCCTGTTACCCTCGCGTAGCGAAAATCGTCTCCTCGGCCGCTGCAACGTTCTACCTTCGCGATCTTGCACGACGAGGTTGTCCAGATTTATAAGTTCACCTATCGAAAATGACAATGAAGAAGTGAAAGATCGAGAAGACGACTTACGTTGATGGATGTTCGAAACATACAATAAATGGCACAAGTCGTGAATCACGCACATCGAAAGGCTACCGCTGTCGTTTAGCGGTTTCGCCCTCTTTATGTTCAACGTCTGCACCCACTCGCCGGTGGCGCAATTGAAAATGTCGATGTGCGTTTCGCTGTAAACGATCAGGTGCCCGTCGCGATAACCTGCAAAGGTCGGATTAGCTCGGATTTCGCCGCGACGGCTACTCACAGATGGCGGTCGGAAGTGCGGGATACATGATCTCGCGGTCGCGTGATTTGCGTCCGTGCCGATCGACGTACGCAGCTAAGGTGCCGAAAACTAAGAGAAACTCGTTGCGGGGCAGCTCGATGACGCGTAGCGCTTCGACTCCGCTGCACGCCAGCGTTGCTTGCAGGGGATTTTCGGGATGGAGCAAAGCTGTAAATGAAAGTGAGCGACGTGGGGCAGCCGAGGATCACTTACAAATTGGAGGTTGGTCGCCTTGCAGACTGTACAAGGTGAAATTCGACGACGACCCGACGCACAGTTTTCCGTCGGAGAGCAGCTGCAGGCTTTGCACGGTGACCGGTAACCCCAGCTCTCGCAAACGATGGTGACGGGTTCGGGTGCGTGTTATTTCGTACACGATAATCGCCGAAGAGTTTTGTTGTTTTTTCACGGCGACGCAAAGGCAAAATGTTAGAGGCGCTTGGAGAACCGCTCCGATGGCTAACGTTGAGCAACCCTTGCTCTCCGCAACTTTGATCCATTCCGTATCGTCCCCGTCTAGTGCGCGAATGGGCACGAGCCGTACGTGCCTTTGTTTCCCGCTGACCACCACCAATAAATGCTCCTCGCTGATGTATTCCAATTGATAAATCTTCTTACCGTCACCGACACGCGCGATTTCTACAAGGACAAAGTGAAAAACCTCAACCGAACGAAGTTTCAAACCTGTTCGGTCCAAATCCACGCAGTAGAGCCCCTCTTCGGCTCCGACGACGACCCGATCCGGATCAATAATGGCGGCACTTAAGGTATTCTTAATAAGAGCTAAAGAATTATCTACAAGATCCCTAGCCACAAGCACTGTGGTATTCGGCAGGTTATTTCGTTTCAGTATACGATGCAGTTCGGAGAGGGCGACGACCCACTTGTTCTTCTCGCTCTCCGAGTCGGCCAGCATGAGCGTCGAGTTTCGAGGACCGGGCGGCTCCATCAGCGAGCTGGTTATCTAAACACTCCCGAGTCGAAATACGTCGCCCGACCGAAGTACAACTTACCCGAAAGATGCACGGGATGTCCTTTTTGTTCGCGTGAATCACGTCCGATTCGCGCACGCTCGTCACGGTGAATTGCGGATCGCGCATGTCCAGGACGTGAGCGACGTGAATGCTGGGGAGCGCGTTGCGATCCGGCGAGATGTCGTAGAGGAACAGCTTGAAGTCGCACACGACGACAAACTGCCGTACCCAACCTAAACACAAGATGAGAGTACAGCAGGGAATACCGACGAGAAGCGCCCGACACATCGCTGATTCAGCCATGGCGCTGGAAGATTCAGATAGAATTTGCACAAATTTATTTTCTTTTAGGTAGAGCGCGTCCTCTCAACTGGCTACTTATCAACTGACAACTTGCTGTTATAGTAAACCATAAAACTTTCGATCAAATTAGCTGCAGATGTGCTTTTTCACATCTCGAATTTTGTGTGTACCTATAAAAAAAATTGCCTTTTTTTTGGGGTGCTAATTTGTTGAAATCGGATTTTCCATTTTTTTTAAGTTTTCAAAATATATCCCAATTTGGGAATTAGTTGCAGATGTGCTTTTTCAAAACTCCCAAGTTTTTCTGAATTAAAAAATTCAAACTTTTCATCCACTTGAAAGAGGGGAAAGCGATAGGCTAAAATTATAACGGAAACCATACATTTGAAAATGTTTTTGACACAAATATCAATTCAGGAAGAGGGAACTGTCCATTAATTAATGGGAGGTTGATGACATTGTGATAATTTAATACTTGGATTTTTCAGATCATACTGTAGCGAATATTCTAGACCTCGGGGCGCTTTCAAGTCTATCAAGATTAGTCACCGGCGATCATAAAGGCGGGAGTGACGTGTTTTTTCCAGTAAATGTGATCTGCTTATTCGGTAATTCTCGAAAATCTTTCGTGATTTTTCTAGAAACTTTCCGTTTGCCATATAAGCAAACAGAAACGTAACAAACATAACCTCACTCTTGTTAAAAACGGACCAACGGAAACGTAAATGTTCAACTTCAAGCAACTTTTCCGTCATAAGCGGCCGACGTACGATTTTAAATTTTATTGTCTTCTGATTAGCTAACGGACAAACAGAAATGTATGAACGGAACTAAGAACTCACCTTAAGTATAGAAAAATATGCATACGCACCGCTTCATACGAAAGGTGAGCGGTAGTGAGTATAGAGATTACGGCGACCCCCGGGCTAACTGCGAGGTTGCCTAGAATCGTTGGGAGTCGGAGGAATGAAATAGAGCAGACATTTGCTTTGGTTCCGTTCCAGCTCAACCTCGATCGCGATAGTGTGCGAGCCAAGAGACTGACTGGAGGATATAAAAGTTTCCGTGCAGTTTGTGAATCGCGGAAAAAATGTGAATTGTTCGTGGGTCTGAATTGGAGTAGAGCCATATTTTTAAAACCGTGCCTAAACTTGTTCGGCGCTCGTGTTAATAAAATTTCAACTGTATCATCCCAAAGTGATCCAGTTTCCATTTTTTCTCGGAGGGAGCCTTTTTCAAGGGAGGGCCGTGCCATTTGGAACTTTGTAAGGTAATGTCATTAGTTCGTGTTGCTGCAAAAAAATTAAAGAAAAAACGCAATTTTTGAAACTTTCGAAGAGGTAGTTCATCTTAACAGCCAAACGCCGACAACAGACAGAACTTCTCCTATACACCTTCCAGCGCCATCTTTTAATTGAAGCTCTGCCAACGGCTTCGACATGTGACGGATACTTCATACGTTGAAAAAACTTCGCGCCGATGATATTATGGAAAAGCGAGCACGTACGCGAGCCACCTACCTTTCTTAACGCCTCCCTGCTTGGGCACCTTAACGTACCCCTCGTACGCGGTTCCAATTCCCCTCGTCGGATCGATCCCAAGCGGCCGCTTAGCTAATCATGAGAGATGAGTCTAACAGGACTCGCGACTTAAAGCAACTTACTTTGATCGGCCGGAACGGGACACACAACGGGCACATGAGGACAGCACGACGTGTGACACGTAAACCCACAAATTTCGCAGACCATACCTTGACGCATCAGACCGACCATTAACGACGTGCAGTGGCTGCACTTCGTCGGGCTCGAGAACGTACGAACCAAGAACTGGTGCGACTTGTGCTTGACCGGCGATTGGGCGTCGTGCTAGAAAATTGGTTCCTTTAAGAGGATCGGGGCGAGTCGCGAGATTACCAAGCTCAATTCGGACAGGTTGCTCTTCGAGTTCGTAACGCTGAGCGCGCGGTTGTCTTCGATGTCGCCGTCTTCCGATTCCATCGAGCCTTGGTAGAGAAGACCTTGAACGGTGCTCGCCTCGTACTGCTGCTGTTGGACGGCGTGCACTTGAGATTGTTGCGTTGAGTTCGTTTCTTTTAGAAATTGATCTAGATACGACATTTGGGACGACGGACGTTCGAGAACTAAAAAGAAATTACGCGTACGTCATTAAACGGTTGTACGGGTTGCGGGAAAAATAAGGACAATTACAAATAACAGAAAGGGACAAGAGCATACTTTCTTTTATTTGAATGTTGAAACGATCAGACTTGGATTGCACGAAAGTGAATATTCTCTTTCGGCCGAGAGTAGTTTTTGTTGTTCGTTAGAGACCATGATCACTTACGCGCAAAATATCGAAACGTCGGCCAACAAGGTTGCAATTTACATTGAGAAGATGCGAGGTCCCTAACGTTAGCAACGACCATTTCCAGTAAGGTGACGTCAGCACTGGTATGAGTATAACCAAACCGAGCTTATCGCAACGACACACCGACCGATTTAGAATTTCACACATTTACCTCTCTGCAAGAGCCGAATTTTGTATGGGGTAAAGCTCTACAAGGCGTTCAATGTTTAAAAGCATCTAAGGGTCTTTAAAAGGTTTCATGAGTTTTAAAGAGTCTGTAAGAGTAGCAAATGGTTTCAAAGTTTCTAAAAGCCACTGTTTTTGAAGTTTTTAAAAATTAGCCTTTACCAGGTCTCATGAGTTTTCACGGGTATTTAGGGGTTTTAACTGTCTCCAATCTCCTCCATGCATCTTTTAGAAACTTGTAACAGTCTTCAGTAGCTTTAAGGGTATTTAAACCAGTGTCTATCTGATTGCTTTGGGGCCCCTCCCCGAAAATGTTTCAATCCTAACTTTTTTAGGGGTGTCAATTTTGGCGATGACGTAACATTGTCGAAAGTCGTTGCTAACTTTATGGACCTGAAGATCTGAGCGCTGTTGCTTTTTAGTATCAAGGTCTGTAGATAGTTAGATGAGCCGTATTCAGGTCGTTACGACGCCATTGTTATCCCACTTCCCGTCGAGCGTGAATGCAAATATTCGCATAATTTATTAATTTTAGTACGATCCAGTCTTTAAAACATGCGCAACGAGTGCTGCCAGTGCTTTAGAGACCAATAATATACGCGTTATTATACCTACAACTTAAAAATGACGTTATACTCGAATACATGTCTAATTTATTGGGCTGCTTATTCTTAATTCAATAATGATAGCGATTTGCTTATAAAAATCGCCGTCTATGTAAAAAAATTACTTCGGTTGAAAAAGATAATAAATACATCATCCATTCAGTGGCTTGTTGCAGAATCAGAAGAAAAGTTGGCACCTGCAAAATCCAGTAAAGCCTTTTATAAATAATATTAAAAAGTTGTGTAAAATATATAAAAAGAAGCGGTGATGATTTCATGTCTATAATGATACCTTCCCTTCTCATCTCCAAATTGGAGTACTGGCTATTTCTGTATGTCCTCTTTACTGGCGACTTTTGCACAACTGATCGTAATTGACATTGATATGCTCGTATCCTTTTAAAAGACAATTAGTACCTTAAAAGTTAAAAACTGATTTAGTAGCACCTAAACAAAAAACAACAGATCAGATGACAAAATGATTATCTAAAACCACACAAAAATGCTAAAATATAACAAATGTATTAGCGGCAAAGAACATTTATAAAAATAGTAAAAAACTCTATGCAATATTAGCACTCCAAGCCATGGATGGATACATAAAAATAAATAAGCTAAGTTATGCTAAGGTGCTTGCTTAGTAATATAAGAACAAACCCTTGCTTTGGTGTCGAGCGCAGGCCGGCATTCCGATACTCGCTGCTTGCAACATTTTTTTAAAGTTCACTACACTTAAAAGATCCTCCGTGGAATAATTTTTATTAAAACGAGTTAAAAACAAATTAATAGAAAAGAAAATAATCAAATCGTCACTTTACAATATATACACTCGCAAATATATCAACAATTAACAATTAGACTACGAAAAAATCACAAACAAAAATTGTTTTCATACAACAGTCTGCGAACCACCGTAAAGGCGCAAAACTAATAACATGATGCCCCAGAAGCATGACGTAACACCAATCACCAGAGGGATCTGACGTAACCATGACCGAACTGTACAATATACAGTTACTATTATCTGCCTAGGAGTGCTAATATACACTGCAGCCAACGTACATTTTTTACAAAACTCTTTTTGGCTACAATGTCGGATACACTTTGCCATTTCGCAATACGTCGAATAAAACTTGACAATTTATACTCACATCCTTCTCCCGAATCCAGCCGACCTTGCAGATCCTTTATCTGCTTATCTTTCCGTTTCAGATCCGTGTTTAAGGCATCGTTTCGTTGTCTGTAATCGCGCAGCTCCCTAAAAAGGCACACCCAGATTACGACCAAAAACGAAAAGCAAAGGCACCTACTTTTGCGCGGCGAGCAGTTCCGCCCTCGTCTTGCTCAGATCCTCGCTGATCGTCTGCTTCGCCTGAATCTCGGACTGGAGCGAGCTCTGCAAGTTGAGCAGCTCCATCTTGTCCAACTTCTGCGAACGCCGATTTCGCCAGTTCTTGTCGCCCGTGACCACCGCGTTCGAGACACCTTGAACAGGTTCCGCAATTGAGCGAGCTGAATTGGAACGACTCTTGCAATTTTAAAGCTCGTATCGTCCTTTAAATGCATTTTTCTCTTTGAAGAGTATTCAAAGCTCTGAGCAATATTTAAGATCCTTCAAAAGTAGTGAAAAACCTGGGTCAAGAGTCATTGAGGAGTGAGCGATTTAAAATTCCTCCTAATGACAAATCTTGAGGTTTGCTGAAGGTTCTTAAAGACTAATCCCTTAACAACTCACAAAAACCTTTTCAGGTCTTAAGGCCTTCAAACACTCTTAAAAACCATTAAATCCTAATTCTATTAACGGGAATTCTTAAACACTCTCAAAAATAAATATCTTTAAAGACTCTGCCCTTAAAGGTTCGTAACTAGTTTCTCAGTACTTTTAAAGGTTTTAAGTCTTCACAAACCCAATAGTCTCCAATAGGTTCTAAACATCTAAAGGGTTGTTATTTGACAACCTTAAAGACTCTCCCAAGGATTTATAGTGTCCAAGGGTCTTCTAAATGGTTGGGGAACCTTTAATGGGCTTTTGAAAGCCTTAAAAGACTTGAAAAATCCTTGAGATTTTCTCTTTTCTTTGATAGCTGAGCCTTTAAGAGTTTTTGAGCCTTTGAGAGTCCTAAGGGGAGTTTAAGAACCTAAACTTCAGAAAAGGAGCCTTTATTTATTAAACTTTAAAAATCTGCCAACAATTTTGAAAACCTACACTACACGAAGCATTTCAGAGGTGTTAGTGTTTGAAGGCCAAACCTTGAAGAGCTTTGCAGTCTCTGAGAGCTATTACGGGTCGCTTATGTCCTCAAAGAGTCTCCGGTGCCTGCTATTTAGAATCTCTACAAGGCGTTCAATGTTTAAAAGCATCTAAGTGTCTTTAAAAGGTTTCATGAGTCTTAAAGAGTCTGTAAGAGCAGCAAATGGTTTCAAAGTTTCCAAGAGCCACTGTTTTTGAAGTTTTTAAAAATTAGCCTTTACCAGGTCGCATGAATTTTCACGGGTATTTAGAGGTTGCAACTGTCTCCAATCTCCACCATGCGTCTTTTAGAAACTTTCAGAGAATGGAACACTCTTCAGTAGCTTTAAAGGCATTTAAACCAGTGTCTATCTGATTTCTTTGGGACCCCCTACAGCCTTTACAAAGAGTAAGAGTTAGAGTTTTTAGAGTTCTCAAACGCCTGTCAGACAGAAATAGCTGTAGAGTACGTGTCTAATACTGAAAATTGGCTCTGATGTTTTGGTACACAGATCTTGATCTATTTATAAAACCGTGTGTCTCTGTCTCTCTCTTTCGGTCTCTGTATCTTTCCAAATGCAAGTGCGACCTTGGAAAGTAAGTCCAGGCAAAGCTCAGGTGTTGCCCCTAAAAGTCAAGGACCTCAGTTTCAAGGTTATCCACAGTCAATGTCCTCATTTTTTGTGGTGTCATTTTTTATTCATCGCGCCTACGTTTATGGTTCGCGTGTACGTATGGGTTCAGGTTTATTTTTTTGTTAACACCAAGGAATTCATTTTTTGTGGTATATTTTATCTTTAAGGTCATCAAATAAACCAAACGTGAACGCGAACAGGAACACAAACATGGACGCGATGAATTACTTACTTAAAAATTAAAGAATGACACCATTAGAAATTAGGACATACACCATAGATGACCTTGAAAATGGAATATGTCGCCACACAAATGGGATTATTGACCTTTAGCGCCGATTAGATCATTGCGCTTTACGTTGACGTAGGAGAAAAATATGAAACTAAAAATAATGGAGCAGCTCATTAACCATACTTTACGTTGACCTTGACCGGTTTCCGTCTTTTTCTTTCTGGTCTACATATCTCTGTCTGCCTTTGTCTATGTCTTCTTGTCTCCGTCCACGTTAGAGTGTGTCACCTTCTGTCTCTGTTTCAGTCTGTCCATTTATCCATCTCTCCGTCTCTTAACTTAGGTGGACAGCAACAGGAAGACCAGTATAGGACCAGGGGTTGAAAATCAAAGATCTGGGAGGCCACGCGGAAGACCCAAAAGGAACTGGAGGATAGGAGAAGACAAAGGAGCGGAAGTGAAGAACACGAAACAGCGAACTGACCTGAATGCTTCAAATACTCCAACTCCTCGGTCATCTTCGAAGCGAGCGCTTGGAGATACGAGCGGGCATCCTTCTCGTCGCTAACCCACTGAATAATCTCGGACAGCTGCGACTCCCACTGGCCCAGGCTCTCCTGCTTGTTGCGCAACTGCTCGTACTCCGCTTCGATTGCCGCCCGATCGTTTTGCAGATGCGACATTTGCTCTGTCAACTGAAGAATATACGATTAAATAAGGCCGAAAGTCGCTTACGCGATTTTAACGAAAACAAAACTCACTAAATTAATATTCGAGTGCAATTTACTATTGTCCTCCCGCAACATAATTTTTTCTCGTTCGTGCCGGCGATTTAATTCCATTATGACCTGCTCAGAGTCGGCGATCGTCTCTACCCTAGCTTTCTCTTGTCGATCTTTTAATAAATGTACCTAAGTGCGAGAATGATAGAAAAAAAAATCGAAAAACGTGACAAATGCGAAACTGTGCGCTAACCTCTCGCTCCAAGATGTCCCGGTGATTTTCGGCCTCGTTCAATTGCTCTCGTAACGACGAAAGCTCCATGTTGTACCTCGCCTGCTGTTGCGTTAGACTTTCGTTGTACTGAAGCTAAAAAATGAGGTTAGATCGGAACCGGAGGTTGACCGGGGGTTACCTCGAGTTTTTCCAGCTCCGCCTTGAGCCGTTGCGCGTCTTGCTGATCGCGCGATCCGATGTCGCTTCGGACGCGCAACCGATCCGACTCGACCTGTATCTGACGGCAGTACTCCTCGGATCGCTCGCGTAGTTTTCTCTCCTTCGAAGCTTCGGCCAGCGCTTCTTCGATTCGCGACTCCAAGTCGCGCCGAAGCTTCTCCGCCTTACGTATATCGTGCCTGAGCGCGTCGACCTTTTGCATCGCCGTCTCCAACTCCTCCTCCTTGTCCCTAACCTGAAACGAGTAAAGGTCAGCGAGTCATCCTTCGGTCGACCGTTGCAAACCTGTCGAGAGAGCTTCTGCTTGTGCTGTCGCAGCTCGGAGAGCCGATCGGACACCTCCGAGTACTCTGCCATTGCCAGTTTTCGTTGTGCTAACGCGTCCTTCAGCTCTTTATCTTGTAGCTTAATTTTCTCGTACAAGTCCTGTTTATCTTTTAACGCCTCGTCCTTTTCTTGCTTTAGAATTTTGACGATTTTTTCCAATTCTTTCGATTTGCCTGAAAGCATGCAAATATACATTCGTTTTTTATTGTTTGTTGTGCGGTAGTCTGCTGCATATGCATTTACACCTGTAATTGCTTAATCCCGAAAAGATAGCCAAAAGTCAAAAAATGAAGGAGATTATTTTATGATGAACGCGGTGCTCCCTTAAATACTGGAATCAACGTAAAAGCGAGGCGGCTGGTTTCGCGACGGTTGAACAGCGCGTCCATTTGTTCACGCGAATTTTTTACGGGCAGTCAGCCCTATTTGTTTACTTGAAGACGCAGTATGCCATTTTTATAATCAAGCAGAAGCTAATTAACCAAAGTGGTGTAAGAAGTTTAACGCGTCTTGTCCGATTTCGGAAGTTTTGTCAAGTTGAAAAAGTATCAAGAACAAGTGAATTTCCAGAAGCTGTCAGCGAGTTAAGTGCGCCTGAATATCGCAAACCTTGTACGATCAGATTATTTAGATTATTTTAAAAAAACTGGAAGTAATTTATTTGTCGACCACTTGCGTGCGGTGTAATATGTCCAAACGGCTTTGTAAGTTTTTCTTTCTTTCAGGGATTTTGTTTTAATTTTGTTTTGTTCAATTAATTGTTTATTCGAATCCATTGTGCGACCCGGATAGTTTTTCATGTCAGATTTTCCTGTTCGTGCCCAAGAATTATATCAGGTGTTAATGAAAATTGGTGTAGCTTATTCTTTGAAATTGATCAAGGCAACCGAATCTCCCAAATTTTGAATTTAAAATCAACATTAGAATTTTTCATTGTGACAGGAGTCAAAGGTTGTTTGTTTGGGCTAGATTTTTGTGGGAAGTGTCGTGACCGCATGCCATTGCACACTACATAAATAAAAATGAATGTTTGTATCTCTTATATTTTTCGTAATTTATATCCGCCATTTTGTTTTTTTTTAAATTTAACATCAGAAGAAAAACCCCGACTTTCATTTAAAAACCGATGTTACTTATTTTTGTCCGCTAAATTTGACCCGCCATTTTGTTTTTGAAAAATTGAATATCAGATTCTCAATCAGCGCACCCACAAAACACCAACTTTCATTAAAAAATTACAATTTTTCGTACTTTTTATCCGCCATATTGGATCCGCCATTTTGTTTTTTAATTGACAATCTGATTCTCAATTAGCGCGCCCAAAAAACCCGACTTTCATTTAAAAACAACAAATTCGAGTCATTTTTGTCCGCTATGTTCGATCCGCCATTTTGTTTTTTGAAAATCTAACATCAAACTCTTAATCAGCGCACCCAAAAACCCCGATTGCAGAAAAATCGCTCGATGCCTTCATATTTTGGCCAGCTTTTCGGGATTTCGAATTTAAGATTATTATACAGGGTATATTGCAAATTTTGTGTACGTATTTATTTACTTGTAATAGAATTTTCCACATTGTAGCGTTTTATAATTTTAACAATTCACAGAAAGGTGATTGAAATTCAATTATGATTTTTGTTATCGGCTTGTGTGATGAGCGTGAGGTTTTTGTTGGTTTTTTGTGGGGGGTGTAAAATATTTGTAATAGGTGGTCGCTCAGCAGTATTCAAAAATTTGGCTTTGATTGTTTTTTATTAACCATAGGAAAACTGACAAAATATACCGCTTTATAGCGAACGTGAACGAAAGTATGTCCGGAAACAAAAGCGATAACGTGTAAATTTTCAAAAATACAACGTTTTTAGTCTCGTGCTGAAGTGACAAACAGTGCAATCTTAATTTGCAATTGGCGTCTTTGGAAGACAGTTACTTACCACTCTCTCCGTCCACCGAGTCGAGCTTAAGATCATTCGAATGTCCCGCTTCGAGGTTTCGTAATTGAGATTCGAGCTCGCAATTTCGCTTCGTAAGTACGTTGATTTCGTCCTGTAATTTTCGCGTGCTATCCGGCGACATTTTCTTATCTAACTCTATCTTATCCTGATTTAAAGCTAGCGACATGATGTCGTCGTGGTTCCGCTTGATCTGCCGATCCGAACTATTTACAATGTTGTTAAACGTTATATTCGTCGAAATACAACCTAAGTCAGATATACAACTGCAAGAAGAAAAAATAAAGCAAAACTCTCATCTACGTGGAGCGGTGACGCTCACCTTCCTTGCGTGAACGTAAAGCCCACGAAAGGCAAATGTAGCCCCGTGAAAACGGAGTTACCAGTAGGAGGCACGGCGTCGGATACGCGAATATCCGCATCGTCCACGTCGAAATTCGATGTATCTGTCGGACTGGACACTTCCGGTATGTACGGAGCGGCGCCATCTTGGATACCATTCCAATCTACCCCCTCGAACCACGCGTGATTCTAAAATGACCAATATCAGTGCCTACCACACCAAACGCGCAACGGTAAAAAATACTGTGAAAGCAAGCCTCAGATTACTAAAGAACAATCACGAAAAATTATTCGGTCGAAATCTGTTCCCCGCCATCAGCGTCCGACATTTAATTTCACATGTCAACAGCAACCGGCGAGCTACAATCTATCCACGATTTTACAGTGCCTAGACTGTACATCTAGCCACCAAGATTGCGTGGAACCGCATCAGAAAGTGCTTATCATCATCGGCTTCGCCAATAGCAAGTTTTAGTCAGGCCCAACTTAAAACTACCCCCACCTTAAAATCCTGTATGCCGTTCTGTCCGAGACGAAACTCCTGGCTGCAGATCAGCTGACGGATCAGGTCCTTCGCCGCGTCCGAGACCTCGACGTCCGTCGCGAAGTCGAAGCAATTCTTGTGGTTCATTATTTTGCCGTAGGTTTCGACCAGACTTTCGGCGTAAAAGGGCGTCTCCCCGTAGAGCATTTCGTACATGCAAACGCCTAAAAAGTCAAACTGAATTTTTTTCTCTAAAAGTTAAAATATATTTTTTTTATTTTCCAAATTTGTCTAAATTTTAATTTTTTGTATATTTGCACTTTTTTTATTTTTCTAAACGTTATGTACACTCAATTTTGAAGTTGCGCCACCCTCGCAAAAATCACCTTTTTGAAAATATTCCTAGGCGTTTTCTATAAAAACTCACAAAAAATGTTTTTGAAACAGAATTTTTTAAACAATTCTTAAAAAATCGTAGAAACCATAGAAATCATTTTAGAAACATTCTTAGCCATTTACAAACATTAGAAATGCCTTTAGAGACCTTTTTGATAATATTTGCACTTTTTTTTATTTTTGAAATTTTTCTAAACTTTGTCTACACTTAATTTTGAAGTTGCTCCACCCTCGCAAAAATTACCTTTTGGAAAATGTTCCTAAGCGTTTTCTTTAAAAACTCACAAAAAATGTTTTTGAAATAGAGAATTTCTTAAAACATGTTTAAAAAAATCGTAGAAACCATAGAAATCATTTTAGAAACATTCTAAAGGTAAGTTCATAGCTCTCCGTTCATACGTTTCCGTTTGTCCGTTAGCCAATCAGAAGACAGCAAATTTTTAAATCGTACGTCGTCCGTTTACGACGGAAAAGTTGGTTGAAGTTGAACATTTACGTTTCCGTTGGTCCGTTTTTAACAAGAGTGAGGTTATGTTTGGTACGTTAACAGTGTTCGCCTATTCGTTCTTCACGGTGATATTCAGATAGCAACGTGTTCTTATTTTCGTATCATTTTTTCATACTGAAAATCACGGAGGGTACAGTACAAAATAAAATTTAGGTTATGGTTATACGTTGCAAATGTACAATGTGGACGGATTGCTATGAACCTTAACAAAATGTACTATCCGTTTGACGGATCAACGCAACGGATGAACGGAGAGCTATGAACCCACCTTTAGGCTTTTACAAACATTAGAAATGCCTTTAGAGGCCTTTTTGATAATATGCCTAGAAATATATTTGCACTTTTTTTATTTTTGAAATTTTTCTAAACTTTGTGTACACTTAATTTTGAAGTTGCACCACCCTCGTAAAAATCACCTTTTGAAAATATTCCTAGTAATTTTTGTTAAAATATCACGGAAAAAAGAGTTCTTGAAATACGATATTTCTTAAAATTCCCGAAAAATAATTTTAACGCATTTTTTATTTAAAGAACAACTTTTTTCTGTAGTTTTCAAAAAATGTTCTACAGACATTTCTAAGAGTTGTAAAAGGCCAAGAATGTTTCTAAGATTTTCACGGGCCATACGAATTTTTAAAAATTTCCTATTTCAAAAAACGTTTTTTTTTGTTTTTAAAGATACCCATTTTAAAAAGTTTTCAAAAAATTCGGTCGTGTGCACTTACTTTTGACTGGAAAAAAATAAATTTTGAATACACCTGCCACTGTTTTGAATTTCTTTCTCCATTTTAATAGTTCAAATTTTACTGAATTTCAATTGTTGCATGTATATATTTGTACACCTGTCTCCTCTGCGGAAAAAGTGTTATATTTTTAAGTAAATTTGTCAGACTTTTGAATGCTGTATGCAAAACATTTTTAACTTTGACTAAAAATCCTAAAATCGTAGGAATTCTCTTAGAAACATTCTTATACCTTCACTAAGATTAGAAACCTTTTTGAAAATATTCCCAGGTATTTTCTTAAAAATTCCAACACAAAAAGTTTTTGAAATTTTTAAAAATATTGTTCGCGATTTTACTAGATACCTAAAAAAATTCGTAGAGATCCTCTTAGAAACAATCTTGGCCTTAGAAATTCTTTAGAGAAATATTCCTAGGCATTTTTTTAAAAGACGCACAATAAAAAATTTCAAATAAGGAGCTTCTTAAACATATTTTTGGGATTTTACTAAAAAAAATTCATAGCAACTGTAGAAGTCCACTTCGAAACATTCTTGTCCTTCTCAAATTTTGTTTAGACCTTTTTACAAATATTTTTTAAAACTCCACAAAAATATTTTTTAAATAGGGAATTTCTTAATTTATATTTTCGCCATTTTGCGAAAAATGTTACTAAAAATTTTAAAAAATCCTCATTCATGGCCTTTCACACACCTTTCTTTAAACTTTCTTAGAAATTTTCTTAAAAACGATCACATAAAAATGTTTTTAAAGAGAGACTGTTTAAAAACATTCTTCCCGATTTTATTAACAAAAAAAATTCATAGGAATTATAGAAACCCTTCGTTTCACAAACCTTAGACATTTTTTTAGAGATCTTTTTGAAAATATTCCTAGTAATTTTTTTTAGAATTTCACGGAAAAAAGATGTTCTTGAAATACGAAATTTCTTAAAATTCCCGAAATAGTTATTTATATAACAAGAGCGCGAAGTTCAATTTCGCGCATTGAGACTGAAGGTATTTAGACGAGGCGAAGCCGAGTCAAAATATCAGTCAAATGCGCGAAATAACTTCGCGCTAGCGTTATATACAATATTTTTTCTACAACTGAACCGATTGTTAATTAAATTTGCTGTTTAAGTTCAACTTTGTCACGTGCGCGAAATACTTTTTTTCACTGTTGACGATTTCGCGCACGTTGTCAATAGCAACCTTACTTATTAATTAACCGTTTAAAAATCTAGTACTTCGCGTTTCGAAATCCGTCAGAAAATGACAGGTTTTTTTGACAGTTGTAGAAAAAATAATTTTAAGGCATTTTTTATTTCAAGAACTTTTTTCTGTAGTGTTCAAAAAATGTTCTGCAGACATTTCTACGAGTTGTAAATGGCCAAGAATGTTTCTAAGAGTTTCAAGGTCCCTACGAATTTTTAAAAATTCCCTATTTCAAAAAACTTTTTTTTTGTTTTTAAAGAAACCCATTTTTAAAAATTTTCTAAAAAATTCGGTCGTGTGCACTTACTTTTGACTGGAAAAAAATTAATTTTGAATACACCTGTCACTGTTTTGAATTTCTTTCTCCATTTCAATATTTGAAATTTTACTGAATTTCAATTGTTGCACATATACAGTGTGTAAAGCGATGGGGTATACAAGAGGGAATTTTTTTAAAATATCGATTTATGAAAAAAATTTATTCTTCATGATATTTTTTGCTTGCTTTAAAAGTACCAATGACGTTTCGATTGTTTGTGGTTTGATAGCAATACGCTATTTTGATTATAATGTAGAATGATAACTTTCAATAAAAACAATTAATTTTATTATTTTTCCAGATTTCTATAAATAAATTTTAGATTATCGAAACGTTATTGGTACTTTCAAAGCAAGCAAAAAATATCATGAAGAATAAATTTTTTTCATAAATCAATATTTTAAAAAAAATTCCCTCTTGTATACCCCATCGCTTTACACACTGTATATTTGTACACCTGTTTTTAGAAATGTTTTTGAAAATATTCCTAGAAATTTTATTAAAAATTTCACGGAAAAAAGATGTTCTTGAAATACGAAATTTCTTAAAATTTACGAGTCGTTTTTTATTTCAAGAACACCTTTTTTCTGTCAAATTTTCAAAAAAATGTTAAAAAAAGTCTTCGCAGACATTGTTAACAATTGTAAAAGGCCAAGAATTTTTCTAAGATTTTCACGGTTCCTACAAATTTTTAAAAATTCCCTATTTCAAAAAACATTTTTTTGAGTTTTTCAAGAAGCCCATTTTTAAAAATTTTCTAAAAAATTCGATCGTGTGCACTTACTTTTGACTGGAAAAAAATTAATTTTGAATACACCTGTCACTGTTTTGAATTTCTTTCTCCATTTTAAAATTTGAAAGTTTACTGAATTTTAATTGTTGCACATATATATTTGTACACCTGTTTTTAGAGATATTTTTGAAAATATTCCTAGAAATTTTATTAAAAATTTCACGGAAAAAAGATGTTCTTTAAATACGAAATTTCTTAAAATTTACGAAAAATAATTTTAAGTAATTTTTTATTTCAAGAACACCTATTTTCTGTCAAATTTTCAAAAAAATGTTAAAAAAAGTCTTCGCAGACATTTCCAACAATTGTAAAAGGCCAAGAATGTTTCTAAGATTTTCACGGTTCCTACGAATTTTTAAAAATTCCCTATTTCAAAAAACATTTTTTTTGGGTTTTTAAAAAAAATCCATTTTTAAAAATGTTCTAAAAAATTCGGTCGTGTGCACTTACTTTTGACTGGAAAAAAATAAATTTTGAATACACCTGTCACTGTTTTGAATTTCTTTCTCTATTTTAATATTTGAAATTTTACTGAATTTCAATTGTTGCATTATTTGTACACCTGTCTCCTCGGCGGAAAAGGTTTTACATTTTTATGTAAATTTGTCAGACTTTTGAATGCTGTATGCAAAAAATTACAAATAGAGATAATGAACTTGTTTATGGTTCATTACAGACTATGATTATAATTTCTTTTGTTAGTAGGGACATCTATGTCTTACAATTTAAACTATCAAAAACCGTCACAATTACTGCATATTCAATGGTGACAGTTTTTTGGTTAAAAATTGAAACTCTTTCATGCTATTTGCATTTAAAATTAAACCATTTTTCCCAAAATTTGGGGCCAAATGAAATGTTGACATAAAATGGCATTAGCAAAATTTGTACCTAAAGACCACCAGTCACATTCCGGCCCATATCTGCCCTGCCCATCTTCCATCGCCTAAAAACACACGTAACTAATTGCACTTGAGATTTGTGACACTTTACCCTCAATATTTCGGGTGAAATATAATCTGGCGTTCCAACAGCGACATTGGATTGGACGGTACCATCATCATTCAGTCGTAAACAACTACCAAAGTCCGCCAAACGGATATGACCGTTGGCGTCTAACAGTACGTTATCCGGTTTTATGTCCCTAAAACGAGCGACTATGACACGGGTCAGCACAGCAGAAAGACTTACCTATGCACGTATCTAAGATTATGAATAGAATCGATAGCTAGCACCATTTCGGCAATATAAAACCGAGCCATATCTTCGGGAAGACGATCTTCAAATTTGCTAAGCAACGTCAAAAGGTCACCGCCGCAATAATAATCCATTACTAAATATAAATTATTCTCATCCTAAAAGCGGGTCGAATAAATTAAGCGCCGAATTACGTACGACTTACTTGGAAGGCAAAATGTAAATGTGTGATCCACCTGTGATCGCCGAACACGAGTACGTCCCGTTCCTCTTGAAAGCACGCGGTTTCGGCACGTTTCAGCATCTCCCACTTGTTCAAAATCTTCATTGCGAACACCTTATCGGACCCGCGCATCTTAACAACGCAAACTTCGCCGAAAGCGCCGCGACCGATCACCTTAATTATCTCGAAGTCCTCTCTCGTGAGCCTCAACGATTTGATACATGTCGCGACGGGTTTAACTGAAAAAACTTTCGCGTCAGAACGACTACACGGCTGAAGGAGTCTCACCGAACTCGATGAAATCGGAAACGGTCTTCTCCCGTCGCAGGCTTGAATTGCAGCACTCGTCGTACAATATAATCAGAACGTCGATCAGCGTTTCGATGCTAAAACTTTGACCCTTCGCGTGGACAGGGCCGCCCAAGAAGAGGGACTCCAACTGCCGCAGTCGCCACTCGCCCGTCACACCGGGCATGGCCCCAACGACCCCGTCACTCATCTGTAGCTAACATTACAAGAACCTACGGAGAAAACGAGTCACGGCACGGGGAAATACGGGGATTAGTCACCGAAATATGATGGCATTAATATTTTTAGGGCTTGTTTCAAATAGAAATGCCACCAAGGGGGAAAACAAAGTGAGACGGACGCTACTTTCACAAATTATTCAAATCAATTAAACGTAATCACCTTCTTAATTGAGATCAATTAATAATAAGAATTTGTATCGTGACATTTAAAACACTTTCAATTGTTGCAAGCGGCCATTTTTACACCCCCACTGCGCCAATCTGTAATTGTTGACCCTCTTCGATGTTATGACACGAATTTGTTCTACGCCTCCTCCATTATATTTTAATTAGCTTGAGCTAACGCAAATTACTTGGATCCAAAACTTTGTTTGAGTGTTAAATAATTTGGTGTAAATTGAATAATTGCGACAATTTTTCCAGAGGATTTAAACAGGTCCGGACTGGAAACGTGGAACCCACCCACACGAGTTGTCCTCATGGTCACGTGACGGAATCAAAATCGAGTTAGCCAATAATATCAGATTAGCCTAGATTTTGTTGAAGAATAGAGGCTATGAGAGCGTGAGACGTTCTGGTTAAACGGTTTTATAACAAAACTGAAAACCGGCTGTTTGGTCTCTATTAAAAAAAATGGAAACGGAGAGGGTGAATCGAAGGACCTACAAGTATATTATGTTACTGTTACACCTCTACGTTGGTTTCTATCAGTAGTGACGTCGACATCGCCACTTTGGACTGTCAGAGGGCTCCAAAATGGCAAACGAGTCTACTGTAACCGCCACCACTACTATAGTGACCAATGATGGATCTGCAAAATTGAACGCTGTAGGTGTGGTCAAACCATTATTCCAACAACTGTCCTTGTTCAAGGTTCCCGATTGTTTGTGAATTTCATTCAATCTCGTTTGTCATTTTTTCAATGCAGGACATTTGAGGAAACTGACCCTGATGAATAGAGCCGAAGTTCAAAAAGTTAAAGATCAAAAAAACGGTCCGTAAAATCTGCGTTCGTTGGCGGGCCCTTCGGCGTGCATTATGGCTTCAAAGATATCCTATACAAATACAGACACTCCTCCAAACACAGAGCAAGCTGAATTAGTAGCCAAGGCGACGCACATTTTCGCCAGGATGGGTAGTGATAAAGCAGTCCGGCTCTGGATTTAAAGCGCCACCTTTGGACAGGTAGGGTGTAATCGCGCCAGGTTTCTGTGACGAAATCGGAAAAGGTCCGTGACCACACCTGCACGATCCAATTCCATCTTTCTTACCGTGGACTATTAATATTTGCCACTTTCGCTACGCGAACGCTAACGGGCACTCATTAACTGATAACTACGAATAACGACCTGCTCCGTTAATTGCGACTCAAACTAAGAGGAGTCGATCTAAAAATCCCCCATGTTTTTCCGGATAGGCATCGCTATTTGGAATGAATTAGGTAGCGCTCTTCTGTGTTACGCAGGGCGTCTGTTTTATTAAAAACCTTAAATTGTAGAGCAATTGAAAGCGAATTTGTCCTGCAAATCCTGTTTTTACGTTTAATACTTTGCTGTTGCAAGCTAGGCGTGCTGGAAATTGTAGGCGAAAGGCCAATAATTTCAAAATTTAAATGGATATTTATGAATGGCAAGTGGAGAATTGGCAACGTCGCGCATTCTTGAGGTTCCAAGTTCTTCCTAGTCAAATATGTGTAAAAATCTGTTTATAAATAAATCCTAATCGGAAATAGACGCGTTATTGTGGGACGATAAACGCTTTGGATGCTTTCGGGTTTAATTGCCGACTATTTTAGTGCGAATTCCGATTTTTCCGGCGCCGATTTAATGAGGTGAAAATTTCGGTTATGAAATCGGAATTTCGTTTGACTCCCGCTTTCAGTCGTACGCAATGGAGTTTTGTGTATTATGCGAATGTTGACATTTTGCTTCCGAAAAAATGTTTCGTAATTCCTTTTCGGGCCCCCGCTGGTACTTTTCGACCGACTGAATGAGGCGAACGAACCGGGTAAGTTCAGTTCGAGCGCCGTTAAGCGAATTCGTCCAATTCCTCCAACTTGTAGGCCAGCACAGATTCAAATGGTTCTTCACCACCGAAAGCCTAAGATGAGCTCAGAGCAACCGGTGAAGAAAAAGTTGCGACGCACCGATGACACCGAATCGACAGACGAACCCGATTACATTCACTCCCTGACGGAGAACGGAATGTCCGCGCTACACCTCTCGATGCCCCCCAATATAAACGAGGCGGACCTCAACACGTTGAACGAGCACCTGCACGGCGTGCTAGACTGCAATACGAAACCGTACATTTTAAATTTGTCCGACACGCAACCACTGGTTTCTAGTTTCAATTCGAACCACGATCGGGACGAATGGACCGATCTGGAGGTCTTTCAGAACGGGTTAATAGAACAGTGCTTGTGCGGTGTGCCCGAGAATCTACTACGGAAACCTTTCGCCGTGCCGCTTACGGAATGGCCCACCGGCAAGCTTCTGCAGCTGCTATCGAATTTGCAGCTGCTGTTCGACGTGTATCTAAAACAGAACAATAACGGACACATCTGTTCACGTATCGTCGCGATCTGCGTCGCCCTAGTTAATAACGAGTACAACCTAATTCAACAGCTACTGTCGTTGACGGACACACGTAACTGTTACGTTAATTATTTATTGTCGCGCGTTATAAGTAGTTTTTTAATCATCGCCAAGACGGATATCAACCACGACTGGTTGGAGATGATCACCAACTATCTATCGTTAGATTACGTCGACTACGATAAGATGAATTTCGGTCTGGAGGTGATCAGGCGGGTCGTCGAGTGGAAGGACGTCGAGATCCACGTGCTCGAGGAGCCCAGGTCGCAAGACGCTGGCAGCGGCGCGACGACGAGCGCCGAATTCACCACCGTAAACTGTACGAGCGTGCAGTATCACGATTCGGAAAGCTTCGACACGTCCCCGATCAAGGGTCTCGTGATCAGGAGTCTCGAATCGAAATGGTTCCAACTGATCAATCGCGTGCAGGGACTGATCGAGAACAATCGCACCGTTCACTCGCAGACATGCATACTCGCCTTCCTGTCGCTTTGGGAGAGCATAATATCGGTGAAGGCCAATCTGAGCGTGATCGACACGAAACCGTTCTACGCGCATTTGGAAAGTTTCGCGTCGCTGTTCCTTAGCAGTGTGCCGCTTCCGCCGATAATCTGGAAGCAGCTGCTGTCGCTGTTCAACGAGGTGCTGTGCTACGGAAGTACGCTCGCGTTGCAGGACATGCTGCCCGACGACACGTGTAAACTTGCCTATGTTATCGTTCGATATGTCAAGGACGCGAGGGTTTTGGAACGACTGCCGTATAGGTAAACATTGTTAGGTTAAGTAATTATTTAGAAAGGTAGATGGCGCCGTTGAATTTATATGATAGATTTCAATAGTTTAAATTGTAAAACAGAGATGTCGCTACCATCAAGAAAAAAATTACAGTAACAACAATCTCATTTTTGATTGGTTGTTGAGATTGGCGGCCATGTTGCATCAAGTTTCTGCTACATGTGTTGGTTATTGTGCATTTGGATTTCTAATGCAACATAGCTGGGCGACCTCACTGTAGAAAGAATGGCCTTGTAACACTTTGCTTTCGTAGTTACGGATTTCAAAAGAGCATCATTTCATTAAAAAAACCCACACCATTAAAAATTGCGAAAAGAAATGTCGTTAAAGTTTTATTGGCTCAGTCTTCGACATATGTTATGATTCTAACAGTTCGATAGAACACTGGAAACTGGTTCTGTGAGGCCTAATTCCCTAGTATTTCCTTCTCCTGTTCAGGAACCATAACTTTGATTCTCCAAGTGAGTGTTGTATACGTGGAGAAAACACTATGCCTTATATTCAGAGCCTTCCTTAGGGTGGAGCGGCCGCTCCGGGCCTCGCGCTTGCTCTCGCTAAAAAATAAGTAAATGTTTTGGTTAAATGAAAATAATATAATAACGTACAGATATGCGTACGTACCTAAAATATATGTCTGATTATCCACCCAATATGTTCAATTATTGATCAATTAAAAAACCTTCGAACAAGATTCTCATTCGTGCGATATAGCAAATACCTTAACATATAAATACAGGAAACTCGCTACTATTTGCATTTGCGTAACGCGAGACATAAAGTCACTAAATGTAGAAAGTACCGCAATCCATTGGGCTCGTGTGTTAGGGAGAGAAGGCATGATTTTGGTCCAAAAATGGCGGATTCTAGTAACTTTAGTGTTAGGGATTGTTCCACCTGTTAGGAGATATCTGTATATATTTTTATCAATGAATAAAGAATACCAGGAAGGAGCATTACTCAGGTTGTATACAAGAGAGAGTGGAACAGGAAACTACTGTCCGCCATTTGCTAAAGCCATCGCGGTCTCACGTAAATTGTTGATATTCTCCTTCCTGGTATTCTTTATTCATTGATTTTTATAAAACATGACAGTACTATGAAGTTAGGTTATAAAAAATTACAGCTATTCAGATTTTATTTGTCAATTTTTTTAAGTTGGCAGCAAATTGGGCAAAAATGGCGGATGTATTCTTTATTCATTGTTGCGGTACTTTCTTCTAGTGACTTTAGCGAGACACGGAAAAGAGCGCCATCTACACGGCCCGGCGTGGAATGACTAATTTAAGATATGTGATATTACTAAATACAATGTTATCAATCTATCCATAACAATAACTATAACAAAGCACGTAAAACCATCAATAAAGTTTAAACCAAGTAGGCATGACAGCTTACTGTTGACACTTTCTACCGCGACGTCGTGGCGCTGTAATTTGCGACCGGTTTACAATGTCAGTTCCCTGTATTAATTTATTAACAATTCAAATTCATAATTAATTCACGTTAATTCAAATTAATTCAGAGGTGTACACCAGAAATTCAAAGTTGTTTCCCCCTTACCGAGCCTATTCCATCCCCCCCCCCCACAATCATTCTTAAAAAAGGCCCCGCAAAAATGTTTCGCTCCAACCCTCGCATTTGCTAAGGACGGCTCTACTTATATTATAACGCAAATTATTCATATACATTTACAAGCTACGTATGTTGTCTTGCTGCCGGCAGCCATGGGTTGAGTGAAATTCCCATTGGAGGCGGCGCATGACAGAGTGACTGGAGGTGCGCTGTAGTCGGCTTTCTAAACACTCAAATGAGTCTTTTATGAACTGTTTAAGAAACTTTAGGATCTTCAAGAACTTCTAGCTTTTAGAGCCTTTAATGGGATATTTGCATGTTTTTTAGTGCATTTTTTAAGAATGAAAAGAAATGTGCTATTGTTTACCTTTTGTCCGTCCGTCCGGACCCACTTCTACCGTTTCGAACTACTTCTAGAGTCCTGCAATTTTTTGCAGTAGGTAGCCTATACCTTGAAGGTGTGCCAGACGGCCATCAAATTTCGCTGTCTAAAAGCCCCCCCCCCCCCCTAAGATGCTGTTTTTGAAAGTAAAACGTACACGTGCGGATTCAACTAAATTAACTATATTTTGGTTGATTCTCATTGCCCAAGGAATGCCCTTTTCAACGATACCAAATTTGTTACAATCGGTCAAACGGTTAAGAAGTTAAAGCAGGTTACTGAAAAAACAATTGAACGCCCCACGCCATCTTTGTTTTTGAAATAACTGAGTTTTTGTTTTTACGAAAATGGTAGATAAACTGGTTCTCTTTAAAAATGTGAAAAAACAATGTGCGAAATTTAAAGAAAATGCGATGTTAAAATTTAAGATGACAGTTACGCCCTCTGGTGGTCATTTTTAGAACTAGAAAATATTTTCCAGCGATTCTTCATAACAGATTTACCCAATAATTTTTTTACCCCTAAGTCATACGAGGAACAGTCTTATTGGGTCACCTGGTACGTCCCTACACCGGTGGGGGGGGGGGGCGCGTCTATACTTTTTTAATTATGTACAAAAACAATATTCAAATGAAAATACTCGAGCATGTCAGGTATTGATAGTGGATGCTCCACATGGCTCTGATATTGGAGGTATGTTAATTTACCAGTTTGCATGGTGGGGGACGCCACGCTCAAATCTTCAGATTATTGAAATGCACACTTTTCAACACGTAGTCAACCCACCTTTTTTTGGGGTTCCCTACCAATAAGGCCATCCTTAAATTGGTAAATGCGCGCCCTCTTTAATTGTGAGCTAATTTTTGTCAATTTAAACCTACTTTTTCATTTCAGATGCAACGAGGGATATCGCGTGCACGGATTCATCGGCACGATACCGCACTCCCAGGCGTCCCAGTTGCAAGTCGACAAGACGCTCCTACAAAAAATGGTACTGCTAGTACTAAAATCGGTGGCGGTTACCGTCAAGGAGACGCGTACTGACAGTTCCGACTCGAGCGTAGGCTCCGACGATTACGACTACTACCAAGACATGCAGCTGATCGAACGTTCGATACGAGACGTCCTGAAAAAGGTGGACGTCTTCGTCAAGGCGAGCCTGGACTTTCATCCCGAGACGCAATTCGCCAAACTCCTAATCCACCTGTTCAGCGATCAGGACGATTACATGATCGAGTCGATGGTCTGCACGTTGGATATAACCGTGGGGATTTCGTATCGAAACGCCGTCTTTCCGGATCTCGTCAACATGCTAAATCCCGTCTACGCGTTCGTCGAGTTTCTAAAAGTCGTCAGTCACGATTCGGACGTTCTGTTAGATTATCTAGTGAGCAACGAGACGTGCTTCCTTTTGTATTTGTTACGTTTTTTAAAGTACATTCGAAGAAACTGGTCGAAATTTGTATCCAGTTGTGAGAGCGCGGGAACTGGCGAGTTAGGTAACACGATGACCGTCTTAATTCGATTAAATATGCAAATTAACCGACTGGTCTCGAAAGATTTGTTTCCGTATAACATAAGTCCGGTCCTACGACTGTTGGAGGTGTGCGAAAATCTATACGAATCGAACGACTCCAGTTGATAGTTTAAACAAATCCTAATATTATTTTAATGTTATCGTAAGTTATTTCTCTATTTATTTTTTTGTACAGCATTTATCACACGCCGTAATCAAGAAATAGTATTCATCGTTCGTACCATCCGTTAATCATTTATATAGTTACCCTTTTGTCAATAATTTTAATTGTACATTGTATACACAGTTTGCAATATTAGATTTTAAGTTCTACATTTACATTATTATGTACATATCAGATGTTCAAATATCGATAAAATGCAATTTTTGTAATACACTATACATTTTGTTGGCATAATTACGCCCCTGACATAGGTACCGTGTCCCTAGTTCGAAACACAGTTTTCATTAACGTCAAAACCACTGCGACAAAGTGGTTTGTGCAGTTTCTATTATCTGGTTCATATATGGCGACGTAGATTCACAATTTTCTAAGCAATCAATCACAGATTAACGCGCGACTTGTTTCATGTTTCCATTTCTACATATCTGGGCCCAGAATGTATTGAATAATTTACTGTTAAACGCAATAAAAATGTTCATTTTGTAGTGTACTTAACTCCCAGGTTCTACACTAACTTCACACTACAAGAACACGGAAATAAAGTCAACCCGGCAACGTTTTAAAATTGCCACCCCAATAACTATTCCCTCCAAAACTAAACAAGATCCCGCTTAAATTTGAAAAGTGGCACGTGATAAAACATCTAAGGCAGGGCCCCCTTACGTCAGTTGTAAACAATGCTATGACCTGACGTACAGTATGGAAAGAACGTAAAATAAAACACTCAAATTGTGAAAAGTTTGTTTAATAATGATCGCAATTATTAAGATTGTGAAAGCTCGGAAATTTAAGTCCAAATAAATTACATGGCAAAAATAAACTTTGAAAATGGTAGTTCACCGAATCAAAATAGAAATAGGCTGGGAAAAAAAGAACTTACCAATAATATAACCAGCCATCAAATTATAATATCAAATTGTGTTGTAAAATTAATTGTTTGTAATGATGTGAATGCGTAACATAAAATTATAACATCACAAAAGTAGCAGGTAAACTTCAAGAGGTAACATATAGGCTAAAAACAAATTTTGGGAATTATGGGTCAGGTAAGCAGGTACCAAGATTCTAAGAAAGGGTGAAATATACAGGATGTGACTCATCTTTGGTGCAATAAAGTCCTTTTGTTAAAAGCAAGATGGAAAATTACATTGTCTTGTAGGCATAATTAACTAAAAACAAGATATGTGGAAATTATTGAATCGCCACTCATTTATCGCACATAAATTCTAAACTGAAGAGCTTTGATTACCGTAATCCCGCTCCTGCAAGATAGGTAACCCGCCCCTGGTTTCCAGCCTACAGTTGAATGTCGAAGACAATCACGAAATTAGGTGTCGTAGCTCAATGTTGACTACAATTTTTACCACCCCCGTGACTGCTTCATTCACGGAGAAAATTGTTAGTAACAAACAACAAGTCAGTAGATACATCAAACGAATCGGTAATTTCCACATATTAAAATCAACATCAATAAAAATAAGCATTACTTACACCAAAAACGTAAACAATTACAAACAAAAAGATAACGTTATTAAACATGTCATTCTGTATTGCGGTTAAACCAAGTAAATTTCAAAAACAAAGATTGAAACACAAAAAATATAAAATGCGGCATACAAAACACAAATACGATATAAAGAAATGCAAAAATTACTACCTGCATTAAATGACACAAAATAACAACAAACATTTATGGAGCGACATGTTCACGACCGCGGTTCAAGACAAAATGCCAAACTTAACTCCACGTTTGTGCACTCCGGATGGCGCAAATCGCTTTCCCCCCCTAAAAATTGCGTGGTTGCCAACTCTCAAAAATGTGTGTATCGTCGTAAGTTGTATATACAGGGTGGAACCTCTCAATTTATTGAAAATATTACAGAAGCAATAGAGAAACAAGGTTGTTCTCGTAAGTCCCTACTACTTCAGAGGGCGCTTGAGTAAGGTTTTGTTAGCATTCAACAGCGTTACCGTAAAATTAGCACAATCGTCTTGTGGAAAACGTCCATGCAAAAGCTTTTTTATTCTGCTATTTATAATGTATGTAGCTAGGATGTGGGTTTAAATTGGCTTTTGGTTACTTTTTGAGGATATGCACTTGATATGTGGTGTTTTCAAGAGAACAAATAATCACGTGAAACGTGTAAAATGCTTTAATTTTGTATTTATGAAAATGAATTCATATCCAAACCAGCCACATTTGATTTTGTGGGTATTTTTGTAGATTTTTATAGCCTTTAAAATAATGTCACTGTATTGCTAATGGTTACTAAACCTAAGGATAAAACAGGCAATTGAAAACATTTATGAATGAAAACATTTATTGTTTATCTTTAAAAAATAGGTACTTTAAATTTTTAAAAAAATGCAAATTTCTATTTTTAATTCTAATATCTAATTCATCTAACAGTTAGAGTTAGAAGTTAAAATCTCGAAGCAAGCGATAAAATTGACACACTTTGAACACGCCCAAAGCATATATATTTTTCTGTCTTGCTCAGAGATAATCGAAACTTAAAATAGAACCCCCTTGTATGAAGCCACACACTTCACAAAATTTGTAAATGAGAAATTTGTTCCTGTGTAAAAACAGCTTGTGTGTGTTAAATAGTGTTGTTGAAAACATTTGAAATCTTTAGAAACTGTATGTTTTAAAAGGTGTTATATACAGGGTGGTGCACGGTAAGTAGTAACATAGGGATTTAGCATGGGAAATTAGTTTTATGCAAAATCCTGCCCTCCTGTACATTTTACAGAGAAAACTGTAGAGTTTAAAGTTGTTCAGAATTAAAAGATGCATACAATAGTATATTGAAAGACAAGTGTTACAATGCGACCTATTGTAATACGACTATCTTGTGGCACGAGTGGCGTAGCGAAGCGGAGCCGCGAGTGTCCACAAGATAGGAGTATTACAATAAAGCATTGTAACACGTGTTTTTCATACTATTTTTTCTATTTCGGGGCTTTAATTTAATTAAAAAGTAATTATGAAAAACTACAGGAAACTTTAGAATTAATATGTCTTAAGTTGGCAACACCATTTACGTTGACAAATTTTAAGTTGGCAGCGTAGATAAACACAACACTGACATTTGGAAACTTTAAATTCCGTGAATGTGTAATTTTTTATTCGTAGATAAATTTATTTATGGTGGATGTGTAAACTGCTGATTTGGAATGTATTAAGTTCTTCGTGTACCAAAAGTCAAGGAAAGCACATAAATTTTATGTAATTTGATTTCACATCTGATGATTTGACGCTGACGTCTTGGCGAACTGCCAACTTAGAGATGAAAAGTTACCAAAAACAATGTTACAATGGAACTCATTGAAACACTGTTTTTGCCGAAAACAGTTGCACAAAATTCTCATTGTAACACCGAAATAGAAAAAAACTGTTTTTACATGTTTTATTAAGCTTTTGGTATACCCGCAAATTTAAAAATAAATTTCATTTCTGTTATTATTAACAACAGAAATGTTGAAATATATTTTTAAATTTGCGGGTATACCAAAAGCTTAATAAAACATGTAAACAGTTTTGAGTGCATCTTTTACTTCTGAACAACTTTAAATCTACAGTTTTTTCTGTAAAATGTACAGGAGGGCAAGATTTTGCATAAAACTAATTTCCCATGTTAAATCCTCATGTTCCTACTTACCGTGGATCACCCTGTATATATCTTCTATAATTTGTTCCATATTCAAAACTTTTCGAATGAGTGTCTTAAAAGGTGTTGTTTAAAAATATATTTGTCATTTGTCTCATAACCACAAGTAGCACATTTAAATTGTTTAGAATCAATATGTGTTAAAATGTGTCGTTTAATGTGGTATTTAATACTTGTCTTGTACCCACAATTAGCACATTTAAAATGTTTAGAATTGGTATGTTTCAAAAGGTGTTGTTTAAAAATGTATTTGTCATTTGTCTCGTAATCACAATTAGCACATTTAAATTCTTTAGAATCGATATGGGTTAAAAGGTGCCGTTTAAAGTGGTACTTGATACTTGTCTTGTAATCACAATCAGCACAATTAAAATCTTTATAAACGGTATGTTTTAAAAGGTGTCGCTTAAAAATGTATTTGTCATTGGTCTCGTAATCACAATTAGCACATTTAAATTCTTTAGAATCAATATGTTTTAAAAGGTGTTGTTTAAAGTGGAATTTGACACTTGTCTTGTAATTACAATTAGCACACTTAAATTCTTTAAAGTCGGTATGTTTTAAGAGATGTCGTTTAAAGAGGTACTTGTTACTTGTCTTGTAATCACAATTAGCACATTTAAAATCTTCAGAATCGGTATGTTTCAAAAGGTGTCGTTTAAAAATGTATTTGTCATTTGTCTCATAATCACAATTCACACATTTAAACTCTTTAGAATCCATATGTTTTAAAAGGTGCTGTTTAAAATGGTATTTGATACTAGTCTTGTAATCACAATTAGCACAATTAAAATTTTTAGACTGGGCATGTTTTAAAAGATGTCGTTTAAGATACCGTTTACTATATGTCCCATAATCACAATGAGCACATTTTAATTCTGTAGAATCGGTATGTTTTAAATGTTCTTTAAAAAGGTATTTGTCATTTGTCTCGTAATCACAATTAGTACATTTAAATTCTTTAGAATCAATATGGGTTAAAAGGTGTCGTTTAAAGTGGTATTTGATACTTGTCTTGTAATCACAATTAGCACATTTAAAACATTTAAAATCAGTATGTTTAAAAAGATGTCGCTTAAAAATGTATTTGTCATTTGTTTCAAAATCACAATGAGTACATTTTAAATCTTTAGAATCGGTATGTTTTAAGTGTTCTTTAAAAAGGTACTTGTCATTGGTCTCGTAATCACAATTAGCACATTTAAATTCTTTAGAATCCGTATGGGTTAAAAGGTGTCGTTTAAAGTGGTATTTGTTATTTGTGTCATAAGTACAATTAGCACATTTAAAATTTCTAGGATTGGTATGTTTTAAAAGGTGTTGATTAAGACATTGTTTACTCTTTGATCCATAATCACAATGATCACAGTCAAAATTTTCTGAAACATCCTGTTTGAAATGTAGCCTACTATTTGTTGTGTGTTGACCAAAGTCACATTGAGTTTTAATATTCCATCCACCATCAGTTTGTTGTGGTACTTCATAATCGAGAGATTTGGAGCATTGTGCGGGATTGGTAAGTTCGTCCTTTATTGAAACCAATGCTTCGTTGCATACTAAAATGTCATCTTGAAGATCGGAATGAATTTCTTCTTCTTGTTTTATTTCGACTTTAATTAGTGGTCCATCATTTCCCTCCATATCTAGCATTACTAAACTTTTTTGTTTATCAAAAATAAAGTTTGCACAAATTGCTACAGTCAGTCTATTTATAGCTCAGTACTGGTTCGGGTCAACTTCAGGTCGATAGCGTCTCACATCCAGTGGCGGAGCGATAGATTTTATTTTATACTGTAACATGCATCGATTGTAAAGATTTTAGATGTGCTAATTGTGAAATTAGTAATTTGTCGGCTGGTTTTTTTCGTGGCAAGCTCTTTTTCCCCAGCCTCTTTCTATTCGGTGAACATATTTCGACTTAAATTTCTGAACGTGCACAACCTTATAATATGAGCAATAATGATTAAACAAACTTTTCAGAATTTCAGTGGACGTTCCTTCCCTACTGTACTTCAGGTCATAGCGTTGTACTAATGTAAGGGGGTCCTGCAAATGTGTGGTTAACATAAAAATTGAAATAGCAATCGTTGAGAAGAGACCAGAGAGAAGTTTACAGAATAATTGTTATGGATAAACGTGTTTTCTCTCATTGCAAATAAATCTCATTCAGTTCATATTTTTGATACGTTTACTCATATTTGTGTTCTTTTAAGTTAATACGCGTCCGCGAAAACATATTTTCAGAATTTTGTGACACATTTCGTGTGTTTGATATCCTAGCAATTCGTGCATTTTTTTTTATAATTTTGCAGCAATGAAAAAACCGAAAATGAATTAAAAGGACTACTGGATTTCTAATTGGTGTACGGAATCTGGTTCCAGTTGGTAGGAGGTGCAGGAATTAAATTAAGTTTTAGTTTCTTCTCGATTTAAGAGGTAAAGGAATTCTATCTGGAAGTCTTGACAATCGCACTTTTATAGGAACAAGGAGAAGCACAAAACGTGGGAAAATGAGAATGGATTTAAATTCAAAGAATGTGGACGACAAAGGTGACATCTAACGGAGGAATTTTATAAGACGTAAATAAAATTTCTAAGTTATTATTATGATAAAACTGAGCGGAGAAAAATAACGTTTTTTTGACATTTTTATTACTTACACCTATATTTATAATAAATAAAATTATCAAAAAATAAATTCTCACTGAAATAAAAACGCAATCTTCCCTTATTAGATTTAATTTTGTTAACGTAAAATATACGATATAAATGAACTATTAATCTATATTACACTTTTTCAGTTTTAATATTACGTCACTTATCGTTACATTACCAAACTAACCTACGTTTTGTTAAGTTTTGTTTTTACAATTCTGTTAGCAATGTAATACTAATTGTACTTTCAATATACAAAATAAAAACATAAATCAATAGAATATACAAATTTGATGAGGAGAAAAACACACATACACATAATGAACATTTTCGTTAATTTGTGGTGACACAAAATGATACGGTGTAGTCGAAGGCACAGCTTTATGTAATAAAGTCAAAGCAAAAGTAACCTCAATCAAATACTTATTTGTAATGAAACTGAAAGAAAGATGAGATCTCTTCATCTCAAATCGTCAGACGAGCTTAAATGTAAAACTTATCGCTAAATAAACCACCATTTGGAGGTACAACGCGGACAGAGTTCATTTAGTTTGTTGCGAACCGGATGGTTGGTTTGCGATCGAAAACTGCTGAGGGTATTGCGTCCACGAGGCCTGTTGGGAATATTGGTTGTTGTATGCGGCATTCGTGCTATCAGTACTCGCTGTACCACTGGCGGTTGTTGTTTGGGGTTGCCCCTAACCAACATTATTCTTTTAAAACAAAAAGATTGTCACTTCATCTTAAATATGAACCTTGGGGCAGTTTACAATGGTGCGCTTGTAAACCGCACAAATCAATTTAAATTCTACGCCTTCAAATAATTACAGATCCTCAATTACGTAAGACGGTCTCGTGGCGACCTTGGGAACTAAGCTGAAAGGTTTCAAGGTCCGTCACTGGAGAGCGTTTTAGGTCAAGTTAGGATCGGCCACAAATACAATTAAGGAAGCGGGAGTGTTTTGGGGGACGTTTGTAGTTTCTACGGTCGCGCGCACCCCCTCCACCTTGCAAGGGCCCCCATTGGGTGGTACTAACCTGCGAATTATTCCAATTTTGCGGGTACTCGCCGTAATAATTCCAGTTATTGTAATTTCCATAACTGCCCTGGCCGTACCCGCTCTGTCCATAATTTCCCTTCCACTGCCCACCGCCACCGCCGCCCCAGTTGCCCTGATTCCAATTGCCTTGGCCCCACGAGCCGCCGCCTTGACCGCCCCAGTTACCCTGATAATTCCAATTGCCGCCGCCGCCCTGCCAGTTGGCCGGCTGATTGCGACTGCTCTGCGGGCGCTGGTTGCGACTGTAGCTGCTTCCGCTGTGGCTGCGGCTGCGACTGTCACGACTTCCTGATCGTTCGTGACGACTACTGCTCTCTACGAGTGACAAGGTTACACACAATCGTCGGTATCAACCGAAAAGGGGAGATCACTATACCATGTACGGTAGTAGGAAATTTATTGTGATTATTGCCAACAAGTTGTGGCCAAGAGAAAAGTGCTGGAAATTAATTTTTTTACATTATCAAGTTAGTGTTATTTATCGCCGCTAGATGGCCTATCAATTTTCGCTCCTTTCTCCAGAAATTTAAATGTGGTGGTGTAATTGCTTTTGCATTTGGATAAAAATTACAAAGAAAAAGTTTTGCAGTTTTGTTTTTATCAGACGAAAATTAATCAACGCACGTGTTCTGGTGCTGACATTATTATTATTATTGGCGATTTATTTGAAAATTCTTAGAGATTGATTATTTTATGGTGGAGGCGGTGTTTCCTGAAATACTGGAGACTGCTAGTCGGGTATATTTGTTTCTCGGGCAGTCGGCCCTATTTGATGACTTCCACACGCAGTTCGTCATTTTTATAATAAATTCAGATCCAAGTTGTGTGAGAAATCTAACGCATGTAGTCAATTACGGTAAAAGGTCAGGTTGAAAAAGCACGCAGTAGTAGCGCACTCTCCTCTTATTAAAAGTCAAAAGTTTCTACCGCCCGAACAGCCACCGAAAATTCTTATTCATCAAACCTGTTTTGTATGTCATCTAATTCTGTGTGAAGTATCCTGAAGCTTTCAACGAGTGTTTTTGTGTCAGTTTTAGTGCGCCTACTACCGCAAACCTTGTACGACCATACTATTTGTCCGCCGCCTGCGTGCGGGGTAATATGTCCAAACAAGCACTGTAAGCGTTTCTTTCTTTCGTGTGTTTTGGGGTAAATGTTTCCCACTGTCAATGAATTGTGTGTTTATTCGAATCCATCGTGCAACTCGGATAGTTTTTATGTCAGATTTTTCTTTTCGTGCCAAGATTTATTTCACGTGGAATTTTCGGAAGTTGATCGAGGGTACTGTCTCCCAAATTATTAATTTAAAGTCAACATTGAGATTTTTCATTGTGACAGGAGCCGGGCGCCTATGAGAAAAATAATTACAATTCTAAATTTAATGGTTGTTTTGTTTTGAGCTATCTGAACAGGTGTTTTGCGGGTGGCTTAGTGACCGTTTACCATTGCGCACAAAATGGGGTCTTGAACGGCGACCACCCTTTGGACTTTGAGCGGCGAGCAAACTTTGGACTTTGAATGTCGACCGACCTTTGAACTTGAAACGGCAAGCAACCTTTGAACTTTATACCAATGTTTGGACTTTGAACGACGAACAGTTTTTCATTTCTCACTTATGAATTCAGTTCTCCAATCAATAGTTGAACTATAGATACTTCTTTATAATAGTGAATCTAGTGGACTTACTATGAAATGGACTTCAACAAAGCGGACAAATTTATTGTACATAATCTTTTTAGTGATCTCCCCCTCAATACCGCAGTTATCATACCAGAAGATCGATTATTATTTCGATAATCGCGCGAACTGCCACGACTGTCTCTGCGAATGTCACGGTTCCAACTGCCCGGCGGCGGTCTTCTGCTCTGCCAATTGCCTTGCTGGCGAGACCTATCGTAACGGTTACCCTGATAGCGATTGTCGCGATAACCGCCCCTGTAATCTCCTACAAGAAAACAACCCTAAAACCCCGAATTCCTACGCGAGAATCTTACTTCTGGAAGTGCTGTGATCCCACCGGTAGGCGATGGTTCGATTATCTCGGCCGCCCGATCGCTGACTGCCCAACGCGCCGAAACCGGCGTCTCTTCCCTGCTGATTGTACTTCTGGACGACGGCGGTCGCCTCCTCTTCGTTCAGCTCGACGAAGCTAACTTCGTCCAGCCAATTGCTCTGCTTCGGCAGGCTCATGTTCGCTAGAATGTAAGGTCGAGTGAGCTCGCGCGTAAATGGTCGGTCCGGTTTGTTCGACATTAAATGGGGAAACAAAAACCGATACGATGGAAAGGAGGAGCGGTGCGGTTATTGAAATGGTGTACGTGGGGGGGTTGTAAAACAAATGGCCACAAAATATGGTAAAAAGACAAGAGTAAGATTGAATTTTTGATTTACATTATGTACCTTTCATTTCGAGTATAGCTGAATCAGGAACATCTTTACCGTCTTGTGCCTCTTGCAGAGCTCGACGTTTAGCTTGTTCATCATCTCCGACTACAACAACGACGGCACGCCGCTTGAAGCCCTCGAACAACCGCATTTTGCGGCGCTGGGCTGACGGGAATACGTTTGTCTGCCACAACGCTCGAATTATAGTTATGTTCATAGGACACTTCAGTATTGGTCAATGATGATTTACGAATGTTGGGCACGTCGGTATTCTGGTGACATTTCGTGAGCGCATCAAAGGCAAACGCTTACGTGAATCTAATTCCCCACCCCTTTATCATTTCATCATCGTTCACCCTCACCACAGTCGATTCCTCCGCTCATTTATAGATGGCGCACGACCAATTAAATTAAACTCACGTAAGCGATATCGAAAAGTTATACATCACCAGAAGTCGAGTGCCCAATTAACAATCCTTCTAAATAAACAGAGCGTGGCATTAAATTATTATCGTTATCATTGGTTCAGCAACCATTGTAATCTTCCTCATACCATCATTCATACATCGTAATCTAGCACGTACCTGCTGCTATCGCCGATTAATAATCTAACCTAACTAAAATTTAACGCAACCTCAATATTCATTAACATCGCTTTTCACTTTTAAAATGTACATTTCGAGTCGTTTCGCCTAAACCTAACGCTAATCTACCGACCTTGCTCGCCGATGAACTAACGACGTTCCACTGTAAAGGAAAGAATAAACCAAAGTGTACAGTTACCTTCGCTCGGCAGACGCCGTCGATCTTCGTGTGCGAAAATTTTACGGTATAGTGCCGAGGGTGCAATCAGAACTGTAGTAGTTATCAAACGTAATAGAAATCAGCGGAAAGGGAAGCAATTTCATCCCAGCTCCCTCTCCCCACCTTCCAATAGAGGTCAACTAATATTGTAAAATTACTTGCATGGACAGACCCCCTCTCCTCCACGCCATACCCTGCAATCAATGAAGGCCCTAGAGCTACTCTCCTGGTTGTGAGAGAGAAACCGTTGTTTGTGTATCGAATATGAAATGGGTTAACGCTTTAATTAAATTCCACTCTCCCCCATCCCTTGTGGTTGATTTATGTTGGTTTAATCGATCCTTTCACAACGCAGGGTAGGTCCTATCGCTACACAGGTTTGTTACTTAACGATCATGGAACATGAAATTTCAGTTAGTTTTGGCGGGAGTATTGGTTTGGAATTGCGCAGTTGCTCGGATGAAGTAAAAAAGCATTCCCACTTGAGCTGAATAAACTGTCTCTCGAATGTATTTTCGATATGACCTTGTTGGTCCTTGCGACGTTGCCAGGTCCTTGAAAATCTCTCCTCGAAAACTTCCTTTCGACTTGATCTATTAGTTGATCTGGGTCACTTCGTCGTCTTTGATCTATCTGGACAGGTGTTTTGTGGATGGGTTAGTGACCGTTTACCATTGCGCACAAATTGGGGTCTTGAACGGCGAGCAACCTTTGAACTTTTACACCAATATTTGGACTTTGAACGACGACCAACCCTTGAACTTTGAACAATTTCCTTGTCAGGAGAGCTAGATAACTTTTACGGCACCCAGATTTACTTGTGGGTGGCTTAGTGACCCTTTACCATTGAACACCAATTTTTCACTTTTCAGTAGCGCAGTGGCGTACCCTGCTATTCCGCCGCGTTACAAAAACGCCTCGTGAGAAGGGGCTCTTATTGTGCATAAATGGCAAATGTGTTAATTTTTCATGACTCCCGAATGTTTGGTATTTGAATACTGTGACGTGATGGATCTCGAAACCCTATTACGTATAATGTACTCTTATTAACACGAGACAGGTCATGTCCTAGCCAAAATGGTTGGCGCCTGAGCTACAATTACAAATACAAAACCATAACTGCAAACTATATTATGTATATTCTTCGCCCGTGAGACCCCGGTGTTAATTTCGGCATTCATTTCCATGAAGGATGGTGGCACATTTTCAACATCAATGTAAAATCATGAGTATGAGGAAAAGTGAGCTCATTTCCTGGATAGTTTGATACTTGCAATCAATGAAGGCCCTAGAGCTACTCTCTTGGTTGCGAGAGAGCAACCGTTGTTTGTGTATCGAATTTGAAATGTGTTAACCCTTTACTCAAATTCCACTCTCCCCCATCCCTTGTGGTTTATTTACGTTGGTTTAATCGATCCTTTCACAACGCAGGGTAGGTCCTATCGCTACACAGGTTTGTTACTTAACGATCATGGGACATGGAATTTCAGTTAGTTTTCGCGGGAATATTGGTTTGGAATTGCGCAGTTGCTCGGGTGACCTGGGGTTGAAATAAAAAAGTATCCCCACTTTAGCCAGAATGAAGTAGCAGGGGTGGCCGGTATTTTTCGAGAGGGGGGGGGGGGCTTAAGAAGTTTTTGATAAAGACTTCCCTTGTAAGTTTGGTTAAGGAACCATAAACCGTAACTTCCAGTGGGGACAAGACCACGTTCTAGGTGGGGCTCAGCCTCCCTGCCCACCCCCTAGGTGAGGGGAACCCCCTTGCCCTAGAAGAGGCGGTTTATGAAATTTTGACTTTTAGGATACCTTTCTCAATATTACAACCTCGCTACGCTGTTCGTTTTCAACATGCGATAATTTTTAGTTTCATTGCCCCCCCCCCCCCTCCATTTTGTGATGTTGAATTTCAAAATGTGACCTGCAAAATTAACATCTCTGACTTGATATGTCATAGTTGATTCGAATGTTTTTTCTCCTCCCCTCCATTTCCATTAACCCCCCCATCTTTTTAAATGTAATTGAAAACAATTCGAGTATACACGGTGTTTCCACACAGATTGTACCACCGCCTAAACAAGAGGATATTTACAAATTTTGATTATTTTATTTGATTTTAAGTTTTACCCAAAAAGAGCGCATGCCGGCTATATCACCTTTTTTATATGTCAAAAATGGGACACCCTGTACAAGTCTTGCTCTTCTCCGTTAGTACTTACATTTGCACAAAAACTGGTCGAATGACCAGTAGATTTGTATGGATATTGAAGTTTCTTAAATTTTTTGTGGGGTGCAATTTCGATTTTTTGTGGGGTGCTAAATTTTTTGCGGTTATTATCAAAAAAATTACAGTTCTGAAGCACCCTATGCACTGGTAGCGTCGACACCTCTATCGTGACGTTCGCCTCACGGTTTGCCTTCCTCGAATTATACACGACCAATCAAGAAGTTGTAAAACTCCGCACGAAGCAACAATACAATAAGCACAAGTACGACTTTCTTTAAAATTTGAAAGAGATATGCGCGTGTCCCTTACCTGATCAATGATAAAATTGCGGCGACGCAACGCTGCCGATTCAACCAATATATTGACGCACTTCATAAGGCGATCCAGAACGATATTCCAACGGCCTTTATAGAAGCTCTTCAGCGGTTTCCCGTTCACCTTTAACATGAAAGACACCTAGAAATGAGCAAAACAAAAATGGCGGACAGTTACCGTCATTTTCTCGAGCAAGTGACTATTCCCGATCACTGTATACTGCTTGTCGGGAGTTTCCGACAGCAACTTCTGCACCCAGTAGGACTTTCCGGACGCCGGCAATCCGCACATCATGATGACCTGAAAGCGTCCTCTTCTTAATTCGCACCGAAACAGAGAGAGACTTACCTCGCAGTCGCCTCGTTTCTCCGGACGGGCCGATCCCTCGATCTTATCATCGAAATTTCCGATGTACGCGTAATCGGACAACTCCTCGGGAGACGGAAACCACGGATTCTCCGACGCTCCCATGTTGACCTCGAAGGAATAGTTACGCGCGAGCACGTGAGGGAAGAGCGCGAAGTTCTCCTCAGGCAGCTCCGACTTGGGTATCGAGGCGATTTCCGGTTGCAATTCGCCGTTTACCGTGAAGCTAAGTACAACCGCATCGTCGGTAATATTCTGCAATGATAACTTTAAAAAAAAAGTGAGGTTAGGGTTAGGTTTACCAGGTAGGCACCGACCACGTCGCCGACACCAAATTTGGCACCGTGAGGCGTGAAAGTCTTATTCGTGACGTATTTTCCGGTCGACTCATAGCCGTAGGAAAACTCAGCTTCGCCAAGCTGTAAAGTGGAGCCGGAGATGGACCAACCAACTCTGATAAGGTGTTTCAAAAGGGACTTGGTCGACGCTTCTTCTGTTAATTCATCTTTCTCTTTTTGATCTGGTTCCTGTTTAACTTCAGCAGTTTCTTCCTCTTTCATCTCAACATCTTCCTCCTGTTTCACCTCAACCTCTTCCTCCGGTTTCGTTTCAATTTCTTCCGCCATTTTAACATCTTCCTCTGTTGCCTGTTTTGTTTCATTATCTTCTTCGTTTATCTCAGCGTCTTCATGTTTTGATTCAGGATCTTCTTCTTTTTTCTCTGCAGCATCTGCATCTTCTTTCATCTCAACATCCTCAGGTTGTTTATCATCGGCGCTCTCCTCTTGTTTAACTTCAACGGTTTCCTCGTCCTTCACTTCTACCTTTTCTTTTTCCATGCCATTAGTTGTCTCAGTTACATCTTCGCCTTCTTTCACTTCGACAGGGGGGGCAGCGGCAGAACCTTCGGCAGCTTCACGCGCCGGTTCTGACTTATGTTTACTTTCGTGCGTTGATCTGGACCTTTTGCTGTCCTTTTCGTTTCTATCGCGATCTTTCTGTTGGCGATCCCTTCGCGAATTGTCCGTTCGATAGTCGCGCCTTCGGTCCGACTGTCGCACCAGATCTTCCCATTTTAATTCTTCAACCACTTTCACCTCATAAAAAACCTGGAAACATAAATGAATTATATCCAAGACAAGATGGGAGTTTTTGGAATTAGGTTCAATGAAACACGATGTCTTGGAATCTCTGATACTTTTGCATCGTCAAAATTGGGAAACACGTTTTTTTATTTTCTAAAAAAAATGGTAACTGATAAGGTACCAGGAAGATCAATTTTTCACCATAAAATTGAACCGTAACTTCCAAGTGTCATGAAAAAAACTGTTCCGACACTAAATACAAATAAATTGTGCACAACTCTCCTTTCATTGAAGCCTTCAACTAGAATACCCATGACTAACACCCCCCACCCCACCCCCCGCGGCCATTGATTGATTTCGAGAAGCAGTTACGTTGGAAAATTCTGACAAATCTTTGATGAGATCTTCCATTAGAATACCATAAAGGTTAGACCATATGTTTCTATCACCCCCCCCCCCCCCCCTTTGAAAAAAGTATTATTTTCCAGCACTAGAGGCATGCGTACGCAAAATCTGAGACAAATTGGTTGTCGTATGTAAAAGTTATGCACGTTTCACATTCAAAAACAGCATCTCGGGGAACCATGAAATCACGGTGGGCCCCCCCCGCATAAGGAAACAAAATTTCATTGCTGCTGGAAGGGGGGGGGGTATTACAAGGATTTAACGTATTTTCGAGCATTTTTGAGAATCCCTAGTATTTTTGAGGATTTCAGTAGGCACCCCCTCCACATAGGGCAACAAAATTTAATGGCTGCTTGTGGAGAGAGGGGGTATTGCGAGGATTTAACGTGTTTTCGGTCATTTTGGAGAATTTTCGAAGATTTCTACGATTTTCGTGGAATTCTGGGAATTTTTAAGGATTTTACGGATTTTTGATGATTATAAGAATTTTCGAGGATTTCCAGAATTTCGGAGATTTTCCGATTTTCGGATTTTGCAGATTTCAAGGATTTTCGATTTCGGGAATTATCAAGAACTTCGAGACTTTCGAAGCATGGATGATGTTTTAGGATTTCCAGGATTTTCTAGGCTCACGGGGATTTTCGAGGATTTTAAGAATTTTCTAGGATTTTCGACGATCTCGATTTTCGTGGATTTCCAGAATGTCAAGCATTTTTGAGGATTATTAGAATTTTCGAGGCTATCGGGGATTTCCAGAATTTCGGGGATTTTTTTTAGGATTTTTGAGAATTTCGCATATTTTGAAGATACTCGTATTTCAAGGATTTTGACGATTTCGAGAATGTTAGGAATTTCTAAGATTTTTGGATTTCGAATATTTTCCAGAAATGTAACTTGCAATGAGATTCGACGGAGGATTTTCGAGAACTTCGAGTATTTGTGAGCATTTCGAGAATTTTTGAGGATTTCTAGAATTCTTTCGAGAATTGGGAGGACTTTCGAGGAGTTTCGAATATTTTTGAGAATATCGAATTTTTTTGATTTCAAGGATTTTGAAGATTTCTAGAATTTTTCAGGATTTCGAGGATTCTCGGTGACTTTTGATGACTCCTAGGAGAGGAATTCTACGATTCATGAGCATTTTTGAAGATTTAGAGAATTTTTGAGCATTTCTAGGGTTCCTGAGGAATTTTGAGTATTTTCGTGGATTTCTAGAATTTTGAACATTTCGATGATTATTGAGAATTGAAAATATTTCAAGGATTTTGAAAATTCAAGAATTACGAGAACTGTCGAGGATTTATAGGCATTTCGACGATTTGTCAGGGTTTCAAGAATTTTGAAGATTTCGGGGATGTTTAGGAATTTCGAGGATTTTTGAGGATATTTAAGGATTTTGACGATTTCGGGAATGTTAGAAGAAGATTTCGAGAACTTCCGAAGACTTTGAAGATTTTTGAAGATTTCGAGGGTTTGTGAGCATTCGAGAATTTTTGAGGATATTTCAAAGATTTTCAAGGATTTCTAGAATTTTTTCGAGAGTTGGAAGGACTTTCGAGGATTTTCGAAGATTTTTGAGAATAACGAATATTTTTTATTTCAAGGATTTTGAAGATTTCTAACATTCTTAAAGATTTCGAAGATTTTCTAGAATTTAAAAGATTTACAAAGATTTTCGGAAGTTTCGGGGATTTTCGAGGATTTCTAGGGATTTCGACGATTTGTCAGGGTTTCAAGAATTTCATGGATTTCAAAGATGTCGAGGATTTTCCAGGATTTCTAGCACCTCCGGGATTTTCGAAGGTTTCAGAATTTAGAGGATATATGAGGAATGCTAGGATTATCGAGAATTTTTGAAGATTTCGAGAATTTTTGAGGATTTCGAGGATTCTCGATGACTTTTGAGGACTCCTAGGGATTTTCGAAGAATTCTACGACCCTTGCGTATTTTTGAAGATTTAGAGGATTTTTGAGCATTTCTAGAGTTCCTGAGGAATTTTGAATATTTTCGTGGCTTTCGAGAATTTGGAAGATTTCAAGAATTGCGAAGCATTTGAATAATTTCGAGAATATTCAAGGGGATCACGGGGATTGTCGACAGTTTCGGCGACTTTGGAAGATTTTCGACAATTTTTGATGAATTCTAGAATTCTCAGCGATTTTTGTGAATTTCGTGGATTTTTGGATTTCGTAGATTTTTGAGGATTTTCTAAGAAAGGGTCACGGGAATTGTCGACAGTGTCGGCGATTTGGAAGATTTTCGAACACTTTTGGGGAATTCTAGGATTCTCAGCGAATTTCGGAGATTTTCGAGAATTACTTAGAATTTTAAGGATTTCGAGGCATCGAGAATTTTCGATACCCCCGGTTCTATATTTTTAACCCAGAACAAGTATGCATTACTGTCCCTTAGTACTCGAGAGGGACAATTAAACGTGACAATAAAGACACATGGGATATGGAATACTCGTTAAGAAAGATTTCCGAGAATTTTTTAGAATATTTCAAGGATTTTTAAAGATTTTCAAAAATGGCAAGGGTTTCGAAAAACTTCCGAGGATTTTTAGGATTGTCAAGCATTTCCACAATGTTTGAGGATTTCGAAAATTTTCCAGAATTGCGAGGAATTATTTCATAGATTTCGAAGATTTTCAAAGATTTCGAGGATTCGCGGGGACTGTTGTACAATTCCTAGGATTTTGGAGGATCTTGGGGAATTGCGAAGATTGCGAGGAATCCTAGGATTCTTGAGTATTTTTGTAGATTTAGAGGATTTTTGAGTATTTCTAGGATTCTCGGGGCTTTCTGAGGATTTTCGTGGATTCTAATTAAATGTCTAAATGAAAGAAAGTGTTTTCTACCGACTACCTCCCTTCTCAATTAACCATTATCGAAATCGGGGAGCACAAACGATTAATTTCCATCGTTACTTGGTATTCTAATGAAAATTAATCGTTTTTTTTATTCAAACAGGAAAGTATGCTTCTCTGCTTCGTATATTTGTGTTGATTAGCCGTTTATTACAAGCAATTCCAGCATACTAGTACAAATTTAGTAAAATATGATACCAGAGTAATGATACTTGTTCCGATGTGCAAATATTCGTTCTTAGCAATGCAATTCACACTTTTACTTTTACAAAAATTTACAAGAAAAATTACAAAATCAAAATATATTAATTTTTCAACAAAACATCCACAGGTAACTAGATTTTCCTGCACCAACATGGCTGGCTTTCGTTTTGTGAAATCCAATATGGCGTCCATAAATAAGAAAGTAGCAGTCTGGAGTGTTATGGAAATTCTGATAACAGATTCAAATTTTCCATGAAAAAAAGTACCCATAGAAGCTGCTTTCCGACAATTTCAGGTAGAGAAAATGACAGCAAAATTTGACATTTTTTTCCGTTACACATTTTCAAAAATTTCAAATGCGTTTTTTGTCACCAACAGTGAGCCACGAGTTTAAACCACCCCACGATTTTTCCAACAATTGTTGCGAAATTCGTTTTCATTGGTTCATTACAGGTTCCTGTATAGTAGCTATCTAATGAAGGTAAAAAATTGGCTATTACTCTCTTCCTGTAGTCTACTAATAAAAACCATCACAATTCTTGTGCGACACCTCAGATACTTATAAATTCAATGGTAGAGATACGAATTAAGTAAATAATTAACGCAAATGAATTTGGGAGTGTGTGATACAGATTAAAGGTGAATGACCTATAGGACACTTGACCTAAATGACTAGCTTTAAGCTTGTGATTACACCCGAGTATCAGAAGTTAAATGGTTTGATGATTTTGGAGATAGAAGGACTTACTTAATGATTCATCAAAACGGTATACTTACACAGCTGATAATCTTTAGAGATGCTTTAAAGATATTATAAATACAAAAGTGTGAATTAGCGAAAGGGTCAATACTCTATCTGTCTTCTTTTAACTTTTTTACATAAGACAATTGCAATGACAATAAAAAATAAATATAAAACAAGAAGGGCATATGTTATACCTTTCCTGCCTTGACACCATGTGTAGCTCTGGCACCAGCCCAAGCATATCCGAACGCACCCTCATGATGAGGTTTTCCCGATAAAAACGTTTTCTTATCTATTTGTAGATGAAGGTCAGAATCATCTGAAAATGAAGATACCACAATATAGTACTAAAATAATGATCAACCGATAATGGAATTTTCCACAACCACAGATTACACAAAAAAACTACTTTACTATCTCTTTTTTTTAGTTTTATTTTTGTCTACTGGAAAACTACAAAATAAATGAGAGAACAAAAAGCAGAAAAAGGATTTTATTGAAAAACCTTTTTACAGTCTAAATAACAATAAACAAAAATTACATTACTTACACCAACTAAGCTGTACTTTGTTATTATCTATCGTGGGTTCGTTCTCTTTAATCGGGCTTTTACTTCGCTTCTGCACCTTTTCCGGGGACGGACTGCGTCGTCGCTTCTCGCCCCGCTGCTCGCCCGATTTGCCGTCGGACTCGGTCACGTCCATCGACTCCACCTTCGGAGTCTCCTTAAACCGACGAAATTAAAACACAATAACCCCCTCACCGGTTTAGTTACCTCTTCGGCTTTCTCGCCGTTTTCGGAAATTTTCTCATCTTTTACCGCCGCCTCCTCCTCATCCTTTACGGCGGGTTTAGTTTCCTCGTCCGGTTTAGTTTCTTCGGCGGGTTTTGTTTCTTCGGCGGGTTTTGTTTCTTCGGCAGGGTTTGTTTCTTCGGCGGGTTTGGGTTCTTCGACGGGTTTAGTCTCCTCGAGGACATCGTCGGGAGTGGTCTCTTCTGGTTCTACGGCCGATTCTTTCGTCGGCTCCTCGTGTTCTTCTTCGCCCTGAAATGGAGAAAGTAATCGAGGGAACGGCGGGCGTGCGAGTCGTACCTTTTCCTCGAGTTTCTCGGCGGGTTTGGTTTCGATCTCGGCCGATTCCGCGGGCTTGTCGGGCGGGTCAGTCTGGACGTCATCGCCGACGCTTTCTTGACTCGCGTTTAGGTCCTCCGTCGAGGTGTCTGCGATGGAGGTGTCTGGGATTTCTGAAATGAGGAATACGAATAAGAGGGGGAGGGGGGAAGAGAAGCGGGAAATAAACACAAAGTCGCGCCATAATCTATAAATGCTCGCCTCGAAAGGCAAAATTCGGACTAACGTTCTATGCGGGCGCCTACCTTGCTGCGTCTCCTGCTCCAAAGCATCCTTGAGGCGTTTCACGAGCACCGGTTTGTTACCTTTGGCGTCCAGGCCGCGCAAAGTTAATTCGGCCCGAAGTTCGACAACTTTTAGCTTCGCCGGATCTATCGAACTCATTTTATGATATTTATAGCGAATTTATGTCTCACACAAAACTGTCACGCGGTAAAAATCATCAAACAAAACTACACGCGCAAATTTACCAAAATGGCGACCTCGAAGTACGCGTGCGCAAGTTATTAAACAAAAAATGGTACCGGCTTGGTTGCAACGTTGCCACGTTTACACATTACGCTCTTCAAACAGGGAAATTTTATTCGTTGGCCATGAATAGCGACATTGTACTTTTAGCTATTAATATTTCAATTCGCGGTAATCACCAGGCACGACAAACACTTTGTGATTGACCTAAACGGTCGTAAAGATAAAATATCTATTGACCGCCTTAGAACCAGAGATCGCCTCGGATCAAGATACCCTACTTCCTCCCAAACATCAATTTCCTCTGCCCAGCAACAACAAAGTCCGGACAATCTGTAAGGTTCCCAAAGAAGTTGAAGATTACAATACCGTGGCACTGGACGAGAGTACTGTGTCGACCGTGCCGTGCACTGCCTCGACGTAAAGTGATTCTAACTCTCTTCTGATTGGACGATACGAGTACAAAGCGAAACGAATAAGTAGCGCACGCGGCTTCGACAAAAGTCACTCGCTCTCGTTCACGCTTCAAAAACACATAGCTCGGAGCTCGCTCCACGACCAGAAGACCCGCCTCCAAGCCCGACCGAAGACAGCACGTCATGTCAGCTCAACTCACTCCCAGCTGATGGTCTGTGGTCACTCCGTCGACAGCGCTCGCCGCGTGCATCTTAAGACTGCTTTCACATTGGTGATTTCTAGCCGCGCGACAGCAGTGGAGTGCGCGCGGCTCTGCTAATGTTATCATCATGTTACGCTGCTTGCCCGCGCGGCTGACCGGTAGGGCAAAAGGTAACAGCCAGATAGCGGGTCCATGAGAATTTTAAAACAATTACTAAAATGCAAATTTGGTAAATTTTTAATAGAACGCCCTGTATATTTTTCAAATTTTGAAAAAATCATTTCTTTCTAATTTTACAATTAAATGAATATGTGAACATTTGGTTAAGCCGTTTTTGAAATATTGTCTTTTATTTTTGGTTTGTAAATTTCCAGAGTGAAAATAATATATTAATTGATAAAAATAATAACGGCGGTTTGATGGCAAATGATATTTGGTAAAACACTTTGATAATATACTTTAAATGCTAATATGAAAAAAGAATCCTTTTTTTTTCCAATATGGCGGAATTGGCTGATTCATGAACTTGAACGAGATATTTATAGGTTACACCAACCCTTTAAAGTTTGGTCGAAATCGGTTTATAATTACGAAGGTTAAGAGTGTTTCTTGGAAGTGATAACTCTATAAATTACTTGGAATATACTGGTACCATTACAATAGATACCTAAAACGGCTAATGCAAATGTTCACATATTATATATATTTTTGAAATCAGCGCAAGAACAGATTCAAGTTTTGGAAAATATACGGGGCGTTCAATGAAAATGTACCAAGTTTGCGGAAAGATTGAGAGGCTAATCCTAATACAAGGAAGTGGATTGTTTTCATCTCTCACTGGCATATGGTATGTGCACGAAACCTGGGGCCCAGTTCATGATCGACATATCCTGACAGCAAGTTTGAGTCTACCGAAACTGAATGTCACTTTAGTGTCCAGTGACTCACACAGGTATTAGGAACTGACTCGTGTGGCACATGAACAATTTTGGTGTTTTGTTGAAAATTATAGAGACAAAGAAGGGACACTTCAAGAACACATATCACTCCGGTTTCATTAAATGTTGATCCCTATGTGCCGACATTGTCTAGAACCAATGTTTTAAAAAGTAAGGTAAATACCCAGCGAAGGAATACTAGGGTTAATACAAGAGAAATGTTTAGAAAACGTTTTTTAAACATTTAAACCGTGTCTCCTAGAATAGTATGCAAGGTGCTGCACTAGTATGTGAAATGCCACCTATTTGGAATTTGCCACCAATTTTATAATTTAGTTCCTAACCTTAAATTTATTTTCAAAACAAGATTCCAACTTCACCACCGGAAAGGCACCTGAAGAATGTCTCACACCGACCGAGTCGTCGTACTCGTCGACATGGACTGTTTTTACTGTCAGGTCGAAGAGAACCTCGATCCACAGTTGAAGGGCAAACCGCTGGCCGTCGTTCAGTACAACACTTGGAGGGGCGGAGGGTAAATCTGTTCCGACTTTAGGAAAAGCTCTAATTGGTACTCGATAGGATCATCGCCGTTAATTATCTGGCACGAGAGCAAGGCGTGACGAGACATATGAGAGGCGACGAGGCTAAACGAAAATGCCCCCAGATAGAATTGGTTCATGTTCCTTCGGTGCGAGGCAAGGCAGACTTAACTAAGTATGATGCAGTTGTTGCTGTTTCATGTGTTGCTCTTTTATTTTAACATATTTATGCGGGTTTCACCTCTTCTTTGTTTTACTTTTTAATTGTCAACCGGACCCTTTTCTCCCATGCATGCAGACCTGCTCCTCCTACATTCCTTCCACGTTTTTAGTATTCTCCTCTATTTCCAGTTTTTCTTTGTTTCACTTTTGCTTCAATGCTCTGTAATTTCTTAATTCTTCTTCTCTCTTTGCTGCATTAATAGTGTGTTTTGCTTCTCTGACTCTCCTTCATTATTTTCATCTTCATTGTTTCTATATGATCTCGGTATTCATTCTATGTGTAGTACTTCTATTTTTAATCAATTTATTTTCTCCCTCTTTGTTCTTCGTATTACTTATTTTATTTTTTTTATTCTGTTGCTCTCTTTTTTTGGTTAATATTGTGCATTTTACTTTCATGTGCCTTTGTTCTTATTTTAATTGATTGCTTCTTTCTTTATCTTCGACTGTTCTTTCTACACGTTTTTCTGTCGCTCTCTTTTTTGTGTTGTGCTTTACTTTTTTTGTCTTTATTTATATTTTAAGTCCTATCTTGTTTCCTTCTTTAATTAATATTTCTCTTTTTTCTACCCTTTCTATTTTGTGCGTTTTACTCGTTATCTCCCTCCCGTTGATTAATTATCTTATTCCACGTCCTTCTCCAATATACTATATGTTTTTCTTTTACTTAATTTATTGTTCTTCATTAATTTAGTGACAATTACTGACAAAGACCTCGTTCTGACAGATATCGAGACGCAGGAAAGCTCGTAGCGAGTGTGCTACAGAAGTTCACGCCATTACTCGAACGTGCCTCGGTCGACGAGGCGTACCTTGACATCACGGACGCCGTTGCGGTACGATCAAATTTTGCCAAAAGCGAAATTCAATTGAGCCAAGTTATCAACACGCACGTCGTCGGCTGCGAGACCTTGGAATTTCTGTATTCCCTATACAATTTCGGTCTGTGCGACGAGGCGAACTTAAAACTGGCTTACGGCGCCGTCATCGCCGAAGAAATTCGCGCGGCCGTGTTCCGCGAGACCGGCTACACGTGTTCGGCGGGCATCGCGCACAACAAGATCCTGGCGAAGCTCGCTGCAGGTTTGAACAAGCCGAATCGGCAAACACTTTTGCCACAAGATGGCGTCGAATCTCTGTACAAGGATCTGCCCGTGCGCAAAATTCGAAGTCTAGGCGGCAAGTTTGGGGATTCCCTCTCGGAAGACTTGGGTATAACGACCATGGCGGAGCTCGAGCGATTTTCGCACAAGGATCTGCGGAAACGGTACGACGACAAGACGGCGAGTTGGCTGTACAACATTGCGAGGGGGATCGATCTGGAACCGGTAACGATTCGTTTGGTTTCGAAGTCGATTGGTTGTGCGAAAACCTTTCCGGGTCGAAACGCGCTAATTAAACCGGAGTCCTTGAGGCATTGGCTGGGAGAGCTAAGCGCCGAGTTGGTCGAGCGTTTGGAGAAGGACCTGGAGGAAAACAACCGAAGGGCGAAACAAATGACCGTCGGGTTTACTCACGATGACATCTCCGCATCGCGCGTGCACGGTTTGAGTTCGTACGACGCTAAGAAGATCGCCGACGATTGTTACGCCCTCGTACAGAAGCACTGCGTAAAAGCCGACGGTACCTTTTGCGTAACAAATTTGTCCATCAACGCGGGAAAGTTCGAAGACTGTCGAAATGTCACCGCGATCACTTCCTTCTTTAAATCGAAGACCGTCGAGACGAGCGACTACTCCGACGAAACCATCGATTTAAACGAAGACACTTCGAAACTGTCATTTTATAAAGAAGCAGACGCTTCCAACGATTCGATAACGACCGAGATACGAACGCTCGAGGAGGACGAGGCGAAAGGATCGTTTTTCCTGCAGTACTTCGAGGATATGAAGAATTCGAAGAAACGCGAAAGTCCGGTTCTGCGCGACTTCGACACCTCGCGAAATTTAGAAGACGACGACGCGCCGAGCACCAGTAACGGAACCGAGATTTGCGACGAGTGCAATCGGAAAGTTTCGATCGCCGAAATGACCTCGCACAAGGACCATCACCTCGCCCTACAGATCGCCAAAGAGGAGAAGCTCGCGCGCTTGCCCACGATTACGATCAAGGGCAAGGAGAACGCGAAGTCGAAGAAACGCAAATCGTCCGACGCCGGCACCTTGACAAAATTCCTGCAAAGTGCGGCGATCCTGCCCGAGGATGAGTCAGAGGTGTGTCCGCAGTGCCAGAAGCGAATCGGGCGAAACGATCTCGCCGCTCATCTCGACTATCACCTCGCGAGAGAGCTGCACAGGGAAATAAACCAAATTAAATCGTGCTCGTCGGAAACGGCCCAGAGAAGTTCCAAGAAGACTAAAACGACAAAAGCGGCGACAAAAAATACGCGGAGTGTCATAAGTTTTTTTAAACCGAACTAAACGTTTTTATTCATTTTTTTTATTTTTGTACAGCACGTCTTTGTTAATTAAAGTTTTATTATTTAGTAGCAAATTTTTAAATTTAACCAACCTTCCTTGCACGGGAACCGCACCCGCGGATGATATCGCCCACACCACCTTAGAATCGACGGGAACCACGCCACCCCCGCTTACTACAGCGCCTGGACCACGTTAAAGCTGACCCGTCAGCTGTACTTTGCACGGACCAGTTATAGAATCCTCGCTGATGTTTCGCCATGGAAATTTTCTTGGAAAAGCTGCGAAAATCTTCGTCCGCAGTTTGACGGCGACTCGATGGGGTTAATGGCTCGTTGTTCGGGTTGGCTTAAGATTGCACCAGGCGGAAAACGTCCGGCGCATTGTGTAACGTCGATTAACCAATGCTGCTTTCCCACTATTTACACGCATATTTATAGGTCTGACGTAATCAGCGATGAATTGTTGAAATACCTGTAGGATCATTATAACTACCACAAGGGCGCCCCGCTTCAGACATTCGTATCACGTACAACCGACTCTGATTTCACATTTAAGCGCAATCCGGTTAGCTTTTGGAGGGAATAGAAATTCCAGTGGCCATTTAGAGAATCTTAAAAGATAAGTAAACGGCGTTATAATTGTACTAAAAACAGAGGAACAAATTAGCAAACAGAATGTTCTGATACCTATTTTTCGCGAAAGCAAAATACGAGCTGTGTAACGAAGCACTCAGTTTTCATACCGGAATTTATGACACACCGTACATTGATAACCGCTACTAGCTTTATTGCACACACGGTATCTAAAGGCGCTTCATTACGAAAAGTGTTGCTGGGCTGCCGAATTTGGAAGTTTTAATCCGGTAACTTAAGTAAGTATAATGAACAGTAGCTAATTAAATGAGTTGCTGTGAATCGCACCTCAACCAGCCGTGTGTGCTTTCATTAGCGCTTGAACTAAATTTTAAGAACAATTGAGATTTTTATGTTTATTTTGTTTTAATTTAATAAATTTTTGAATGTAAACAATTGAATACGCCTGTTGGCTGGAAAAACCAATGATACCTCCATGAAATGGGCAAATATTATAAAAAGTAAAGCCGTTGTTTAGAGGGAATCTTTTTGCCTTCTATATTCGAGTACGTTTTGAGAACATTTACCGCTTAATTTTAAAAGGTACGTAAGCGCTTGATACTTGCCATTCTGTCCGTGTCCGTAATTCCGTTTTAGTGGATTCTCTGGAGTAACCGCCCGCCGAATTCCGGACTAACCCGTCTCTTCAACTGACTGACTGTGACAAACCTCCGAGACCATCGACCTTGGCCAAAAGCAAGGCTTCAATCTTCTGGTGGCGCTCGAGTCCGTTCCGCCTACTGCCGCTACTTTCGCCCGCTCAGTCAGTCTCCTTATTAATATTTGAAGCAGTTTATTTACATTACAAAAAATGCATTACATTATGTTACTATTAAAATTGATGTCCAAAGTGACCCTTACCTAATACTGATATTTACACGAAATGACGAAATAAAAATTTGTTCTCAAAAATATCTGTTTTATAATATACACCTGTATTCTTACAAAAAAGCATAACATTAGAAAAGTGATTAAAATAAAATGGTTCGGTTAGTGCTTTCTTAACAGTTTGGCAACCTTGCTCTATCGCCGTTAACGCACTAAAAATAAACTAAATTACACCTAAATAGGACTAAGCAAGGTTAATACACCTTAGAGATAGTGTTTAGCTGTATGTACAAGTTATAAGAAAATATGTTTAAAACAAGACGGAGAGGAATTTGAATATTTTGTACAAAATAATTTTTTTATACAGCTCACTACGCCATAAGACACTGTTACACAATTTCGTACTTATCCGGAAAGAGCATCGTATCGACTGTATGCTTAACGGCGGACTCGTCGTCGACTAGCAAGACTTCGGTGATCTACAAACGGTCTAATTGGGTGGGGCGAGCGGCGAGGGAGGGAACTAACCTGAATCTGTGCGTACGTAGATTTCGAATTGAACATCACGTTGAGCGGGAAAAAGTCGTTGGGTATGGCCCGCGGCGCGGAAAACTCAAAGGAACCGCTCTTGTTGCTCGCGTCGATAAGCGGCAGCGACCACACCAGCTGATTTCGTTTGGACTCGTGCGAGTAGGTGCCGTCGCACTCGCCGACGATCGGCGTACATCCAATCCTACGGATTTACGCGATTAACAATGACCTCGCTATAGTCCGTCTCACTTTCACTTTACAGTATAGGGTATATATATATATATATATATTTGTATAAAATCGACATTGCGACACTCAAAACTACTATAAGGATTGCATTGCCCTGTTTCCCGTACTGTGTAGTCAAGGTGAGACGGACTATAGAAATGCGAGAACCACTAACGGCAATGGAATGCAAATGTTAACGTCGACCAGCTCGAGATCCAAATGCGTCAGTTCGTACTCGATGTTTACGTCGCAGCCGCCATCGCCCGTTTCCGACGGCCAGCAGTTGATCAGAAGCGGCACGAACGCCTCGTCCGTTCCCTGTAGGCGCCATTTTAGTACGCCGACGTCTGTGTTAAGGGGGAATGGCTTATTTGGCTGCTTCAAACCGATCTGAAAAGTAAATGCCAACTACTGCTTCCGTCACACTTCATTAGGTTTCAATTAGGATTGTAATTAAGCCAAATTGAGGAAGGGGGGGAGGAAAGAAGAATGCTTAAAGAAAGGTTTCTAAGTTTTTTCGTCACCCGTACTTGAGAGCGCGACTTAAATAATTCCTTGTCCACATTCGGATGCGTCTGCAGCTGCACGCCGTGCGAATCTTGATTTTTGAGCTGTACCCGAATCCGTCCCCACTTCTCGTCGCTAATGTGTAACGTAATAAGGCCGGATAATTCGAACTGCTGAACGCCGCCGTCGCGTCCCATTCGCACTATCAACTTCTCCTCTTGCTTAAGGTACACCCTGCAATCGATCAAATAAGATCGTGCGAAAAGCCGACCCGCTCGACTCACCCGTCGATTTCCGGCTTGATGGCGATCGACTTGTGGCTAGCTTGCGATACGTTATTGACGGCAGTGACGCTCTCCCCTTCCGACTTCAGCTGATCGACGAACGACTCGACGTCCTTTCCTTTGCTACCCAACTTCATGGCGCGCGTCGGCAGTTGTTTCCTGAAACAATCGATCGCACTGACGACCTTAGCTACAGCCACTCGACTACTCACTGAACGCTAGTATACGAGGGTGGCTTAATGTCGTTACTAATATTCGCCATGTCGCCGACGGACGGCGCGGGCGTGTACAACGCGGAACTTCCGAAACCGCCGCTCGAGCCGCCGAACGCCGGCTTGCCGCCCTTTTTCGCCGCCTCCATGCGCTGTCTCTGCAACTCCTTCGCCTTCTCGCGCATCTTGTTCTTCGCCTCGCGCTCCTGCGACTGCCGCACCGCCTGGTACACCTTCTCCTCGTGCGAGTCCATCTCGACGAACGTCCGTATCTGCGACAGGTTCACGCTCTCCCTGTAACCGAGCGCGACGATCTCGTCGAAGGCGAATATTAGATTGAACGCGTTTTCGACTATTTCGGTCTCCTCCAGCGATCTACAGTACTCGGGAATCTGGACGACAAAGTTAGCATAGGCGGCATCGCTGTATTTAGAAACGGACAGTATGGCAACGTCACTACTTTTGGATTCAAATTCATAGACACAGAAGAAAGCTTTTACGTAGACTAGAAGGCGAGTGCTGGCGTGTCAGATGATTAAGGATTAATTGATAAAATGAAAGAGAAGAAGATGGAGGACTAAGGGAGGAAATTAAGAGAAGGGAAGAGCAATGGGATATGAGAAAAGAAGAACTGATGGAAAGGATAGCAAAACTAAAAGAAAAAATGAGAGAAAGGAAAGAAGGAAGATAAGAAACAAAATAACGTTACAAGTAGTAAAGATGGAAGAAGGAATAAGTACGAAGAAATGGCTTAAAGAAACGTAGAGGTGAATGTAAAAGAGACGAGAACAATTATAGAAGTAGGAGGAAATAGGTAGTAATCGCGGAACTACCATGGGATAACAAGAGAGAAATTAAAGAGATTGTAGAGAGTGAAAGAAGGACAAGAATGTAAGATAAAGATACAGCAAATTAATAGTAAAAAGATGAAGATAGTAAAAAGATGAAGAATACAGATAGAGTAACAAAGAAAAAAGAACCAGTAAGAACAGATAGGAAGCGGAGGGAAGAGAAAACGGTAGGATTTGGAGGAAAAAATTAACACTAAAAGAGAACATAGGGGGAGAGGAGACAGAAGAGAATAAAAGAAAGGAGCAAAACGAAAAAATGGAGAGGAGTAACATGAAAATGTTCGTGAACGAAGATGGTGACATTTGGCGAGATGGGAGGAAGGGAAAGGGAGATAAAATAGAAGTGGAAGGAGGAAAGAGGGAAAATAAGGGAAAGGATGGAAAATTAACTTACAAAAAGGGGCATAGATATACAAGTACAGCAACTGAGAGCATCAAGAGTTCACTAGGGAAGAAAAAATATCCAGATAATAGCGAGATTTCGATGCGGAAACAAGGAGAGAGGGAAGGAGAAGTGGAGAAAAAGGCGAAGAAAGGTAATGTAGAATTTGTGGAGAGAAAGAACATAATTATGTAAAGAGGTGAAAAAAGCAAGGGATTGAAGTGCTGCAAGGAGGAAAGGAGAGAAGAATGGATGAGGATGGCTTTAGAAAAAAGGGAAGAAACACAAAAATTTGTTTTTTTGCAGTTTATTTATTGAAAAAAGTTTTTGTCAAATGTCGTTAATAAAAAATTCATGATTAAAAACAACTCTTAAAAAAACTTTAAAGGATCTAAAACTTTGTATAAGTCTGGGAGGTTCTGGAGAGGTCTTAAGAAACTATTTGGGATTATTGAAGACACTTGCCAACTCCTAAAGATCCTTAAAATCGCTTAAACACTAAAAGCCTGGTGTAAACTCTAAAGGATTCAGAATACTCTTGAAGCTCGTCTTGAAGACTCTTCAATATTGATGGCGACTCTTAAAAGCTATTGACTCTGAAAAACTCCTAAAAGCGCCTTAAGAGTCTTGTATGCTCATCTGTCCTCATCAACGACTAAGAGTATTAAAAGCCTCTTGGACACCTTGAAAAACTTTTGGGGACTTTTAAAGACTCAAAGATTTTAAATGATGATTTTGTTCTCGGATTTCATTTCTCATAGGAACATCATCAAAGAAACGTACTCGAGACCTGCAGACACTATACCACGCACACGCGTTGGATTGAAACAAATTACAGAAAACTAGAACATTCACTTTTGTAACACCATCTAAACTTTCTTCTATAAAAACTTTACAACCACCAAGACCGACTGTCTTTCACCAAAAGTCTCGTTATACGTCTTATGTAAAACACGCTTCCTTTCTATTCCTTCCTTATGCAATAAATGCTTGAGAGAAATGAACTCAAGACTCCTCCATAAAAGTGACGCAAACTTGAGTTAAACTCGAACTAGAACATTCGCTTTGTAACGGCGAATTAAAATCCTTTAAAACACTTTCAAACTTTCTTGTACAAGAACTTTACAACTGCCAAGATTGACTGTCTTTCAACAAAATGCTCACCCTTCGTTTCCATCCGCTCCTCCTTCCTTATCAAATTACTGGGCCTATCTTTATATTATAGTTAATAATTTTGTCCTACGACTCGCCGTTTTCAAGTTATAGGCGAAAAACCGCACCCACAACTCTCTCACCATCCACCTGGGATAGAGAAATCGCTCAAAACTGTATTACACAATCATGAGGGGGCCTTCTCCCACACATTGCCGATAAAATTGGAACTACGCCAATTATTTTAGGTAGATTTCTTCGCCCTATTGTAATGGTATCAGTATATTTATAGGTTTACATATATCACTTCCAAGAAACACTCTAACGTTCGTAATTATGAAACGATTTCGAGTGTCGGCTCGGTATAACTCAGCGAAGTTCGTGAATCAGCCAATTCCGCCATATTGGAACAAAATGGCGGACACTTTTATATGTTAAAAGAAATCTACCAACACCTGATGGCCGAGCCGAAAGGGATTTTTTCCTATATGTCATTTTTTGACATAAAATGACCGAACTATTAACTTGCTTTTACGAAGCGGTAATGAACCGGGATAATAAACACACTTAGTTCCTAAAGAATTCCAATGATATGATCGAATTTGTGTTCAATTTAAATTAACGACCACATTTAACCTTAAATAAAGTGAGATTCATATTATACAGGGTGATCCATAGTTATAATATTGCCTTTATTGAAGAGAAAAGAATAGAAAAAATAAACAAAGGACTTCCAAGAAAGGGCGAAGTTCAGTGCAGCAGAAAAAACTGGTGCCTGTTCTTACACTTAACCTAGAATATTATAATAGGTGCCGTTTTCAATAAAAACATCCGCATGATGTAGTTTACAATTACCTAACCTAAATTTGTTTTATTGAGTTAACGTAAAATTGAGCCCCCAAAAATGTTGACCGAATTACTATTGGTACTTTCGGAAGCGTCTCACTGCTCGTGTGCAATTGTTTTGCGTGTTATTATTCCGTGTCAATTTTTCGTTAACAAATTCCATCCACACTGTCCGTTAATAAATACAACGGTGGCATTCCGCTTAAATTACTTACGACACGCGCAAATAGACGTAGCGTCTCCAGGTCCTCGAGGATGTTACTGGCTCGGGTCGTAATTAGCAGCATGTACAACCTTTCGAGGGGCTGGTAGACGTACCTAACGGAGTCGGTCTCGACGAACGTGTGCTGCGTTCCCGACGGTATCAGTTTGGGAAACGCGGCCAGGAGGCCCTCTATTCGAGCTTTCGTCATTTCCACGAACTGGCGAGAGACAATTGCTAAAATTTGAGTTAAAGTCGACGGCGAACCCCGTGGTTTTGTACCTACTTTTCCCTGCTTTGGTGCATACCGCTGCTGCTATTAGCACCTGAATGGGACAAACACAAAAATGACTCTCGAGTAAACGCGAAACTTACACTTACCATAGCGAACGATTTGCTAGAGACAATTTAACGTATTTAAAGCTAATTCTGTTAATTGTATGTTGACATTACACCCAGAAGACACACAGACGAAGATGACGTTGACGTGTGCTGTTTTAGTGACTTACTTAGGAATTTTGGTTACGTCGCCGGTTTTCGACTAATCACAAAATTCGAATCCTTAAACAAACGGCGCTTCGCAATTATCAATTTCGAAAGCAAATTTCTGTTTCCCATTCGCAATTAGGCCGAAATTCCTCAGGCCGTACGAGAAATAACCCACAATTTTTGAATTTCCCACCATTGCTAGGGGGAGTTGACGAATCGCCGCTACCAACATCCAAAAAACAAACTACCTCTCAGTCCACTAATTTGGGAAAAATTGCAATATTTTCGAAGTTTCCACACAAATCCTTGTTGCGCAAATTCTGAAAAATGCCCAAAAATAAAGGTAAGCCCCGATGAATGTCGTGCAATTCGTCTTAACTCGCCCACCTTGCAGGAAAGGGAGGTAAAAACAGGCGAAGGGGTAAGAATGAGAACGAGACCGAAAAACGTGAATTGGTCTTCAAGGAGGACGGCCAGGAGTACGCGCAGGTTACGAAGATGCTCGGCAACGGGAGACTGGAGGCGATGTGTTTCGATGGCGTCAAGCGACTGTGCCACATACGAGGTAAGCTGCGAAAGAAAGTCTGGATTAACCAAGGCGACATCATCTTGATCGGGCTGCGCGATTATCAGGACGCGAAGGCCGACGTCATTTTGAAGTACACGCCCGACGAGGCCCGCAACTTGAAAACGTACGGCGAGTTTCCCGAGACGGTCCGTATCAACGACACAGTCACATTCGTCGACGACGGATTCGATGAGGACATCGAATTCGGTGACGATATTAGTTCGGGTGACGAGGCCGATCCTGTCGATGGCGTAAGTTTAATTAAACGCACCTGTACATTTATAATACCGTTGTCGTTTTCAGATCTGATGAAAGACTTCGTAATAAATATTCGCATACATGTCTTTTTTTTAATGTAGTTAGGAAAGTATTATAATTACAATTGTTGTTTATGTCTTTGTTGGTATTAGCAATAATTTGACCATTAAAAATTACCCGTTCTGTGTCTAACTAAAACTTGAGAGTGTATAATATCCTTCTAATGTTAAGTGAGAATAATTTTACTTTATATAATAAAGAAAATTTGTTTGTTTTGCTTCGTTTTTTTCTTCTGAATGTACATTTTGAACTAGTTATGTTCGGAGCATAATATACTATTGAGATTACCTAACTTATAACTGTATATCATACCAGAAACACCAATAATAAAAAAACTAATGAATTTTTTCTCTATTTTAAAATGCACTTTCCCTCCTCCCCACTTCCCTCATACTTCTCCCTGTAATAATTTCCACCTCCCTACATAACATAGGTGCTCTATGATCTCTTCTACCTCCCCGCATATTCTACATTTTCTTTCTTCTTCTTGTTACCTCTATTTCTCTGTTCCTCTCTCTTTATTTCCGCATCTGAATCTCGCAATTGTTTTAATATTTTTTCTTCCTTCCCACAAATATTTTGGTAACTACATTGATTCTGTGTGCGCTCCCTATCTTCACCCTCTCTCTGTTTAAATATTCATATTTCTATTTGCCAGCTCATCTTCCATCTTTCCTTCTCCTCCTTCCGTAATATATTTTTCTCTTTGTTCTTTTGCGGTCATCCTCCTTCTCAAACATTCTTTCACCAATTCGCATTCTCTATTATATTGCCCCTGAAAGGTTCCACCCTGTATATATAACTTACGACGATACATACATTTTTGAGAGTTGGCTGCCATGCAATTTCTAGGTGGGGGAAAAGCGATTTGCGCCATCTAGAAAGCAAGACGTTGATCATCTTGTCTTGAATGGCGGTCGTGTACGGGTCGCTCCATAAATGTTTGTTATTTTGTGTTATTTAATGCAGGTAGTAATTTTTGCATTTCTTTATATCGTATTTGTGTTTTGTATGCCGCATTTTATATTTTTTGTGTTTGAATCTTTGTTTTTGAAATTTACTTGGTTTAACCGTAATACAGAATCACGTGTGATACCGTTATGCTATTGTTTGTAATTGTTTACGTTTTTGATGTAATGTTTGCTTAATTTATGTTTATTGATGTTGATTACTTGGTCTTGTCCCTGAAGTAACATTCATATTTTTATTTTAATATGTGGAAATTATTCCATTATTATTATTCATTTGATGTATGTACTGACTTGTTGTTTGTAACTAACAATTTTCTCCGTGAATGAAGCAGTCACGGGGGTGGTAAACACTGTGGTCAAAATTGAGTTATGACACCTAATTCCGTGATTGTCTTCGACATTCAACTGCATAGGCTCGAAACCCCTGAAACTAGGGGCGGGTTACCTATCTGCAGGAGCGGGATTACGCTAATCAAAGCTCTTCAGTTTAGAATCTATATGCGATAAATGAGTTACGATTCGTAATTTCCACATATCTTGTTTTAGTTAAATTTGCCCACAAGGCCATGTAATTTTCCATCTTGCGTTTAACAAAATGACTCTCTTTTGTAATAAAAAACGATACGGTTCTAGTGCATCCATAAACGAACTCTAGGGTCGCGCGATTCTCGACTGCATAGGAAAATATTCTAGTAGGAGCTGTTCCCCATGGGAAAAATGAATTTGAACGAATTTTCAATGATCTTTTTGGTTTGCCCAATACAATACCTACATACATGATTACAATCTTTACAAGATATTTTTATTTTCTGGGTAAAATGATCTTCGCTGCACTTACCAATGTTTATGATATATACAAATCTGAGTATCTGTGCAATTGAAAATTTTTCCAGTTTAGCAAACCTTCACTCAAGAATAATCCATTACCAAACTAATTACTGAATCTGGCCGCAATTTTCCACCAATAAATTGATACTCCGGGCACAAATTCGCACGTATACGGCAAAGTACAAGTAAACCATATAAGGCAACGCTTACCTTACATAAAATTAAACGTTGACGCCAAGAAGTGAGCTCAGTTCTCGGATCCCAAAACCTGGAAACGAAAGTAAAACTCCCAAGCCGCAGAGAAATCTTCCCCCCACTACTACTACTATGACTAAGGTCAACGTTCCATCATAAACTTTCCCCTAACTATCTCAATGGTAGTTAATTTTTGATTTTTATCAAAACTGCCAATTACAATCGGCGGTTCATTTTGAAGTGAAGGCTCTGTATAACTGGTAAACGGAGGGAATATACAATTTTGTTAGTTAAAATCAATACTTAAGTATAAATCAAAAAATGTGATATTTATCTTTAAACAATTACCTTAAATCAACAAGTTTCAGCAACTAATTATGATATCTTCTTAAGAGCTAGAACTTTGAGAAGAAAGTTAAAAAAATCTTGGAGCAAGAGAAAAATAGATAATATATTTTTTTGTTATGTTAGATCCCATATGCATATTCTATAAGTAATGCACCTCTTCCCCTTTTTCATAGGACTCCAATAAACTATAAAGCAATCGAATAAAACTAGAAAAAGTGATATGCATGAAGAAGTTACGTTTAAAGACCTCTATTTTTATGTCTTGCTCTGAGATAATCGACACTTAACGTTTGAACGTTATTAACCTAAGTTACATGACACCACCACACACTACAGAATTAATATTTAACTTAAAGAGAAATGTGTTCCTTCTAAAAACATGTGTTGTTTTCACGAACTTATAAATTAAGATGGACTGCTAATGCTGAATTGACAAATGACACCTACATGGGGGCAGCCAAGATGTGCACTCGCTTGGCGCAAAATTCAAATCAACTAATAAACAAGCATTAACCTCACGTTTTCTAAATAAATTACTGTTACATATGTTAATTTCCAAGGCTGCAATAGTCTCAAAACTTGAGCACTAGGAAAATTCCCTTAGAAAATAACTAAAATGTGCACATCATGGCCGCGCCCATGCCGTTTCTACCTCTACGCAACTGTTTCATCAGCAGTCCATCTTAATTTATAAGTTCGTGGTTGTTTTACACTTGCAATTAGCACATTAAACAACTTAAGACACGTTATGTTTTAAAAGGTGTCTTTTAAAGTACTGTTTGTCACTTGTCTCGTAATCACAATTAGCACATTTAAATTCTTTAGAAACAGTATGTTTTAAAAGGTGTCGCTTAAGCTGTTGTTTAGTACTTGTTCTATATTGACAACTGGTACATTTAAAATCTTTAGATCCTTTATGTTTTAAAAGGTGTCGTTTAAAATATTGTTTGTCACTTGTTTCGTAATCACAATTAGGACATTTCAATTCTTTACAATCGGTGTGTTTTAAAAGGTGTCTTTTAAAGCAATATTTAGTATTTGTCTCATAATCACAATTATTACATTTAAAATCTTTAAACTTGGTATGTATCAAAAGATGTTGTTTAAAGTAGCGTTTGTCATTTGTCTCATAGTCACAATTAGGACATTTACATTTTTTCGAATCGGCATGTTTTAAAAGATGTAGTTTAAAGTATTGTTTATCATATGTCTCGTAATCACACTTAGCACATTTAAAATCTTTAGAATCAGTATGTTTCAAGAGGTGTCGTTTAAAGTAGTGTTTGTCATTTGTCTCGTAATCACAATTAGCACACTTAAATTCTTTAGAATCGCTATGTTTTAAAAGGTGTTGTTTCAAATGGCGTTTGTCTTTTGTCTCATAATCACAATTAGCACATTTCAAATCGTTAGAATTGGTATGTGAAAGGTGTCGTTGAAAGTAGGATTTCTTATATGTCTTGTAATTACAATTGGCAGATTGAAAATCTTTAGGACCTGTATGTCTTAAAAAGTGTTGTTTCAAGTAGTATTTGTCATATGTCTCATAATCACAATTAGCGCATTTAAATTCTTTAGAATCGGTATGTTTTAAAAGGTGTCGTTTAAAGCAGTATTTATGATTGGTCTCATAATCACAATTAGTACATTTAAATTCTTTAGAAACGGTATGTGTTAAAAGGTGGTGTTTAAAACGGGATTTCAAATATGTCTTGTAATTACAATGAGCACATTTAAAATCGTTAAAATTGGTATGTTTTAAAAGATGTTGTTTGAAGTAATGTTTGTCATTTGTATTGTAATCACAATTAGCACATTTAAAAACGTTACAATCAATATGTTTTAAAAGGTGTCGTCTAAAGCACGATTTATCATTTGTCTTATAATCACAACAAGCACATTTAAATTTTTTAGAATCGATATGTATTAAAAGATGTCGTTTAAAGTGGGAGGTAATGTTTGTCTCGTAATCGCAATTAGCACATTTAAAATCTTTATAATCTTTATGCTTTAAAAGGTGTCGTCTTAAGTTGTGTTTGATATTTGTCTTGTAATCACAATTAGCACATTCTAGTACATTTTGCAATTGCTTATCTTTTGGTTCATCTTCACAATGAGCATAGTTAAAGGCTTCAGAAACATTATGCTTGAAAAGATGTTGTTTAACTTGCAGCTTTCCATTTGTTGGGTGTTGACCAAAGTCACATTCAAAATGGTTGGAAATTTGAGTTTTAATATTCCATCCACAATCAGTTTGTTGTTGTACTGCTTCATTGTCGAGCGATTTGGAGCACTGTCCAGTAATTTCGTCCTTTATTGTAACCCACTCTTCGTTGCTTACTACAATGGTTCCTTCAAGATCAGAATAGATTTCTTCTTCATGTTTTGGTTCGATTTTAATGAGTGGTATGACATCTTTTCCGTCCATATCTAGTATCAATAAGGTTATCAAGACAATTATGTTTTTGTTTATAAAAAATAAAGTTTAGTATTAATTAAACAATACAAATTTCTTACCAGCTTACATATTTAACATGGCTTACAGACGTAAATAAAGCACTCGCTGTAGCTCAAGTACTGGTAAAGGGCGGAGCAATGGTTTTTGTAGCGATAGCCTTAGGGCAGATACTTTTACTTTTGGCTAAATGATCAATTACTGAGGCCAATTTTCGTGTGGCGGCCATATTCTCGGTGCACAAAACTGCTTACAATTACATTTACATCAGCTGTTTGTGTTCCTTGACCAGTGGCGTACCTTCATTGTACGAGAATATGGCCGCCAGCTTGTCACACGAAAATTTGTTTCAACGTGCAGCATTGCACTTATCAGTCACCTTTCGTCCGGCGTAGTCTATAGGCGGATTTAGGCTCGTACGCAGAACGGCGCTGCTGCAGAAAGTCGCAGCCGCAGGTAGTTCGAGGCCATGTTGATATACGGCCTTGTTTACGCTTGAACGCACAAATACAAAACGTAGGTTGCCGCAAATATGCTTGTCTGTAGGAGACGCAGAAGTTCGCAGAATTTAAACTTTGTACGCAGTTGTTTGTAGTCGGGCGTGCGAAGTGCGGAGAAAACCATCTGTTCCAAATTTCTCCTATATTTGTTAACAGGTCTTACTGCCCACCGTCGTACCCTCCTTTGAGTATGCAAGAGCCCCAACTCATTACTTAACGCCGTTAGTAACAGTATTTTCTTTAATTTAATTCTCTTCTTGTCTGCCATTGCAGAAATTAATCAAAAATCTGTTATTTTTCTATTCACTTAACCAACCACGTTATTTAACGACCAAAAGAGGTTAGGTTTTAATTGTCAATTTCGACACTGAGAACAACTGCCTACCAACATAAACAGATAGATCACTAGTACACACGGGGGCGTACTTCTGCAGCTGAAATTTCCACTCATTTCTGCAACGTGTGCATTCTGCGTACGAGCCTAAACCCGCCTTAACTCTTAAAACAAAAAAGTTCCTTAAGGTCTAAGCGTCAATTAAATAATGTTAAATGTAAAACATTGGCAATGACTGTTTCACAACAGCCGTGCGTGCATCAGTTTATGCCACAGAAGTAGTCCAGTCAAAATAGGAAAATCAGAGGAACTAAAAATACTAGTTCCAATTTTTTCAGAAATGTGTAGGGAGAGGTTCCCTGAACAAGAAAAAATAACGTCCCTCCAAATTCCGGAGTCGCAGAGAAAGGGGGGGGGGGGCTTTAAACGACTCATTTTTCAGTTTTTCGCTTTTAACTGAAAGTGGTGCGTTACAATGAAAAAGTTCTTCAGTACAGAATGAAAGCTTATTAAAATTGCTACAAGTTTGGTTATATACATCTTTACGAAAAACTGAACCGTTTTCGTGCTACCGGCTCCGGAAAGGTGGTAATTTCTAAACAAAATTGTTTTTCACTCACGTTTTTCGTATTTTTTTGGCTTCTAAATCCTCCCCCGGTCATTTTAGGGGAAAATCGTCACAATAAAACCTGTACAGCATTAACATCCCTCTAGTCCGAACCTGAAAAATGAGTAGTTTAAAGCCCCCCCCCCCCTTTCCTGCGTCTCCGGAATTTGGAGGGACGTTATTTTTTCTTGTTCAGGGAACCTCTCCCTACACATTTCTGAAAAAATTGGAACTAGTATTTTTAGTTCCTCTGATTGCCCATTTTTGGTCTAAATTGGCTGGGCTATACTAGATCAAAAGTTACAGCCATTTGAATTTTCTTTCGAAATTGGTTTCTAGTCTATAAGTTTTGATTGAGAAGTCTAATCGAAAAAGTACGAATTGTTTTGGATTCTACGCACCAAAGTTAATAAGAAAAAGTGTTTTCCCGAAAAATTTTGGTGCAGTCGATTTTTGGTAAAAAAGGAGGGTTATACACTGCCTTTTTTTGAACCCCGAAAAAAAATTGTCTCAGATCGATCCGGAAAAATTTGACTGGGCTAAAATATACACAGACTAGAACGCCAATAGGTAAGTATGCGCTAGAAGAAAATTACACCACTGTACTCTTCTGAGCTTGCGTAGTGCGTGAACTTATAAATCCAGTCACTGAACTGTGTATATTTCCAGAAATTCCGAATTAATTGTGATAGAATGTACACAGAACACAAATACCTAAATTATATAGAAATATATTAACTATTAATGCATTAAATAACACACAAAAAAACAACAAACTTGAACTACACGTACCCGATGCTATCTCGACGACAGCTCAAACCAAGATTACTGTAACGTTCATACTCTCGAAACGTTGCAGACAGCTTTTCTCTTGTTCTAAAAAGACATCGCGCGATTGCCAGCTCTTAAATATGTGTGCATCATCTTAGGTTGTATATACAGGGTGGAACCCATCAAATTTCGAATTATAATCGGGAAAATTTTAGTACGAAATTTACCCCACAAAGTGTAAACGTGACGATCAAGACCAAGTACACTTGTGACCTTTGATACTATTCATATTTCTATAGTCGCGGGTGCCTTGTTGCCATGGACACACAAGGCCCGCTGAAAGTACATAGGAGAGTCAAATACAAACTAATCAAACATTCCTCTGACGTCATATACTTTCGTCGTTGTGATAGTGGCTTTAAACTGAAACTCCCCGTTGTCTATACAGAGTGATTGCGGTTTATAGGCCTATGTGTGCACGCAACAAACTGTAATTCGAAATCGTTGACGTTGTTTATTTAACGAAATTAGTAACAATTTCATTAGCCGTTGTTGCTATAGGAGACGTAAAATTAATATAGATTCCTATTCCTGAACTTGACAGTGCAAGTTTACACCGCCAAATTTTGACCGTGTTAAACGTAAATTGCGTGCGTAAAGAGCGGAAATGTTATTGATTTTAGTTGTGTGACATCGGTTTTTGAGAAAGTAGGCGTCGATCACAAAATCTGTTCTCACTGTGGTTCGCACAATGTCGATTTTGAAAAGGAAAAGGTGGTAGTATCTCCCCCTTCCCCCTCCAACATTTCCAAAATTTGAAAAATTTCAGATTGGACGACTCGGTCGTTTTGCAAACCATCAACATCGAGGAGTCGGCTTTGCTACAAACAAATCCGTCGTTGCTACAGCAGCAGATACTCTTAGGACCCGTCATCGACGATGGAAAGCACATACTCGAAAATTCCCAAATACAAATCATGAACAATTCGAATATTTTAGCAACAGATCCGGCCGGCCATTCGAACACGTTCATAGTTCTACCGCAGAACGGCGAGGGCGGCAGTGACACGCAAACGATCCTTCAGAGTATTCCCGTGTATTTGCTCGTGCCAAGGGAGCAGTCGGTGAAGCAGCCCGACGTTAATCCGACGGCTAACACGCCGATCCTAATAAAGGACGTGAGAACTGTCAAGCACGAGGTGGAGGAGGAGGACGTTCGCAGGTACACCGAAACCATATACTTGGACAGCATGGACGAAGACCCCCTCCTGCCCGATCCCGACGTGAAAGCGGACGGCGCGATCAATCCGAACGACTGGAAACACCGTTCGTTGTACAAGTGCGATTTCCCCGGTTGCCCTAAGATGTTTCTGTACCCGCACGACCGTAAGGTCCACAAGGACTCGCACATTTTCCCCGCGGGTACCGAATACAAGTGCAGCATTTGCAATATGTCATTTAAGCAGGCGATCGATAGAAATAAACACGTCGAGTCTCATTCGATCCCGAGCACGCACGTTTGCTCGTTCTGTAAGGCCAGCTTTCCGTATTACACGACTTTAATACAACACATAAACAACACGTGTTGCCTTAGCAAGTGCGTCAAGTGTCGATTTTGCAATATACCGTTTGCCAACAGAGAGGACGCACGTCAGCACGAGATAAAGTTACACATCAGTTATAGTAAAGAGAAACTGGCTAGAGCGCGAAGGCCCATGCGACATGCACGAACTCCTGTCGATACGGATAATGTAATTGTGTTAGATTGAAATCGGTCAAGTTTGTGCAAATTGGAAGATGAAAAAGTGTCATGTAATTTTGAGGTTATGTCGGCACCTTTGAATCGGCTCGCATTCGCTTCGATTGTGCAGCTCCCTTAAAAATAAGTGTACAATAACTGTAAGATTCCGATTATGTAGAGTTAAATAATGTTTCAGATGTATTGACTAACTTTTGAATAAATTGTTAATTACTGGGTGTCCAGCTCCCAACTAAAAATAGAATTTTATTTTTGAAGGGGTGCAGGGTGTTATTAAATGAATCTAAGTGAGAGTAAAGACTGTTTATTATCACAATGTAGTCTTTTAAGACACATTTTTACATAAATTCGGTTAATATCCTCTCCATAAAAACATAACCTCTGACATTTCTTAATTTGTTTCTATAAAGTTCTACCAACTTAAAGTAACTAAAATGAAATATATATACAGGGTGATACCTAAAACCATTGCTACTATATAAACAGAGTTCGGATTATATGGGAAGAATTCTTATGGTTTTCAATAGTTGAAATTATAAAGAGTACATGCTTTTAGTGTTAAGAGACATGAGTAATAGTCATGTTTTACTTTCCCTAGACAAATTTATTATCTGGATTTGAAAATTGATCATATATCACCTCAGCAGGAACTACACCCTGGGCGTTTACCAGGGATAACATACCTAATCAAAATCTTAAAATATGTAAAATACATTTATTTCGTATTTAATTAACCAGACCATCCACATTTGGGCTTGTGGGTATTTTGTCGAGAATTTTATGGCCTTTTAAAACAATGTGTCACTATCTATGGGGTCTGCACTGCATATTATAATTTTAAAGTGAGGGTTGCTCGTGGTACGGGGGTAAATGATAAAACGAAAGTAAACCTTCCATTATAAACTTTCCCCTAGCTATATCTAAATGGTAGTTTTTGCAATTTTTGTTATTTTGCCAATTACAACAGGCAGTTTATTTTGGTGGCGTAAGGTCCTGCATAATTGGAACACGGAGGTATATCCCATTTTGTGAAGGATGATTCAAAATGATGAATAAATGAATAAATTTATTATTGCATTATATTAAGAAAAATTCAGTTCAGCAACTAATCAAATGACTATTTCTAATTCAATTATCTTCTAACACACACTACTGAATTAACATTTAACTTGTTTTAATTTGATCCTTCTAAAAACGGTTTGTCCCCTAAAAAGGTGGCCTTTAAGACATTGTTTATTATTTGTTCCGTAATCACAATGAGCACATTTAAAATGTTGAGAATCAATCTGTTTGAAAATGTGTCGTTTAAAGGACTATTTATAATTTGTCTGGTAATCACAATGAGCGCATTTAAAATCTTTAGAATTGGTATGTTTCAAAAGATGTCGTTTAAAGTAGTGTTTGTCATTTGTCTCAAAATTACAATTTAGTACATTTGAAACGTTTAGACAGTTTATGTTTTAAGAGGTGTCGTTTAAGAGAAGAGTTGTAATGTGTCTCATAAGCACAATTAACACATTTAAAATCTTTAGACAGTTTATGTTTTAAGAGGTGTTGTTTAAGAGAAGATTTGTGATGTGTCTCATAATCACAATTAACACATTTAAAATCTTTACACAGTTTATGTTTTAAGAGGTGTTGTTTAAGACAAGATCTGTGATGTGTTTCATAATCACAATTAACACACTTAAAATCTTTAGACACTTTATGTCTTAAAAGGTGTAGTTTAAGGCAGGATTTGTCATGTGTCTCGTAATCACAATTAGCACATTTAAAATTTTTAGAATTGGTATGTTTTATAAGGTGCTGTTTAAAGTATTGTTTGTCATTTGTCTCGAAATTACAATTAGCACATTTAAATTCTTTAGACAGTTTATGTTTTGAAAGGTGTCGTTTGAGACAGGACTTGATATGTGTTTCGTAATCACAATTAGCACATTTAAATTCTTTGGAATTGGTATGTTTTAAAAGGTGTTGTTTAAAGTAATATTTGTCACTTGTCTCAAAATCACAATCAGCACATTTAAATTCTTTAGAATCGGTATGTGTTAAAAGGTGTCTTTTAAAAGTGAATTTGTTATTTGTCTCATAATCACAATTGGCACATTTAAATTCTTTATAATTGGTATGTTTTAAAAGATGTTGTTTAAAGTATTTTTTGTCATTTGTTTCGTAATCACAATTAGCACATTTAAAATCTTTAGAATTGGTATGTTTCAAGAGATGTCGTTTAAAGTAGTGTTTGTCATTTGTCGCAAAACCACAATTAGCACATTTAAATTCTTTGGAATTGATATGTTTTGAAATGTGTCCTTTAATGTATTTTTTGCTACTTGTCTTGTAATCACAGTTAAAGCCTTGTGAAACACTATGCTTTAAAAGATTTTGTTTAATTTGCAACTTACTAATTGTTGTGTGTTGATCGAGGTCATACACATTGGTGGGAATTTCTTCTGAAACTTCAGTTTTAATATGCCATCCACAATCAATTTGTTGTTGTACTTCTTCATTATCCAGCGATTTGGAGCACTGTGCAGTAATGGTAATTTCTTCCTCCTTTATTGTAACCAATGTTTTGTTGCTTAATAAAATGGTTCCTTGAAGGTTGAAATGGATTTCTTTTTCTTGTTTTGGTTCGATTTTCAGTGGCACATAATTTCCGTCCATGTCTGTTATCCAGAAAGTTTTACAATTATCTGTTTGTAAGTTTGTTTATCAAAAATAAAAGTTTGGTCTATAAGCTCTGGCTGTAGCTAATGTACCGATAAACGTAATGGTCAACGTCTCACTTCCAGTGCCGGAGTTAGGGTTTTTATTTTATACCGTACATGCATATTACATATGAGCCTTGACTGATAAAACCTAATCTGCACAAAGGCCTGCTATTTTTTAGATAAATTTACGATGAGATTTCTCCACTAACACCTTTTTGCTCGTCTTACTTTATTATATAAACCCCAAAAAATAAGAATATGGTACAATGTGTGACGATTTCTTTGTGCAGTAATATACACAGTGTGAGGATATGAAGGTGGCAAGTAGATCAATCAGTACGTGAAAAATCACGATTCTGAAATATGGGGGAAGAAGAAGGGTCAATCTTATATTTCGCCCTAAGCCCATTTCATAATATTGAGACAACTTCAAAGATATGTAGCCGCCGATCCTTAAACAGATGTTAAACTTTAATTCAATTCCATTTTATGAAAGCTCTCATTTTTGCTCGAATGTATGGACGCAAATTTTTGAGAAGCATCATTGCTCCGTTCATTCTCATTGTGTGAACACGGAGACTAGATACTGAGATGTACATTTTGTTGTCGTTTTCAGCTAACATGTGATGTAATTTGCAAAATACTAATTGTTAACTACGTAACATGCACGAATGTGTGTGGCTTGTTGTATGTAACCAATAACTTCCTACTGTGAGAGGAAGTTCGGACGCTAGAATCGAAACGTATTCTAGACCTAAGGCACAAAAGGATCCGGAACCCTAGAACATTTAACTTTAGTGGCGTAGTATCCGCAACCTAGGCCGCCATACCCATGGGCGCCAACCTAATTCTATGTTTTGTATGTTTATATGTATTTATATTATACTATTATGCTACCTATAATTTTTCTTCTTTAAATCTTATGAAACTCGCGATTATCTGTACCTATTCGTCAAATGTTGTGACTCTGGAATGAGGCAAATGCGTGTCGAGTATATCAAGTCTATCGGACGGATTAAAATCAAGTAATGGTTAGTATTTGCCTTATGTCATTCGTTTTGTCAAGTATGGTCTAGTCCTCTGCCTTTTTTCCAAATTTATCTAATTTCATTAATTATGTGCTGTATAACGCTTAGGTAGAGTTGGCGCTGCATTTTCTCAAACCCGCAGTAGCTTTGGGATTATGGTATATTGCACTATCTATAAACGGCCAACTATCTCAATTACCAATGGTTGAGCGCCACTCAACTTCTAATTTAACTCTTCCCGTATGAAATTGAGAAGATACAGGGGTAGCAATAATAGTACAATTCAATTCAGGTACCAAAAGAAGTACTGGTTTATTCACTCTCATAAACTAAAACACTAGGGTTGTCACCAAAAACACAAACAAATATATTTATTTATTTAATTCGGTCCCTTAAAAGGTGTCGTTTAGTACATAATCACGGTTCTAGGTAAATTCCTCGAATGCAATTGCTCGAAAGCCAATTGCTCGAGATCAATTGCTCGAAAGTAAGTTGCTCGAATGAAATTTTGCTCGAATTGTAAGTTGCTCGAACAGCAATTCCTCGAATATCTTTTACTCGAAAGATAAAGTTGTGAGATAGCCTTAACTCGAATCATTGATTTGTAAATATAAGAAAACCACAAACAACCAAGTAATGCTTACATATATTGCTAAATATAGGAATGTGATACAGTTAGGAAGGTACATATTATGAAAAACAAAAATTACATGTTGTCAATATGATATATTATGTGCTATTCCACGAACATAATCATATATATTTATGTCAGGTGCATAACTATTTACTAGTGTTAAAAGTCTTTGTGCACAATCACGGTATACCTTACGACTGATGGTAGGTGGTTGCCCGCTGATATGTTGCTCTATTCGTAATTCGTTTATACTCTGCTCCCTCTTTAATGCCGAAATAAATTTCCAGATGTTTGGATGGTCTGCACACAGTTGCATTTGGAAAGCTCGATGCCATCCCTCCACTGCGTTGTTTGTTTTTGGAAGTCCATGTTGTACGGCATCGAAACAATTCCACATGTTGATCGCGAAATGGGGCGGGCGCCGTCCACGTCGTTGAGGGCGACCGATCCACGTGTCTTCGAAATAATCAACAATAACTTGCAGTTCAGGAGAAAAAATGTTTTGCTCGCAAATGTCTTCAAAAGCAGGAATTACATCTTGAGGTGGAACGAATGCCAAGGCTGGAAGCAGTTTTAATGTCAACGCAACTTCTGGATTTCTCTCGTACTCCCGTTTTAAGCCATTTTCCTGAATGTGTCGGAAAATACTTTGACAGAGGTGAAAGAAGCATCCACGATGTATGGTTTGCGGGAACTCAATTCTTATGGCATTTATCATTGCTACTTCGAAATCTGTCATGATGGTCTGTGGTTGTGCATCATCAGCTGGAAGTAGGTTTTTTATTTCTCGAAGAAGATTTAAGTAGGTTTGCTCTGTCTTATTTGGTAGAAGAGCATATATTAAAGGGATAGCTACATGGTCTTTTATCCCGTGGATGGTATAGAGCTGTAGAAAAAGCGGTGGAACTACTTTGAATGTGCCGTCGGCATACCAATGCTGGGACATCGCCAGAAGGTTGATGTTACGTGCGGTTGAAAAAATCAGAATTCTGTCATTTACTGGCCCTGAATCGTGCAGGAGAAAAAGTTCGCCGTTTGTGGTAATTGTAAACTCTTCTGGGAAAATGATCTCCTCCCGATGTCTTGGTATGGCCGGTGCAACGTTTTCTCTCACTCTGACGTTCCTAATGGTCCGCTTAATATTGTTGACTGTTGGTAATTTAGCTGCAACTGCATTTCCCAAACCAGCAGAAGCTTGGGACACAATGAACTGAGGTGTATCTCTTGTGTTTTCTGCGTCTTCCTTTATTTTCTGCATGACCTTATTGGCTTCCAGCTGCGCTGCGTCGGCATTGTGGTTGTGGTCGTTATTGCTTGACGACACAAAGTTATTCACCGTAATCACACGAGCTTTGCACTTCATTTTCTTGGAGTGCTCGCACTTCCAATAAATTTTGGTATCAACTTGTTTATCCTTGATAAACAAAAAACTTTCGAAAAACAACTTGGATTTCCCTTTCTCACTGGACACGAACTCTAACGCCATGTTCACTTGTGAGCTTTCAAATTTTGAACTAACAAACGTTTTTGGGTTACTAGGCTATTTATAGGGAATTTCTCCTTCCAAATTTCATTGTAAGCATTCTGATGTTAATCACCTATTAGGAATAACCATCATTTCTAATAACAACCATCTCATTAACCTAAGGATAATTACGGAGCAATTATTATACACTCTAATGAAAACCCTAATGCAGATTAACATAATGAAATCATTCGTGAGAAGATGAATAATCATTAATTACATTTAACTGATCATGACTTGCTTTCTCCAAGAAAACCTTATTATGGTGCATACCTCATATTACATATATTGAATGACTTTCACCAATATGGACACTTGTTTTTTTAATTTTTAAAACCCAAGAACCCAAATCAACAATATATGTTCTCACTTTTTATGTTCAGGTTATTTTCATTATCATGACCACACTACTGAACGGATGTGAAGTACATCTCTTTAGGTATAAGCATAGTATAGGCAAAACGTATGGAAGACCTTTCACTTGATCACGCATGCATAAATTTAAGTTAATTGCGAACTTAATTCGAGCAAACCGTTTTCGAGCAATTGCCGTTCGAGGAATTTGTAATTCGAGAAAATTGACTTTCGAGCAATTGATTTTCGAGCAAATGATTTCGAGCAATTGATTTCGAGCAATTGCATTCTGAGAATTTTCGCAGCCGCATAATCACAATTAGTTAGACACTATGTTTTAAAAGGTGTAGTTTAAGACAGGATTTGTGATGTGTCTCATAATCACAATTAGCACATTTAAATTGTTTCCAATTGGTGTGTGTTAAAAGGTGTCGTTGAATGTGTTGTTTGTCATTTGTCTCATAATCGCAATTAGCACATTTAAATTTTTTAGAATCGGTATACTTTAAAAGGTGTCGTCTCAAGTTGGACTTGTCGTTTGTTTCGTAATCACAATTGGCACATTTGAAATATTTAGAAACGGTATATTTTGAGAGGTGTCGTTTAAAGTTGTACTTGTTATTTGTCTTGTAATCACATCTAGCACATTTAAATTCTTTAGAATCGGTATGAGTTAAGAGGTGTCGTTTAAAGCCGTATTTGTTATTTGTCTTGTAATCACAATTAGCACATATAAAATCTTTAGAATCGGTGTATTTTAAAAGGTGTTGTTTAAAGTAGTATTTGTTATTTGTTTCATAATCACATCTAGCACATTTAAATTCTTTAGAATTGGTATGTGTTAAATAGTGTCGTTTCAAGTTGGATTTCTCCTTTGTCTCGTAATCACAATTAGAACATTTAAATTCTTTAGAATCGGCATGTTGTAAAAGGTGCTGTTTCAAATGAGATTTGTAATTTGTCACATAATCACAATTAGCACATTTAAAATATTTAGAATAGGTATGTTCTAAGAGGTCTCGTTTAAAGTGGTTTCTGTTACTGGTCTTGTAATCACGATTAGCACATTGTAGCATGTGCTGTTGAACCATTTGTTTATTTCTTGTTCCATAACCATAACCACAATGAGCACAGTGAAAGCCTGAAACGTTATGCTCTAAAAGTTGTTGTTTAACTTGCAACTTACTATTTGTTGTGTGTTGACCGAAGTCACATTCACAATCAGTCGTAATTTCAGTTTTAATATTCCACTCACAATCAGTTTGTTGTGGTACTTCTTCATTATCAAACAATTTGGAACACTGTGCAGTAATGGTAATTTCGTCCTTTATTGTAACCAATGCTTCGTTGCTTAGTAAAATGGTTCCTTGAAGATCGTAATGGATTTCTTCTTCTTGTTTTGGTTCAATTTTAATGAGAGGGGCGACATCTTTTCCGTCCATATCTAGTATCAATAACGTTCTCCAGATATTACGTTTTTGTTTATCAACAATAAAGTTTCGTATTAATTAAATACAAATTCTTAGGGGTCTATTGCTTTGACGTACCGTAGAAAAACTTTGGCTGTAGCTCAAGTACCGCTAACCGTAAAGGTGGGTTCATAGCTCACCCTTCATCGTTTGTTTTCCTTTAAGGTGGTTTTACACTATAATATTTGTCATATGATTTATTATATATATTTATATATTAATTTTATATATGTCTAATATGATATTTAAGGGCAAACTTATTTTCTGTATGATCGCAGTGTTTTTACTTTACACTTGAATGATTTTTCATATTATTTACTTGTGACAAAAATAAACCGACATATTCCTAACCTATAAATTGATTGACGTTACCACAGATAAATAACGTAATGGAAGATCTTATTCGAGAAGGGGAGAGATCGACGCGACACGTGGCGGAGAAATATGTAACTAACCTAAACAGGATAAATAATAAGCATTATGGCTGAATGTACGCTAAATTCGTCCTCTTTAAAAAAAAATAAGAGCAAGAATTATTGTTGTGTTCCTTAGTGTTTCACTGGATATGATACGATACATACAAAACACAATTTAACCCCGTTTACACCGCCCATTTTGTTTTGTGGTAGCGCCATCTGTTATCACTTCCCTTCTCGAATAACAATGCCAAATTTCCATTTTATCATTGGCATTGTTTTAAAATGAAAAAAACTTCAAAATACCCGCAAGCAGAAGTCACGCCAGGTTTGGACACGAAAATGGTTAGAAAAAAGAAACCAAGAGCTCGGTATAATTTCTAAATTCCTTCTGTCAATTGTGGCCTGCCATGGGAAAGTGTACGTAATAGTGTTGCCATGGCTTTCCATTACTAAATTTTACACAAATTTACTCGTTATAGCTGTAGGGCTAGCTTGCACAAAAATGATTATTTTAACAAATTTCTAATAACAAATACAACTATACAGCAGTTAATAGAGGTTAGAAAGAACACAAACGCTGTCAAGTAGTAAATCATGCAAAGTTTACCACTCATACCCAAGAAAAGGCGGGATATTTAAAAATATCACGTAATTTGTCATGCAGAATAGACCCGTCTCTATTGTTTGATTTACATATTATTTCCTTATGATTTGTCGCAATAATACCGAAAATAGTATAGTGTAAACACAAATTCAATTGCTTATTAGTTATCATATGAGAAATTGTATGACAAATATAATAGTGTAAACCCACATTTAGCCAAACAGAAGAGTGTAAATTTTTAAATAGACTGGTTGAAATTGGATGTTTATGTGTCCTTTGGTCCGGTTTGGAATGAGCGTTTCCACACATTTGCCATAGGAATTTGGTTTCTTACGTATAAAATATGACGAATGTTTTGTACGCGAGAGGCAGTGGGGGAAGACCGATTTCCTTTTGGTGGTATAATACATTTTCGTTACTCAAGAGCGACTTAATGACATACCAGTTGGCAAATAATTTATTCTAGTATATGCCGAACTAGATTGGACCAAATTCATATTTATAGTTTGTTTGAGACACTGTGTCGTTTTATATAAATAAATCCCTAAAATGGGCAATACAAACTCATTCGTGTATTGTGTGTTGCCTACTTTCTAGTTTCAATTCTTTATCAACATGGCGGCTTGGCTCCTATTGTCACTTTTTCTATTAAGCCACTGCACCTACACCTACCTGAAATGCAACATAAGCGATAGTAATTGCAGATTGCGATTCATCATTTCTAGTTCTATTACAACATGAGGAACTGAACAATAAGAAAATTACTACGTGTTTAACTTATTTTTATTTTGTACTATGTATATAGTAGGATCGAATGCAACCAATTTGTTACTCTAATGGATGTGGCTATGGTCCCATAAAAAAATCCTAACATAACCTGTAATGGAATCAGTGGGGTCAACGGTCAAAGTATATTGTTTGGTTATTAAACAACAGGTTTCTTGAAAATTATGTCCTCAATCTTTCGACCAATCGCCCGAGTACTACAGGCACAATGTAAGGCACTCAACTACGAAAACCTACTACAGCTTAAATTACAGATCGGAGAAGTGTTTCGAAAATGTCCACATTTAACACATTAAACGTTACTGTACCGAAACCTTTCGTATACCACGTCGAATTGAACAGACCGGAGCAACTCAATGCCCAAACTGTCGAAATGTGGCTGTAAGTATTTAATCCGAACCGCTTACCGTGTCTTATCCGTTTGCTTTAAGAGAACTAAAAAATTGCTTCAACGAGCTGAATTTGGACTCTAACTGCAGAGTGATCCTGCTGTCCGGGTCGGGACGAATGTTTACAGCCGGTAAGCTCTCACGTTATCCGCTCGAAACTCACGTATCGCTTAGGTCTCGACTTTAAGGGTGCCATGGAACTTAGCGTCGAGGTCGGCGAAGAAGAGGACGTCGCGAGAAAGGCGAAATTGCTGCGTGCTGCGATCGACAAGGGCCAAGAGGCGTTCACCAGCCTCGAGATCTGCAGCAAACCCGTGCTGGCCGCTGTCCATTCGGCGTGCATCGGCGCCGGCGTTAGCCTGCTGACCGCCGCCGACGTGAGGTACTGCACCAAGGACGCGTGGTTTCAAGTGAAAGAGGTCCGAGTACTATGCGAATGTTTATTCGAAAATTAAATACAAGAACTGTTTAGGTGTTGCTGGGAATGACGTGCGATGTCGGTGCCGTTCAGAGGTTACCGAAGGTTGTGGGGGCAGAAGGAACGGTACGTGAAATTTGCTATACCGGTCGGAAGGTGTATGCGGATGAGGCGCAGAGGATTGGTTTGGTGTCGAAAGTTTTTGATGATAAGGACAGGTGAGTTCGACTGGTGTGAAGCTAGCAACAACTCTTCAGCAATAAATGTCAAAGCCAGCTTTAGTTTTTAAGCTTTAAGCATGAATTTCAAATCCAGTTTGCAGAATTTTTACTTGAAATTGAGACCTTAAGGATTGAATCTTTAACTCACAAAATTTGCAATTCTACCTCGCCTCTGAAATATAATACAATCGCAACCGGAGATATAATGCAGATCAGATGACTGTATCTTAAGTACTGTGAACTATGAACCACAGCATCATTCCCAAAATATAATGGCGAGAAGTATGGCGGCACAGTTAAGAACTGTCCTTGGATAATTTTTTATTTTAAAATATAGATTTACAAACGCCCTCTGGTGCCTTTATTTTGAACTCCTTTTGTGGAGCTCGTCTTTTTCGATTGACATTTTTCGCTACGTTTTCTGTATTCGAGAAAAATGAAAATTTCTTTTAAAAAACCGCAAACTTTTACAAAACGCTTATTTTGAATCCTACCCAAATAGTGTTGAACCTTTTAAGGTCTCGAAGGTTTGGCCTTCAATCACTCTAAGACCATTAAATTCTAAGTCTATTATCTAAAGGGAATTCTTAAACACTCTCAAAAATAAATATCTTTAAAGGCTCTGCCCTTAAAGGTTCGTAACTAGTTTCTAAGTACCTTTAAAGGTTTCAAGTCTTCACAAACCCAACAGTCTCCCAAGGTTTTAAAGTGTCCATGGGTCTTCTAGACGGTTAGGGAACCTTTAATGGGTTTTTGAAAGGCTTAAGAGACTTGAAAAATCCTTACTAAGCTTTAAGAGATTTGTCATGAGCCTTTAAGACTCTTCAAACAGTTTCAGGAAGTCCTTGAGATTTTCTCTTTTCTTTGATAGATGGGCCTTTAAAAGTTTTTGTGAGCCTTTGAGAGTCCTAAGGGGAGTTTAAGAACCTAAACTTCAGAAATGGAGCCTTTAAAAATCTGCCAACAATTTTCAAAACCTACCCGAGGCATTTCAGAGGTGTTAGTGTTTGAAGGCCAAACCGTGAAGAGCATTGCAAAGTCTCTGAGAGCTATTACGAGTCGCTTATAGCCTCAAAGAGTCTCCGGTGCCTGCTATTTAGTATCTCTACAAGGCGTTCAATGTTTCAAGCATCTAAGAGTCTTTAAAATGTTTCATGAGTCTTAAAGAGTCTGTAAGAGTAGCAAATAGTTTGCAAGAGCCACTGTTTTTGAAGTTTTTAAAAATTAGCCTTTACCAGGTCTCATGAGTTTTCACGGGTATTTAGGGGTTTCAACTGTCTCCAATCTCCTCCATGCATCTTTTAGAAACTTTCAGAGAATGTAACAGTCTTCAGTAGGTTTAAGGGCATTTAAACCAGTGTCTATCTGATTTCTTTGGGGCCCCCTATAGCCTTTACAAATCTTTTAGAGTTCTCAAGCGCCTGTCAGACACAGAAATAGCTGTAGAGTACGTGTCTAATACTGAAAATTGGCTCTATGATGTTTTGCTACACAGATCTTGATCTATTTATAAAACCGTGTGCCTCTCGCTCTCTTTCTGTCTCGGCAAAGCTCAGGTGATCGCCCCTAAAAGTCAAGGACCTCATTTTCAAGGTCATCACAGACAATGTCCTCATTTTTTATTATTAAGTAATTCACCGCGTCCACGTTTAGGGTTCGCGTTTACGTATGGGTTCAGGTTTATATTTTTGGTAACACTAAGGAATTCATTTTTTGTGATATATTTCATCTTCAAGGTCAACAAACAAACCAAGCGCGAAAGCGAATCCAAACGTGGACGCCAATCCACACGTAAACGCGAACCCAAACGTAAACGCGAACAGGAACACAAACATGGACGCGATGAATTACTTAAAAATTACTTAAAAATTAAAAAAAAACACCACAGAAAGTAGGACATACACCATAGATGACCTTGAAAATGAAATGTTGCCACAAAAATGGGGTTATTGACCTTTAAAGCCGATAGATCATTGCGCTTTACGTTGACGTTGTAGGAGAAAAAGATGAAACTAAAAAAAATGGAGCAGTTCATTAACCATACTTTACGCTAACCTACTTTCCAAGGTCACTACAAGAGAAGAGCGAAGAGACAGTTGTTTATCTCTGCCCTGTTGATATTTCTGTCTGCCTTCTTTTGTAGGGTTCATAAAGAAGCAACATTTTTGTATTTCACAATTTTCGTTACAAAGTGTGATCTTTGAGAAAAATGCAGAACAAAAATGAAAAATACGAAAAACCTTTTTCGAAATGCCCTCTGGAGCCTTCATTTTGAACCCAACGAGAATGTGCGAGTAACGTTTTGGAGGAACTTTTTGCAGAGGATAACATTTAAGGATAACTTTTTCAATCTCAAGGGCAACAGGAACACATTTTTATTATTTTTTGCAAATTTTGCATAATTTGGGAAGCAGTTCCACAATGTCGACACATTTTTGCGACATTTCCAGAATGTACTACACATTTTTGAAACACTACCAAAATTTCCTCGAGACCTTTATATTTCCATCATCAATATTTCTTAATTTTTTTACATTCCAAAATTTTTTGAAAAATGTTTCTTTATTTTTCCAACATTTCTATGATTTTTTTGCGATTTTTCCGACTGTCTACAATTCTTTAAAAATGGTTTTAACATTTCCCCAAGATTTGCAACATTCATATAATTTCGCACATATTTCCCATGTTTATGAAACGGTTCCAAAATTCCCGAAGCATTTTTCAAAGATTTTTGAAACATTTTTGTAATATCTTACAGAATTTTTTACACAAAATTAAAGAAAAATTTAGCAGTTTCTGCAATTTCAATTTTCTACACATTTTCAATACTTATACATATCTGAATCATTTGTCTTAAAATTTCGGACGCATTCCTACACATTTTCAACCCATTTTCCAACGAAGTTGGGCGAGCTATTGCAGGCACTTTCTCTGACCGGTCGGCCGAGGAGTTAATTACTCCTACACTGGCCAATACATTTACATCGTTCCGTTTGAATTTGGTAGCTTATAGCTCTGGCACCTGAGCAAAAAAAAGCTTGACGATTCATGTGCGCATGCGTAGTCTGCGGAATGTCAACTTTATTGAGTATTTTTTGAATTTTAACCACAGATGCTTCTAGTAAAGGCAAACATATCGCATATTGTAAAATCAGATGTGCGCATGCGCCATGCTAACTTCCTCATTTATGAAGATATTTCTTTGAAATTTTAACCATAGATGCTTCTAGTAAAGAAAAATACAGCGTACATGCTTATGGCCTTTTGGAAAGTACTGATCAATGCATGGACAATGCGCTAAAGTTACTCGTCTTAGGGCGAACACCTTGTTACTTGTTTGAAGTTAAACGTAAAACGCCTAGATCAGTTGGCTTCCATTATTTTTTGCACATTTTTGATATTGTTGCTAGCTCAAATATCAATAAATCATAATTGAAACTTTTTTCTTATGATCCCTCCTCGTACACCTACGGTATCTACACCTACGGTATCTCCCTCTAATAAAAGCATGCGCAATAAATCGTACTGCGCTTGCGTAAAACGTAACTTTCTTATTTTTGGAGCAATTTTAACTAAATTTTTGTGGTAGGTCCCCTAATAAAAGTAAACAAAATGAAAGGGGGCAAATGGTACTGCGCATGCACAATAGACGACTTTCTTGTTATTGTTTTTAGATTAGGAACAATAAAAGAGTACCTGTTATCGACGATCTTACAGATATTCAATCGGAGCGAGGTGAGGCGGTGAAGCCGCAGGAGCCGAGCGTATGTGTTATGAAGACCAAATTAAAAATTAGTGAGTGCAGATGTTTGACAGAGATTAGACGTCTCTAATTGATCTTTCTCTGGCTTAGATGTCAATTTTGTCAATCTGTATAGGTGATATTCCTAAAGAAACAGAACTATCCCTTAAGTAAAGTAAGTGCATTACATCATAATTTTTTAGATAAATTTCGTCAAAAATGTACTAATTCTGTTTTTTGCCAAAATCCACGTTAAAATACGAGATTTTAGTGAGTGTGAAAGTTTGTCGCAGATTTAAGGTCTCTAAGTGACCTTTTTGGGGCGTCAAACATTGATATTTGATTACCGATACAGACTGTGTGCACGTTATTTTTGTCGTATCGTTGCTAACTTTTTAAGGAGGGGTTAACTTTGGTTATACGCATACCGGTGATGACCTTCGAAAAAATGTTCTGTGCTGCGCATGCGCAATTCACAAATACGAAAGTTGGCTGTGCGCATGCGCAATCCATTTCTTTTAACACGTGCGCATTAATAATGGCGCCAAGTGTCTTTTTCTCTACCACAGCATTTAACTGTTTTCTCAATCAAATTAGGGCGATCAAGGTCTCTCTGGTTCAAGGTTTAATATAAAGATCTGATAGTGACCCTGGGCGGGGCGAGAGCGAGGCAGAATCGCAATTCAAGGTTTTTTTAAATTTCAAATAAACGGGAATAGTATTGGGTCCTTATCTAAACTGTACCTGCTTGATCTGCATATTTATTGCTGAATAGCGCGTAATAATTCCGTTACGTTTACGTGCAGCATGATGAGTTCCGTTATGGAGGTGGCCGAGACGATTGCGAAAAATAGTCCGGTCGCCGTCCAAGGACTGAAAAGCAGTCTGGTGTTCTCCAGGGATCACTCGGTGCAAGACGGTCTGATGCACATCGTAAGTACTAGTCGACCTGCAAGAGAAAAATGAACCGTAATTAAATTTCAGGCGGTACACAACCAAGGCATGCTGCAAAGCGAAGATTTTATTAACGGGGTTACGGCGTTGGCGATGAAGCAGACCGACATTAAGTTTTCGAAATTATAGTTTCAATACAGGTCGGGTGTGATCGTCACACGTTTCTTGCGCGGCGGTGGAGGGGGTTTCGACGCTTCGACGATATCTGCTATATTGTATAAACTGTCTTCCGGTTTGATAATGTACTGTACACAATCGTTACTTGCAAACTGTACAAATAAAGCAGTCGACTTACCATGAGCTTGTTTAAGTAATACTCGTAGGGTACCGTGTTCGTTTGCGGATCGATGGCGATCTCCAGCATCTCGTCGAGCTCCTCCTGCGAGAACGGCTCGCCGTCCTGCGTCATCAGAATCGAGATGTAATCCCTGGTGATGCTCCCCTTGTTTTCGGGGTCGAGCACTTGAAACGCCTCGAGAAGTTTCGCGGGGGAGGCCGGCTCGTACCTGTGTTCCGTAATCATTTGCGCGACGTGAGGCAGAAACTTCGAGAGGTGAATGCAGCCGGGCATCGTCGGATCTTCGATCGCCAGCAGGATCTCCTGAATTTCCGCCTCGGACGGGCAGCAGCCGAGGGCGCGCACCACCGTCCCCACTTCTCTGATGTCGATCGTTTTATTGCCGCTGTGATCGAACGCCTCGAAGACGTCCGCTATGCGTCTTTCCAGCTCGTTGTTGATCGCAACTAAATAACTGTGTCAAGAGGCGGAAGTATTTCGCGCGAATCCTTACCTGGAATATCGGGAATTTCGTCCATCTTTCAAAATTCAGATGTTTGGTTGCTAGATACGAGTAAAAAATAAGGTTGCTAGGTAACGGCAGGGTTGCCAAACTTAAGGAAGAAAAGAATGTACAGGGTAGTTTAACAAAGCTAGCTTGAACAATGGAAGAGGTTGACTGATCAAGGGTAATGCAGCGCGTTGAGGCTAATTTTCGTATGGCGACCATATTCTTGGTGGACCAACAAAGTTTGATGCGTTCGATTTTCCGTCTACGAGTATATCGGTGCGTACGGTCACTTGATCACTGGAGCAAATAAATAACTGTACAATAAACGAACAGATTGAAGCGGATGGAGTGTGAACGTAACCTACGTTTACTCTCTTATGTAATAATAAAAAAACCGATAGGTGTCAATACGTTTTCCTGGTGCACCAATAAACAAACGCTTTAAAGCAAAAAGAGTGATCTGAACGCATTATCAGCTGGGGGAGCGTGACCAGTGGCGTACCTCCACTGTACTTATTTGTATTCGCGATTTAAATAACAATAAGACCTCTGGTGCCAGCCCATTTGAATTACTATTGGTGGCATAACACCGCCATTTTGGATATTTACAATGGCCAAAAGTAATCAATATTTTCGTTTTTACGGCTGTAAAAGTAAATACATTTGCAATCAATGCAATTACACTTCAAAGAACAAGGATAGTTTAAAACGCCATATTTTATCACGTTACTTTCAAGAAATTTAAATGTGATCAGTGTAATTACGCAACCAACAATGGATGATTTAAGCAATCGTTGTTTAACGTATAATGTTTAATTGTGTATAGTGGAAATACACAACCGACAATAAATTGCTTACTTGTAGAAACTCATGTTCGATGTGATTGTTTAAATATAAAGAAATATAGATTTCATCGAATGTTTTATTCTGTGAATCACGTTGTCGCTCAGTATGACCCACACAAAAATATAAAGTGCTAAAAGATCACGCAGAAGTTCAGAGCTAACATTAAATGAAAATCTCAAAAGCTAAAACCTTGGAACAAGAGATAAAATTTCAAAAGGTGTCGTTTTAAGTAATGTTTGTTATGTGTCTCGTAATCACAATTGGCACATTTTAAGGCTTTGGAATCATTATGTATCAAAAGGTGCCGTTTAAAGTAGTCTTTGTCATTTGTTTCGTAAGGACAATTAACACATTGAAAATCTTTAGAATCGATATGTTTTAACTGGTGCTGTTTAAAGTAGAGTTTGTCCCATATAGTCATAGCTTCAACCTTCGGTCCGACGGCGTCACACTTCCAGTGGCGGAGCGATACTGCAACTTCAAATAAATTCAGTGAGTAAAGGCGAATCCACACGCATCCGATATACCATCTAACAAATATTTCTGAGCAAAGGCTTGTTCATTTATAGACAATTGCTACTTTTTCGATGTGTTTACGGTGCGACTACTGTACCAACATCCAAGTATTTAAAATTTGACCAGTGTGATTAAATCAAACTTTATTCAATCCAGTTTTATAAGACATCTGATACTGATTACATACAATATGCTGCAAAGGACTATAAATGTATCCAGTTCGATTAACTAACCAATTTCAGATTTAGTTTCATTTTAATTGTGCTCAGTGTGATTACAAAATTTACAAAAGATCCACTCTAGAAAGACATCTGCAAGTTTTCCAGGCACAGACCTGTTTCCGTCAATAAACAGAACCGAATGACCTTGAATTTGGCGCATGCGCAGAAGTCAAGGTCAAAGAAGTCCAATATATTTTTTCATTTATTTATTATCGATTATTTTAAAAGATATATTGACATCGTCATTTAAATCACAAACATTATGTATACATATAAATAAGATTTGGACTAGAATTTAAAAAAATATATATAGACCTCACTTACCCACCAGCCTTTTTTCTGGTGTAATTTGGAAGTGATTTGTAAGTCTTATTTAGCATTAGTTTTTTAAATCAATATTGCAAATTACAACCGGTGCTTCATTTCGAAGTGCAGCGACCTTGTATAGTTAAAAAAACCGATAAGATATACAATTTTTTACAGATAAAACAACTAAGCAAATACTTATTTCTAATTCTAATATTTGGCTAAAAATTGAAGAAGAAAAATTAAACAAATCTATATTCTACAAATAATACACCTTTTCCCCGTTCCAAAGTACTCTTTATTACTTGTTCCAAAATTACAATGAGGGGGCACATTTAAAATCAATGTTTTAAAAAGTGTCGTTTTAAGTAATATTTGTTATTTGTCTTGTAATTACAATTAGCACATTTAAGATTTTTAAAATTAGTATGTTTTAAAAGATGTCGTTTAATGTAGTATTTATTGCTTGTCTTGTAATCGCAATTATCACATTCAAAATCTTTAGATTCAGTATGTTTTAAAAGGTGTCGTTTAAAGTAAGTATTGGTATGTGTCTCGTAGTCACAATTGGCACACTTAAATTCTTTAGAATTGGCGTGCGTTAAAAGGTGTCGTTTAAGAAGTTGCTTATTATTAGTTCCATAATCACAATTAGCACATTTAAAATTTTTAGAATCTGAATGTTTTAAAAGGTGTCGTTTAAAGTAGTGTTTGTCATTTGTCTCATAATCACAATCACCACATTTAAATTCTTTACAATCTTTATGTTTTAAAAGGTGTTGTTTAAAATTGTATTTGTCATTTGTCTCGTAGTCACAATTAGTACATTTAAATTCCTTAGAATCGGTATGTATTAAAAGGTGTCGTTTAAAGTTGTCTTTCTGATTTGTATCGTAATCACAATTAGCACATTTAAATTCTTTAGAACCGGTATGTTTTAAAAGGTGTCTTTTAAAGTAGCGTTTCGCAGTTGTCTCGTAATCACAAAGAGCACATTTAAAATCTTTAGAATCGGTATGTTTCAAAAGGTGTCGTTTAAAGTAGTCTTTGTTATTTGTCTCGTAAGTACAATTAACACATTTAAAATCTTTAGAATCAATATGTGTTAAAAGGTGTCGTTTAAAGTAAGGTTTGATATGTGTCTCGTAATCACACTTGGCACATTTAAATTCTTTAGAATTGGTATGAGTTAAAAGATGTCGTTTAAGAAGTTGTTTATTACTTGTTCCATAACCACAATTAGCACATTTAAAATGTTTGGAATCAGTGTGTTTCAAAAGGTGTTGTTTAAAGTAGTGTTTGTCATTTGTCTCGTAATCACAACTAGCACATTTAAATTCTTTGGAATTGGTATGTTTTAAACAGTGTTGTTTAAAATAGAGTTTGTCATTTGTTTCGTAATCACAATTACCACATTTAAAATCTTTAGAATTGGTATGTTTTAAAAGATGTCGTTTAAAGTAGTGTTTGTCATTTGTCGCAAAACCACAATTAGCACATTTAAATTCTTTAGAATCGGTATGTTTTAAAAGGTGTCTTTTAAAATGGTATTTTTCATTGGTCTCGTAATCACAATTAGCACATTTAAATTCTTTAAAATCTGAATGTTTTAAAAGGTGTCGTTTAAAGTTGTTTTTCTGATTTGTCTTGTAATCACAATTAGGACACTGTAGCACATTCCGTTTGTGTGTCAAAATATGCCGTTGAAGCAGTCGTTTATTCTTTGTTCCATAATCACAATGAGCACAATTAAAATCATTTGGAACATTATGCTTTAAAAGATCTTGTTTGATTTGCAACGTACTATTTGTGTGTTGACCGAAGTCACATTCAAATTTATTGGAGATTTCAGTTTTAATATTCCATCCCCAATCACTTTGTTGCCGTACTTCTTCATTATCGAGAGATTTGGAGCATTGTGCGTGAATGGCAAATTCATCCTTTATTGCCACCAATCCTTCGTTGCTTACTAAAATGTTATGTTGAAGATCGGAATGGATTTGTTCTTCTTGTTTTGGTTCGATTTTAATGAGTGGTAAGACCTCATTTCTGTCCATATCTAGCACCAATAACGTTATCAAGAAATGTGTGGTAATTACCATTTTGTTTATCAAAAATAGGGTTTGGGATTAAACAATTGAAAGAAATTTCTTACCCGTCACAGTCTAATTACAGTTGCAGTCTTCAGTTTTGTTTATTCATAATCGAAGGCTCCATGTACAGCTCTGGTTGTGGCTCAAGTACTGGTAATAGTTGATTTTCAGGGTCATTTCGTCAGCCTTTCCGTGTCTACCATATGCCTACTTCGCAATTCAGATTAACACTAGAGGTGATGAGGTAATTAACAAATGGCAAGTGTGGTTGGGAGCGTTATGTAAACAATATTATATTTGAAAAATGAATTTACTTTATTTTAAAAAAAATTCAGGTTGGTTTGTATCATTATCGTAGGGCGTTGACAATAAACTAATGTAAACTTGTTATCTCTCCTCTAACAAACACTCACAAAATACCTAACTTCTTTATTAAATGAAACCATTCAGAACATTACATCTTTTTCGAACGTCATAGACGCCATCTTAAGGCGGGTTTAGGCTCGTACGCAGAACGGCGCTGCTGCAGAAAGTCGCAGCCGCAGGTAGTTCGAGACCATGTTGATATACGGCCTTGTTTATGCTTGAACGCACAAATACAAAACGTAGGTTGCCGCAAATATGCTTGTCTGTAGGAGACGCAGAAGTTCGCAGAATTTAAACTTTGTACGCAGTTGTTTGTAGTCGGGCGTGCGAAGTGCGGAGAAAACCATCTGTTCCAAATTTCTCCTATATTTGTTAACAGGTCTTACTGCCCACCGTCGTACCCTCCTTTGAGTATGCAAGAGCCCCAACTCATTACTTAACGCCGTTAGTAACAGTATTTTCTTTAATTTAATTCTCTTCTTGTCTGCCATTGCAGAAATTAATCAAAAATCTGTTTTTTCTATTCACTTAACCAACCACGTTATTTAACGACCAAAAGAGGTTAGGTTTTAAATGTCAATTTCGACACTTGAACACTGAGAACAACTGCGTACCAACATAAACAGATAGATCACTAGTACACACGGGGGCGTACTTCTGCAGCTGAAATTTCCACTCACTTCTGCAACGTGTGCATTCTGCGTACGAGCCTAAACCCGCCTTTTTCTTCATTCGACTGAACTTAACTTCATAACATTTACAAAACAGTGTTGTCACTTTTACATGAAATTAAACAAAGCGTTGTTGCCAACAAACATCTCTTACAACTCGGCCATTCCTGAAATATGATCGCCTCGATCATAACTAAAAATAATACAAGAAAAACTTAGGACCAAAACACTACTTATTTAAGATGTGGAAGGATTGTTTTCGGACCACGGTTTCATTCGAGATGATTCTACGATGCCCTCAAATGGGATTTGAGTTAACTGGAATCCGTCGACATCTTTTACAACATACCTATCATTATCTAACAGCTTTGATACAATATAGGGTCCCTTAAATTTTGGCAGAAGTTTCTTATTATACCCAGGCGTGGTTACCGTGTTAGTAATCACTACGTAATCACCTACCGAATATTTCCGTGGTGACTTATGAGTCCCATTAAAATAATTTTGACTATATACTCCTGAAATTTAACAATTCTTTCTGCGGCCTTTAGCCGATCATCATCTAAATTCCGTTCACCTTCATTTTCTAAAAAATCTCTTACTAAATCAATTGCTGGCCCTCTCTGATTTATACCAAATAACAATTTGCTAGGCGTATTGCCAGTACTCTTATGCACAGTATTATTTAATGCATATTCCGCAACATTCACTACCTCATCCCAACGATCTGAATCGTTACAAAGTTTTGCCAACAGCGGTGCTAATACTCTATTAACCCGTTCTACCTGCCCATTAGCACGCGGCATACCTGCAGCTATCTTAATATGTTGAACATTAACACTTTCAATGTACTCATTAAAAGCTAACGACGTGAATGCGGCACCCCTATCAGAAATTAACCTATTCGGAAAACTATAACTATGAAAATAACTTTCCAAATGCTTCAGAGTCTCATTTGCATCTACTGATTTGCACGGATACAGTTTAGTAAATTTAGTGAAACCATCAATTACAACTAAAATATGTTTTTTGCCTTTACTAGTTTTCTCAAGTGGGCCAATGTGGTCCACATGCACAGTATCAAATGGAACATTACCTTTAGGTATTGGGTGAAGTTTCCCCTCTTTCTTCCCACTAACAGGATTGTAAACTATACACTTTAAGCAATTACTTATATGCTCCCTAACCTTTTCCCTGAGTTTTGGGAACCAGTAAGTCATTAATATTAAATCAGCTGTATTTTCTACCCCCTGGTGACCCATTTCATCATGGTACTTAAACAAGATTTGATATTGCATCACTCGTGGTACATAAAACAACAATTTATCGCCCAACTTCGGAATCGGATTTATGGCTCAGTGGTAGAGCATTGGGTTATAAATCCGAAGGTCGGGTGCTCGAACCTGGGTTGAGGTGAATTTTTCATCTGTGGCGGAGATGGAAATTACCTTAAACCAGTTCCGAGCATTCTACCGGCTGCTCCGAATTAGGTTTTCCTGCAGTTTTCCTAATTCGTAAGGTAAATACCGGAGTAGTATAGACCAACTTAAGACCTTCTGCAGAGGCACCTCTAAATAGCATTATGCGGGTCACTCTGTAATTGGGCGCATGCCTGTTGAGGGCCCAAAACAAGATAGGGATAAAATAAAATAAACTTGCGGTACACTAACCCGTTCTTTAATTCATAAAATTGACTTTCTTGCTTTTCCAACTTCGCTACAATTTCCCGAATTTCCAAATCGCCATTTTGCTTATAGGCTAAATATTGCTCTAACGTATTATCCTCAATCACTAAAACAGAATAAACACGACTGAGAGCATCGACATGCTTCATACGAGTCCCTGCTCTATGTTCTAATTGATAATCGAAGTTCTCCAAAAGAAGTACCCATCGCATAATGCGTGGCACAACCTCCTTCTTCGCGAATGTAAGTTTAATACTATTACAATCTGTAACTATTTTAAATTTCGCACCCTTTACAGTTATTTATGCAATGAGTGTATAAATGAGGCGTTTTATTGGTGAGTGAGATGTTTAGTCAACGAGCGCATCCGATTATATACAATATGCTGCAAAGGACTTTAAATGTAGCCAGTTCGATTATCTAACCAATTTCAGATTGTTTTATTTTAATTGTGATTACAAAATTTATACACAAGATCCACTCTAGAAAGACATCTGCAAGCTTCCAGGAACAGACCTGTTTCCGGTTTCCGTCAATAAACAGAACCGAACCGAATGACCTTGAATTTGACGAGGCGCAGAAGTCAAGGTCAAAGAGGCCCAATATATTTATTGTCGATTATTTCAAAAGAAATATTGACATCGTCATCACAAACATTATGTATACATATAAATAAGATTTGGAATAGAATTTAGATTTAAAAAAAAATATAGACCTTTACTTACAGCCTTTTTTCTGGTGTAATATCGAAGTGATTTGTAATAGTCTTATTTAGCATTAGTTTTTTAAAATTAATATTGCAAATTACAACCAGTGGTTCATTTCGAAGTGCAAACCTTGTATAATTAAAAAAACGAAGAAGATATACGATTTTGTTAATGATAAAACAACTAAGTAAATGCTTATTTCTAATTCTAATATTTAGCTAAAAATTGAAGAAGAAAAATTAAACAAATATATATTCTACAAATAATACACCTCTTTCCCGTTCCAAAGTACTCTTTATTACTTGTTCCATAATCACAAGGGGGGCACATTTAAAATCAATGTTTTAAAAAGTGTCGTTTTAAGTAATATTTGTTATTTGTCTTGTAATCACAATTAGCACATTTAAGATTTTTAAAATCAGTATGTTTTAAAAGATGTCGTTTAATGTAGTATTTATTGCTCGTCTTGTAATCGCAATTATCACATTTAAAATCTTTAGATTCGGTATGTTTTAAGAGGTGTCGTTTAAAGTAAGTATTGGTATGTGTCTCGTAGTCACAATTGGCACACTTAAATTCTTTAGAATTGGCGTGTGTTAAAAGGTGTCGTTTAAGAAGTTGTTTATTATTGGTTCCATAATCACAATTAGCACATTTAAACTTTTTAGAATCGGAATGTTTTAAACGGTGTCGTTTAAAGTAGTGTTTGTCATTTGTCTCATAATCACAATCATCACATTTAAATTCTTTACAATCTTTATGTTTTAAAAGGTGTTGTTTAAAATTGTATTTGTCATTGGTCTCGTAGTCACAATTAGTACATTTAAATTCCTTAGAATCGGTATGTATTAAAAGGTGCCGTTTAAAGTTGTCTTTCTGATTTGTCTCGTAATCACAATTAGCACATTTAAATTCTTTAAAGCCGGTATGTTTTAAAAGGTGTTGTTTAAAGTAGTATTTATAACTTGTCTCATAAGTACATGTAGCACATTTAAAATCTTTAGAATCGGTATGTTTCAAAAGGTGTCGTTTAAAGTAGTCTTTGTTATTTGTCTCGTAAGTACAATTAACACATTTAAAATCTTTAGAATCAATATGTGTTAAAAGGTGTCGTTTAAAGTAGGGTTTGATATGTGTCTCGTAATCACACTTGGCACATTTAAATTCTTTAGAATTGGTATGAGTTAAAAGATGTCGTTTAAGAAGTTGTTTATTACTTGTTCCATAACCACAATTAGCACATTTAAAATGTTTGGAATCGGTGTGTTTCAAAAGGTGTTGTTTAAAGTAGTGTTTGTCATTTGTCTCGTAATCACAGTTAGCACATTTAAATCCTTTGGAATTGCTATGTTTTAAACAGTGTTGTTTAAAGTAGAGTTTGTCATTTGTTTCGTAATCACAATTCCTACATTTAAAATCTTTAGAATTAGTATGTTGCAGCACAGCCCCTCAATACTAATTCAACAATCACCACTAAACTTGGATTTAGTGCAGCAGCCGGCTAACTCTAAACTATAGAGTCGTGAAGGATCGAAATCCTGCCATGTACAATTGCTACTTTCAAACTCAAAAATTATAGTAGGGCGCCAGATCAAGCCAAAGCATGGAACCCTCTTGATCAAGGAGGATAGGCTCTTCCAAGTAAAATGTATGAACATGAATAAAACTCGTAGATAATTGTGGCAAGAGAAACAGAATATATTTATATTCAAATAAATGACGTTAATGGACAGGCAAATTATACGCAACGAAATGGTATTAATGGTGTGAAGCCCTGATATCTGATTGAACATTAATTAGGAGGTTTCATTCGTTACCACCATGTTATAAACAGTGGCGTGAGTGCCTTAGTTCTGACGTTAGATATACGGGTCCTGGAATTGCTAGCTAGCCCCGCACCCTGAGTATATTACAAGTATGTCCAATGGAGGTTTACCCAAGTTAACCACCAATATCAATTCAACGAATCCCCCTTTACAAGTACGCAATGGAAATGAGGTAAGTATTTGTAATTACATTAAATCATACACAGAACTGGTGAATTATTAGGTACATTTGTTTTTTTTTTAGGTTCAACACCCACGGTATGAACGGGTCCAACATATGCCACAAATAAATTAAAGTAGGGTTTAAACATATTAATTATTTCTAAATAGTGATACGACCTTTACTTTCGCCGCAAGGAATGGTAATAGTAGATAAGGATTGGTTTATCAGACCTGCTGGTTTGTAGTGCCGTTGCCCATGACCTTAACCTTAGGTAAAGCCGGGACCGGTGTCTGAGGAAAAGCTAAAAAAAGACGACTTCTACTGCATGCCAAAATGAAGAGGTAACCCTTACCTAGATGTTATAGCTTTATCATTAATTCCCTTAGCCAAAGATGCCTATTACGATAACTCTCACGAATCGTACCAAACTATAAATTAATGGTGGTACTCTCAAAGATATTTCGATTAATTACCTTACCTTATAACTATAGTTCTAACGTCCTAACAAGCCTATTTAATATGTACAAGTAATTAAATTCCTAGCATTGTATCTGAAACTGATAATTTTAATTTTAGCCAATAAACGAGATAGTAAAAATTACCTTCGAGGAGGATCACTTCTGATCTGAATAATCAAACTACTGAGCCCGGTCAACACGCCAACAACTCTACTTCAGTCGGAAAACAGTAGCAAAATATGGGAGCTAGTAGACAGATCCTGAATATATATCAGTAAATTCTACAATTTATTATTTTAGCTCTAACTAGCCACCCAAAAGCCAATCACTCTCTCTCTCGATTTTCTACCAAAAATACCTTGCCTTACCCAAAATTATCACCCAAGGAATGTGACCTTCCAGATAACAAAATTTCCAAAACTAATATTATATACCTGCCTAAATATATGCAACTTACATTGCGCCTATCTAACTACCCTTAAACTATCCTAGATGCTATTTCAATTGCTACAATGTTTCAAAAGATGTCGTTTAAAGTAGTGTTTGTCATTTGTCGCAAAACCACAATTAGCACATTTAAATTCTTTAGAATCGGTATGTTTTAAAAGGTGTCTTTTAAAATGGTACTTTTCATTGGTCTCGTAATCACAGTTACCACATTTAAATTCTTTAAAAACGGAATGTTTTAAAAGGTGTCGTTTAAAGTTGTTTTTCTGATTTGTCTTGTAATCACAATTAGGACACTGTAGCACATTCCGTTTGTGTGTCAAAATATGCCGTCGAAGCAATCGTTTCTTTTTTGTTCCATAATCACAATGAGCACAATTAAAATCATTATGCTTTAAAAGATCTTCTTTGATTTGCAACGTACTATGTTTGTGTTGACCGAAGTCACATTCAAATTTGTTGGAGATTTCAGTTTTAATATTCCATCCACAATCACTTTGTTCCAGTACTTCTTCATTGTTGAAAGATTTGGAGCATTGTGCGGGAATGGTAATTTCATCCTTTATTGCCACAAAACCTTCATTGCTGACTAAAATGTTATTTTGAAGATCGGAATGGATTTCTTCTGCTTGTTTTGGTTCGATTTTAATGAGTGGTAAGACATCATTTCTTTCCATATCTAGTATCAATAACGTTATCAAGAAACGTGTTGTAATTACGATTTTGTTTATCAAAAATAAAATAGGGTTTGAGATTAAACAATTGAAAGAAATTTCTTACCAGTCACAGTCTAATCACAGTTAAGAACCTTCAGTTTTGATTATTCATAAATCGAAAGCTCCCTGTACAGCTCTGGTTGTGGCTCAAGTGCTGGTAAAGAGGTAATAGTTGACTTTCAGGGCAGCCTTTCAGTGGCTACTATATGTCCACTTCGCAATTCAGATTAAAGGTACCTTTACACAATCATACTTCTCATGTGATTTGCATTTGTCATATGATAAAGGTAAGTTCATAGCTCTCCGTTCATACGTTTCCGTTTGTCCGTTAGCCAATCAGAAGACAGCAAATTTTTAAATCGTACGTCGTCCGTTTATGACGGAAAAGTTGGTTGAAGTTGAACATTTACGTTTCCGTTGGTCCGTTTTTAACAAGAGCGAGGTTACGTTCTTCACGATAATAATCAGATAGCAGCGTGTTCTTACGATGGTACCATTTTTACACACTGAAAATCACGGAGTGTACAGTACAAAATAAAATTTAGGTTATGGTTACAGGTTGCAAATGTACACTGTGGACGGATTGCTATGAAACTTAACAAAATGTACTATCCGTTTGACGGATCAACGCAACGGATGAACGGAGAGCTATGAACCCACCTTTAGTACAAGCATTTAGATTTGTGTTTACACTATTCTATTTTTGGTATTATGGCTGTCATAAGACAAATCATAAGGAAATAATACGTAAATCGTGGAATAGGAATGTTTCTATTTCTGCATGACAAATGACATGACTTATTTTAAATACCCAAGCGATCCCGCCCTTCTATGGTTACTTTTCGCATTTTGCTGTTGTACTTATCTGAAAAAGCTGATTACTTGAGTAAACCAGTAAACTTTTGATTATACCATTGATTATAGGTGTGTATAATCAATGATTATAGGTAAATTAGTTACTAATGAAAGAATAAATTACATAAACAATAAATCAAGCAATAAATATTTACGAGTATATTGGTATTTGGTTGTCTGGTTGTAGTGGTGTTTTCAGACACACATTGTCAAATAGTGTCTTGATTGGTAATTAACCCTTCAAATGTTTGGGGTAACCTTTCAAATAAGGGTACACTCATCCTTAATGTCGACCAAGGGGACGACTCTGTTTGCTTTGTTAATGAAACGCATAACGGAGAAATTATTTTTAAAATAATTGTTAAACTTTTTTCGTTAAAAATGTACTATGATTTTGAGGCACTTTAGAAGTTCACCTATTTGTGCTTTACAGGTGATTTTTTTGAGTTATAAGTTAGCTGAAGGTACTTTTTTGTTGAATACTTATTGTGATAATTAGCGATTTATTTTAATACAGAAGTTAACCGCACAAAATTGCTTATTTGCCTATTTATTTAAAATTTTGCGGGATCCCGCAAATACCGGGTGCCCGCGGGATTAACATCTAACGATCCCGCAAATACCGGGATTGAGATTTTGCTGCGGGATTGCATTCCCTAGCTGAAACTTTTGAACTAGTAGCCTAATCTTGGAACTCTTTGAAATTATGGATTCTGCAGGCCACATTCTATAAGAAAATGTTTTTCCCCAGTCGATCTGAGACAATTTTTTTTTCGGGCCTCAAAAATTGGCAGTGTATAACCTTCCTTTTTTTTACCAGAAATTGACTACACCAAAATTTCTCGGGAAAAAACTTTTTCTTATTAATTTTGGTGCGTAGAATCCAAAACGATTCGTACTTTTTCGATTAGACGTCTCAATCAAAAGTTATGGGCAAAAAACCAATTTCGACAAAAATTATGGATTCTACAGGCCACGGTCTATAAGAAAAATTTTTTTCCGGATCGATCTGAGACAATTTTTTTTTCGGGGCAAAAAAAGGCAGTGTATAACCTTCCTTTTTTCCAAAAATCGTACTTTTTCGATCAGACTTCTCAATCAAAAGTTACAGACTAGAAACCAATTTCGAAAGAAAATTCAAAGGGCTGTAACTGTTGAACTAGTAGCCCAATCTTGGAACTTGGAACATTTTAATTTAGAGAAGTTATATAGGTTTCGTAACTTCTTGTATTAAAGTCATATGAAAAACCTGTCAAGTGTAAAGTAAAACATTAAAACTCTTACGAAAAATATGTTGGTAGTAAATATCATATAACATATCATATAAAAAATCATGTGAGATGTATTATAGTGTAAAGGCGCTGAGGTAATTTACAAATGGCGAGTGTGATCGGGAGCGTTTTGTAAACAGGTTATATTATATTTCCTCAAAAATGAATTTAATATATCTCAAAAAAGAACACAACTCTAACTTAATTCAGGTCGGTTTGTATATCACTATCGTAGGGCGTAAACAATAAACTAAGATAAACTTATCATTAAACTTTCCCCTCTATTTAAATGGTAGTTTTTGCAATTTTTTTTACCACAATTGCAAATTACCTTACATCATAAATACATTTTGCACTCTTAATACAGAAATAGCTAATAGCCTCTCATTTACTGTCAATAGTGAGCGTCTGTAACAGCATATGTACCTAACACAGACAGGGATAGATTTTGCACCGTAAGTAGAACAGTGCACATGCGCAGTATGCATTTTAACACACGAAACTTGGACTCTATCCATAGGCATATGTCTGCCAAAGAAGTATAATGTGACCGGTGTGATTTTTTCCCCCAAATACAAATTACAATCCAATTTCAAAACACATTTGTTTATACATACCACCAGTAATAATTTCAAGTGCGCCTAATGCAATTTCAAGGAAATAACCCGCCAGTGAAATGTTGTCAACTTAGTGCGCATGATTGGTATTCTACTGTTGGCTATCTCTCTTACATATGTTAATACAGATTTTGTGGAATACATTACAACTGCCTGGTACCTATAATTAGAAAAAGGAGAAAATACAGGATTTTGTTAAGGATAAAACACTCAATTGAATTCAATATTTATAAATGAAAAATTTATTATTTCTGCAAAAAATCACTTTTAAATCACATAAGATCAGATCATCCATTATTTTTTTAATTTTATCTTTTAATACCCACAGGTTGGAAGTGACAGAAAATTAAACTCATTGTGATACGCCGGGTCGCATGTGAGATGAGATTGTCGCCACTGTCCCAATACTGTGACTGTAATAAAATCTGTTTATACGCCACTGGAGTGGAATGTTAGCCTTGAACTTGACCGTTCAGTGTACCGGCACTTGAGCCACAGCCAATTCTTCGTCTACTCTGTACTGGCTGAAGGCTGGTGCTATAATTAGGGTGTGACTGGTAAGAAATTAGTATTGTTTTATTTTTGATAAACAAAAAGTTATTGTAACACATTTCTTGATGCTAGATATGGAGGAAAAAGATGTCCTGCCACTTATTAAAGTCGAACCAAAACAAGAAGAACAAATCCATTCTGATCTTCAAAAAAACAGTTTCGTAAGCAACGAAGCATTGGTTACAATAAAGGACGAAGAAATTTCCATTAGTGCACAGTGTTCCAAATTGTTCTATAATAAAGTACAACAAACTGATTGTCGATGGAACATTAAAACTGAAATTTCCACCAATTTTGAATGTGACATTGGTCAACACACAACAAATAGTAAGCTGCAAGTTAAACAACATCTTTTAAAGCATAATGTTTCAGAAGACTTCAACTGTGCTCATTGCGATTATGGAACAAAGAATAAAAAACTGCTTCAACGGCACATTTTAACACATAAACGTAATGCGCTTCAATGTGTCAATTGTGATTACAAGACGCATAAGAAATACGACTTAAAACTACACCTCTTAAACCATACCAATTCCAAAGTTTTTAAATGTGCCCATTGTGATTATGAGACAAATTACAAAACCAACTTTAAACGACACCTTTTAAAACATTCCGATTCTAAAGATTTTAAATGTGATCATTGTGATTACAAGACAAATAGTAAATCCTACTTTAAGGGACACCTTTTGAAACATAAGGATTTGAAATGTGCTAATTGTGATTACAAGACAAGCAACAAATACTGCTTTAAACGACACCTCTTAAATCATACCGATTCTAAAAATTTTAAATGTGTCAATTGTGATTTTGAGACAAATAACAAATACTACTTTAAACAACACTTTTTAAATCATACTAATTCTAAAGATTTTAAATGTGCCAATTGTGACTACGAGACAAAGTACAAAAACAACTTTAAACGACACCTCTTAAATCATATCGATTCTAAAAGTTTTAAATGTGCTAACTGTGATTTCAAGACAAATAACAAATACTACTTTAAACAACACCTTTTAAATCACACCGATTCTAAAGATTTTAAATGTGCTAATTGCGCTTTCAAGACCAATAACAAACAGTACTTTAAAAGACACCTTTTAAATCATACTGATTCTAGAGATCTTAAATGTGTTTATTGTGATTATGGAACAAATAATAAACAATGTATTAAAGAACATTTTTTAAAACATACCGATTCTAAATCTTTTAAATGTGCTCATTGTGATTATGAAACAAAAAATAAACAATGTCTCAAACAACACATTTTATCACACAAAATTTCTAGTAATGTGATAAAATGTGCTAATTGTAATTACGAGACCAATAAGAAAAACAACTTTAAACGACACCTTTTAAAACATAAAGTTTCGAAAGATTTTAAATGTGCTAATTGTGATTATGAGACAAGTGACAAATACCACTTCAAACAACACCTTTTAAATCATACTGATTCTAAAAATTTTAAATGTGCTAGTTGTGATTACGAGACAAATTACAAAAACAACTTTAAACGACACATTTTAAATCATACTGATTCTAAAAGTTTTAAATGCGCCAAATGTAATTACGAGACAGGTGACAAATACCACTTCAAACGACACTTCTTAAATCATACCGATTCTAAAGATTTTAAATGTGCTAGCTGTGCTTACCAGACAAATGATAAATGCTACTTTAAACGACACCTTTTAAAACACACCGATTCTAAATATTTAAAATGTGCTAATTGTGATTACGAGTCAAATGACAAATACTGCTTTAAACAGCACTGTTTAAAACATACGGGGTCTAAAGATTTTAAATGTGCTCATTGTGAATATGAGACACATAACAAATTATGTCTTAAACAACACCTTTTAAAGCATACAAACCGTTTTTAACATAAAATGCTGGCCAAATGTTTGCGTATGTGGAGACGTAAAGATAGAGATGTTTTGGGCCCGTTCAAAGCACATTTAACGAGATATAGTCGATATAAGGTCGACTGAGGTGCCCGATTTTTATATATTTACTTGAATTTCTGAAAACCAAACTTTTTTTAGCTGGGACTTAAACAGTTTAATAAGAAATGTTATGATGATTAATGTACCACGACAGCAACGCTATACCCATGGTACAATAATATAATAATAATATTGTACCATGGCTATGCCTTTGTTTTGTTTAAAAGGTGACATTTTCATACTTTTATTTTGGCACTTCTTTCATTCTGTAGCTAAATTGGCCTTGGTACTAAATACATGTATGAAATGTTTAAATGCTTACCATGCCGCTTTTGATGATCCTCTTCAGGAGTAGAATAAGAATCTAGCAGTGGAAAAGGTCACGTGATCTCTCTACACATTAATAACTGAAAGAACGGCGCGAAAAGCGGATGGAGCCTTTAACATAACTTCTACTCCTTTTACTCTTTAATAGAAAAACGATACGATGTCAGCACTTTTCCGGTGCACCAATAAACGAACCATAAAATGAGTGATCAAAAATTTATAACACTTGAACGAACGTACCTCTTGTATCGGCAATCTTAAAAAAAATGATTAAAAACTCATGTTGCGCCACTGGAGTGGCGTCAAAATATGCCACGAGCTTCACCTACATTGGTACCGATACTTGAGCTACAGCCAGAGCTTTGTTTACCTCTGTAGTAGAGGGTTTGACTGGTTAGATAAAAAATTTGTATTGTGTATTGTGATAAATAAAAACGTAATTTCTGGATAGTCATTGATGCTAGGATATGGACGGACCACTAATTAAAATCGAACCAAAACAAGAAGAAGAAATCCATTCCGATCTCCAAGAAAACATTTTAGTAACCAATGAAGCTTTGGTTTCAATAAAGGGCGAAATTACCGTCAGTGCACAGTGCTCCAAATCGCCCGATAATGAAGAAGCACAAACTAATTCTGGATGGAATAATAAGAGTCAAATTTCCAACGATTTTGAATGTGACTCCGGCCAACACACGAGAAATAGTAAGTTGCCAGTTCAACCATTTCTTTTAAAACGTAATGTTTCAGGATTTAACTGTGCTCATTGTGATTATGGAGCAAATAATAAACAGCTGTTTCAACAGCACATTTTAACACACGATCGTAATGCGTTACAATGTGTTAACTGCCATTACAAGACAAATGAGAAAAACCGTTTAAAACAACACCTTTTAAAACATAGACTTTCTAAATATTTTAAATGTGCTAATTGTGAATACGAGACAAACAACACATGCTACTATAAACAACACCTTTTAAATCATTCCGATTCTACAGAATTTAAATGTGCTACTTGTGGTTACGAGACAAATAACAAATACCACTTTAAACGACACATTTTAAACCATACCAAATCTAAAGATTTCAAATGTGCTACTTGTGATTACCAAACAAACGACAAATGCTACTTTAAAAAACACCTTTTAAAACATACAAAGTCTAAATATTTCAAATGTGCTAAATGTGATTATGAGTCAAACAACAAATATCACTTTAAGCGCCACCTTTTCAAACATACAGATTTTAAATGTGCTAACTGTGATTACCAGACAAATAACAAATGCTACTTTAAAAGACACCTTTTAAATCATGCCGATTCTAAAAATTTTAGATGTGCTATGTGTGATTACGAGACAAATAACAAATACTACTTTAAACGACACCTTTTAAATCATACCGAATATAGAGATTTTAAATGTGCTCATTGTGATTATGGTACAAACAATAAACAATGGCTTAAAGGACATATTTTAACACACAAACTTTCCAGTAATGTTCGAAAATGTGGTAATTGCGATTACGAGACAAATAACAAAAACTACTATAAACGACACCTTTTAACACATACCGATTCTAAAGCTTTTAATTGTGTTAATTGTAATTACAAGACAAATAACAAATACCACTTCAAACGACACTTTTTGAAACATACCAATTCTAAAGATTTTAAATGTGCTAATTGCGATTATAAGACAAATAACAAATACTACTTCAAACGACACCTTTTAAAACATACTGATTCTAAAGATTTTAAATGTACTCTTTGTGATTACGAGACAAATAACAAATACTACTTTAAAGGACACCTTTTAAAACACACCGATTCTAAAGTTTTTAAATGTGCTAATTGTCATTACGAGACCAATTATAAATCCAGCTTTAAAAGACACCTTTTAAGACATACCGATTCCAAGAATTTTAAATGTGCTCATTGTGATTATAAAACAAATAATAATCGATATCTTAAAGGGCACCTTTTAAAACATACCGATTTTAAAGACTTTAAATGTACTAATTGTAATTACGAGACTAATAACAAACGCTACTTCAAACGACATCTTTTAAAACATAAAGTTTCTAAAGATTTTAAATGTGCTCGTTGCGATTATGAGACGCATAACAAATTCTGTCTAAAAAAACACGTTTTAAGACACACAAAACCGTTTTTACAATGAACGAATGTCTCGTTAACTAGTGTGTGGCTTCATGCTTTTGTTTGTGTATGTGAAAATATGTAAGCAAATTTGTCACGAGATGCAGTGTACCGGAAGCTGGACTGCGGTACTGAGGTCTTTGGATTTTATATATTTACATGAATTTGTGAACACCTGACCTTCAATCAATATGGATTCTTTAAAATTTTGGACTTTATTACTATCGGAGTAAAATGTAGAGTCCGCTCACTTTGAAGGCTCAAATCTCAAAATCGCTGGAGCCGATATTAATGAAATTTTTGGAACGTATCAATTGGTAAGTTGTTGTTAACATACGTAAATTGTAAATTTTTGCTGCCAGGACTTTTTACGTTATCGAATTTTTAAAGTGTATCTTATAATAAGCGAATAAACGCGTCTGTCATTTTATCGCTGTAACGTTTGCGTAATTATACAGAAATGCATAAAAATGTATCGACGTATAGTTAAAGGTGTATTCTATCACATACGTAAACATTATCCCATTTGAGTGAATACTTTTTTTGTAATTAAATCCTAAAGTTCTGAGTTCGTATACTTTCATTGAAAAAGCGCGCTTTCCCGTACATATTTCACTTATTCACTATCACATCTTCCCAAATTTAACAAGAAATATGACATTACGTACGGATACGTAGAAATAGTTGACGATTATATTACGCTTTATTTGATAAAAATCGGTTGGGTAGTTTTTTTTTATAACCGTTTAAAGCCAGCGGACTCTACATTTTACTCCGATAGTAGGTATTTAGGTTGAAATATAAATAAAATATATGTTACCGGCACGTAAGAAGACGGAAGATCACGCATCTCCACTATTCATTTTCTATTAATTGCACCAATTAGTGCGCCACGTCGTCAGTTGGCCCCTCCTGCAGACTCTAAATGATCTGCGTATATCCTGCTGTAGCCTTCTTACATGCTGGTACCTGTAATTATATTTTCATTCAATTTATCATATTGTAACGTAAATTTGATTAAGTGGTTTTATTTATTACAACTAATTAACAATAAATTTATAAGCCTTAAAATCGATTAATTTATAGCAGTAATTATTTCTTATCACTTACCATTTATAACAGGTCAAGCGCATCGAAGTTGGAACTGAACTGAAACGCAATTCGTTTGCTTATATAGCAAACGCCCCCTCTTTTCCGAAAGCTGTCGAGCGCTTCCAAGAGAATCCGAACCATTATAGAAGGTTCTCTTCAGTCAAGAAGGTACCAGAATGTCCTGGATACGGTAACCTTAGACTAAAGTTGTATTTGGAGATGAATGTCTCTAAGTAACTTCGGGATTTACCTCTGCGCGGGCGAAACAGTTAAAAACAACCGGATTCATATACAAAGAATTGAAGTCGCTAATCAATCTAAATTTCGGGTGATTATAACAACAAAACGACATTAATTACATTTTCTCGCTCACTTTGTTTTGCTATTATTGCTTTATGCAGATTTGGATTAGCTGTAGGGCCTGTAGGTATTAAATAGGCACCTACTCGTCAGGCACGTGTGATGAAAGCAAAGAAAGAAAAATCTTTTGATTTAATTGATGCAATGAATGCTGATGAGCGATGTTCCTGTCAGTGTGCGTACGAATTGTGCGCGTCTGTAGCTGCACGAAGTGTAATCTGCTGAATGACAAGGAACGAACTGTGCAGTGTGCTAATGTGCTTGCACAATGCACTCATAGCTCAAACGTATAATAACACGATTACCAACAGCAACACCAAAATGTGCTGGTGAGCTGGTAGCTCTTTTTTTTAGAGTCGTTCGTTCGCAGCACACTCAACTGTGCCACTCTTTTTGAACGACTCGCTCACGTGCGACTCATCACTACTATCCTGGCATGTTTACCTATTAACCCGTAGCGCAGTTAAGATTGTTAGAGCCAACACATTCATGCATTTATTGATATAAGTCACCTTACTAGTTACTCATATCATTATATATTGAATAGAGTGATGTGAAGTTTGTAAAAACATGTCTGATCTATTATTCATGTTGTGACGTAACAATCGGTAGTTACGATAATACACAGTGTGCTCGTGGAGCCCCCAATTTTTTTATTTTAGTTTCCACAAAATGACATTGGTATAAAGGTCAGACCTCCGTAACTACCACCTGTGCCTCGTAACACTCCCCTGACATTGGTCACGTGACGACACGAAATCGAAGAGGGTTAGATGGGTCGCAGCTCATGGATAAGGCGATCCTGGTTGCGGATGCTACGCCCCTAAAGTTGAAGGTTCGAGGGCCCTCGGGTCCTTTTGTGCCTTAGCTCTAGAATACATTTCTATTCTGGCGTGAGCTCCTTCTCACAGTAGGAAGATTACGTACAACAAGGCACAGTGCTACAAATCACCCTAAACTAAGTACACAAAGCATGGCATGCCCTGCTTCACGAAAGTCAAAGTTTTACACAATGTGCAATGTGTAATTGAATTAAATCTGAGACATCGAGGCTTCCCACAAGCACATGCGGCATTAGTTAACAATTAGCATCTTCAAAATTACATATTAGCACAAGTTAAGATGGAAAATACCTGGTATAACAAAGTTGCACAATTCACAAAGGTAGGTACATATTAGTAAATAAGTAAACAGATTGAACTAATTACATAAAATACTTTACCCGATATCAAAGTGGCTGAATACAACTTAAACACAAGCATAAGAACAAAGTAAAAACTATAAATATAACTCTAAATGCAATATTTCCAAGTTACAAAAAAATTTCAACAGGTGATTTTGGCGGTGGCTCATGTCCCCACAATCTACAACTACTTGATTGCTTGCATCCGACGATGACCTATACAGGGTATTTGAAGGGAAATAGAAATCTCAAACTCCCACATGCATTGCCGGATTGCCTACCTTGCCTATTGGTTAATCCGACACTGGTTGTGCAGTCTCTCGGTGCTTGCCTGGGTACACTATTAAAGGATCTCGGAGATTTTTCGGCTCTTAGAAGTCGTTGAGGAAACTTATTTAAATGCATCTCAAAATGTATGACAGTTTTTAAGAACCTCGTCAACGCAAATGTATCACACTTCTGGATGCGCCGAAGATACCCTGAAACCCCGCTTTGAACCAGTGCTGAACACATTTCCAGTTGATGTTCTTGTGCATTCAATTTCACGGGAATTTTTCGAAAGAAAAAAATTCTCCTTATGTGATTGTTTTGTCCGTCTGTTTTTCTATCCTGTTCGCCAATCGGTTTCTACGAGTTCAAGGATCTGTCGTATTGAATACGAACCGGATCAAAGGTGTGGTTTCCGAATACGAGCGGAGTGACAAAAAATTCCCCTACTAAAAATCGTATGCGATTCTTCGTATCTTGTTTAACCTTACATCTTTGTATCCTCATTTAAACCAAACTTATATCTACCATTAAAGAAACAAATAAAAGGTATAGCGGATTTCCATTCTGGAAAAGCTCAATATCTTGCATGTGTATAGGCAACACACTTTATATACTTTTCTTCAATCGCCTTTACTAATCCGCACTTCTTGGATATTGATGTGCTGGCAATTGACGTTGAAATCTTGACTTACAATCTCCACTTTAATAAAAAAAAGTGGCTTCGACCATTTCAAGTCATTTCGCCATTTGAAAATCCCGCGGATTCGTCACCCTCGAAATGGCGATAGTGGCTGAGTTCAATGATTTAACTTTAAACCCATTGAGTTAGAAACTCAATGTTTAAACCCCTCTCGAAATAGGTAAGGATGCCGATATCGTTAAATATACGTTAATGAATAATAATTAGCAATTGCAGTGATGAAATGGACCCCAATCAGCGGTCCGAACTCTTAAAGTCAATCAAAAACGTCGGGTAAGTAGAGAAATAAGTCAATAACAATAAAGTGAGGTTATGTTAGTTACGATGAAGCTCTCCTGTCCGAAAATCAATTGTCGACCGCCCTAGATGAAGGCCCCAAGAGTGTCGAGTACACAAAATTGGTCAGTTTTCTCGCGAACGAGCTGCGAGAAATATGCAACTTGGACGAGCACATCAACACGATCGCAACCCCCGAAGACTCGAGCACGTTCATCATGGAAACGAGCTCCTTTCTGCACGAGCTGAGCTGCCCCTACGAGCGTCTCGTGCAGGGACCCGTCTCGGACCGTCTAAACACGCCAGAAGATCGACACCTGCTCGTCAGGTATTTAACTTCGGAACTGATGGCCGCTCGAATCTTACGCGAAAATCAACCGGGGAAGCGACTGGACTTGAAATTGGTAGGTGCGATTTTTGCCGCGCGCCCCGCTAAATCCGATTTTTGCAGAAAGAGTCAGAACAGGCGAGCGATTTACGAAAAATCCTGCAAATCTTGGGCTACCCTCAACCGCCGAAGAATATAACGATGCAACTTTTGCTTAAGAAACTCGTACCCAGCATACAGAATTTGATCGCGAAAGCACCGAAAGATCTGATCGGCAGTCCGATTTTTAGCGGTACGTTGTCCGAGGAGCAGTGGGAAACGCTCGAAACGGTCAATCGAGATTTGCACGACGAATATTTTATACGAAGGGAGATGCTGTTGAAACGGCTCGATTGTACCATACAGTCGTTTCAGGTGAGATCATCTCGGGCTAAGTGCAAATTTTCAAAAAATGATTTTTTGTTTTTAAGGACAACTTTTCTTTGAAATTTTGCAAAGAATCATTTAATGAAAGTTTTGTAGAATCTTCTTTCAAAGTCGTTTTGGAAACCCTGTTTAGGAATCTTCAAAGAATGTATTTTTTAAGAAATATTCCGAAAAACATCATTTTATGGAAAATCTTGGAATTTTTGCAGAAACCTCTTTCCAAGTCTAGAAAACCTGTTTGGGAAATTGTTTGATGGTTCTTTTCGAGGTTCTTCTTAAGCATTTTTTTCGAGATATAAAAAAAAATAACATTGAATGAAAAATCCTCGTAGATTTTTTCAATATTGCAAAAAAATTATTTGAAAAAGAATCTTCAAGAATTTTTTCAGAAACATCTCATCGAGTTTTTTTTGAAAACCTGTTCTGGAACCTTGAGGATTTTCGAAATATAAAAAAAATCGGCTGATAAAAATCCGCAAGAACTGTTTCAGAAATCTCTTTTCATGCCTTTCTTGAAAATCTGATCTGGAATCTTTCCTATGGGATTTTTTCGAAACATTCTAAAAAAATCTTCCATAATTTTTGCAGAAACTTTCTTCAAGTGTTCTTGTTGGTTCTTAGTTTTTAAGGATTTTTTTCAGAATATGTTAAAGAATATGAATTTTTGTAAAATCCTCATTCAAAGTCTCTTTGGAATGAGAAATCGTCAAGATATCTGTTGATTTTTAGTTGATTTAGGAATTTTGTTCGAAATGTATTCGAAAAAGAAATCGCTTAATGAGAAATCCTCGAGAATGTTTGTACAAACATTTTTTCAGGCCTTTTTTGAAAACCTTTTCTGGAATATTTCTGAAGGGATTCATTTCGAAATATTCAAAAAAATTATTTGATAAAAAATTTTCATGAAATTTGCAGAAACTTCTTGAAGTCTTTCTTGAAAACCTATTTAGGAATTTTAAATGTTAAGAATTTCTACAGAAACTTTTTCAAATGTTTCAAATCTTAAGCAATTTTCTCAGAAATATTAAAAAAAATCATTTAATGAAAAATCCTCAATTTTTACAGAAACCTTTTTTCAACTCTCTTGAAAACCTGTTTTGGAATCTTTTTTAAGGATTTTTAAATTTTTCAAAAAAATCTTCAAGATTTTGTGCAGAAACCCTTTTTCAAGTCTTTCTTGAAAACCTGTTCTGGAATCGTAAGGGATTTTTTGAAATATTCTAAAAAATCCTTATGATTTTTGCAGAAACTTTTCTACTCATTCTTGAAAATTGTTTTGGAATCTTAAGGAGTTTTCTTCGGAATATAAAAAAAATCATAATCAAAAATTCTCATTTTTGCAGAAACCTTTTTTCGAGTCTTTTTTGATAACCTGTTCTGGAATTTTTTCTAAGAAACTTTGTTGAAATATTCTAAAAAATCCTTGGATAAACAATTCGTAAGAATGTCTGCAGAAACTTTTTAAAGTCTTTCTTGAAAATCTGTTCTGGAATCTTTTTTAAGAATTTTTTGAAACATTCTAAAAATCATCATTTGACAAAAATCTTCTCTCAGACACCCCTTTTCAAGTCTTCAAGAAAAAAATTTGCTGAAACCTCTTTTGAAGTCTTTCTTTAAAACCTATTTAGGAATTTTAAATTTTAAGAGTTTCTACAGAAACTTTTTCAAGTATTTCTTGAAAATCTGTTCTGGAATCTTAAGGAATTTTCTCAGAAATATTTAAAAAATCATTTAATAAAAAATCCTCAATAATTTTTACAGAAACCTTTTTTCAACTCTCTTGAAAACCTGTTCTGGAATCGTTGTAAGGGATTTTTTGAAATATTCTAAAAAATCCTTATGATTTTTTGTAGAAACTTTTCTACTCATTCTTGTAAATCTGTTTTGGAATATTAAGGAATTTTCTTCGGAATATAAAAAAAAATCAGTCAAAATCCTCATTTTTGCAGAAACCTTTTTTCGAGTCTTTTTTGATAACCTGTTCTGGAATTTTTTCTAAGAAATTTTGTTGAAATATTCTAAAAAATCCTTGGATAAAAAATTCGTAAGAATGTTTGCAGGAACTTTTTCAAGTCTTTCTTGAAAATCTGTTCAGGAATCTTTTTTAATAATTTTTTTTAAACATTCTAAAAATCATCATTTTTTAAGAAACCTCTTGTCAAGTCTTTCAAGAAAAACTTATTCTGGAATCTTAAGGGATTTTTGAAATTAAAAAAAATCATCTAATAAAAATCCTTAATTTTTGCAGAAACCTTTTTTCGAGTCTTTGTTGAACCCGTTCTGATATCTTTTTTAAGAAATTTTTTGAAATAGTCTAAAAAATCCGTAAGAATGTTTGCAGAAACTTTTTCAAGTCTTTCTTGAAAATCTGTTCTGGGATCTTACGGAATTTTCTTCGAAATATTAAAAAAATCTTTTAATCACAAATTTTTAATTTCTGCAGAGACTTCATTAGCCTTGAAAACCTGTTCTGGAATTTTTTTAAAGAATTTTTTTGAAACATTCTAAAAAAATCATTTGATAAATCTTCTTTTTCAGAAACCTCTTTCAAGAAAAACTTAGCCTGGAATTTTAAGGGATTTTTGAAATATTAAGAAATCCTTAATTTTTGCCCCTCAATAACATTTTTTCAAGTCTTTCTTGAAAACCTGTTCCGGGCTCTTTTATGGGATTTTTTAAATACTCCAAAAAACTCGTTAAGCATTTTTGCAGAAACGTTTTTGCAAGTCTTTCTTGGAAATTTATTCTGGAATCTGTGTCAAGGGATTTTTTCAAAATATTCCAAAAGAATCTTGATAAAAACTTTTCAAGAATTTTTAAAGGGACTTCTTTTCAGTTTTGTCTTGAAAATCTTAAGAAATATTAAAAAAATTCGATAAAAAATCTGGCAGAATTTTTTTTAGAAACCCCTTTTCAAGTCTTTCGAGAAAATGTTTCTTAACAGTCTTTCTTGAAATCCTGTTTTGGAACTTAAAGGTTCTTAGAATTTTCTGGGAATGTTCCCAAAAACATCATTTAATTAAAAACTCCCAAGAATTGTCGTAAAAACCTTTCTTGAAAATCTTCGAGAATTTTTGTAGAAACCTCTTTTTGGAAAACCGATTTCCGCATCTTCAAGAAATCTGTTGCTTCGTAGTTTTTAAGGAATTTTTAAAATATTTAAAAAAATGTTTAGGAATCTTGAAGAAATCTGTGGATGGCTAAAGAATTTTTTTGAATACCTATTTTGGAATTTTTTTAGAAATTTTTGAAAAATCTGTTTTGGAATCTTCAAAAATCGGTTTATTTGTAGGTTTTAACGAATTTTGAAAACATTCCAAAAAATATTTAATGAAAAATCCTCGAATTTTTGCAGGAACCTCTTTCCAAGTCTTCTTTAGGATTGTTGAGTGTAACTTTTGCCATTTTAGTGGTCGGGGAAGACGAAAGGAAAGGACGGCAAATTTGAACGAGACTACGGCGAGAAACGCAAACCGCTGACCCCCGAACCCGAGATCGGCATCGCCGATTTGCTTGCGGCGCGCGACGACGTCGCCATCATCGAGAAGACCAGCAACGCGGCGGTACGCAAGCACACCAAATCGTCCATAAATCGAGTCATCATAGGCGCTGTGAGTTTTTCGTGACAAATTCCCAGTCTTTCTCACTCTAGGTTTTTAAGGTGCCCGATCGCGGCGGCCGAACGTCAGAGCAGGCGCCTCCTCCTCCCGAAATGCCACCGTGGCAGCAGCGCAACGCGGGTCCCATGGGCGGAGGCGGCCGCGGAGGAGCTGGCAATTTCTCGAGAGGAGGCGGCGGCAGTAATTTCTCACAAGGAGGTGGTTTTAATAGTTCGAATTCCAGGGGCGGCGGTGCCGGTAACTTTTCGCAAGGGAATTACGCCGGCAACCGAAGCTCGTTTGACAGTGCGGGAAGCTACGGTTACTCTCAGGGCGACAATTCGCGAGGTGGCGGCGTAAGTAGTTATTCGCGGGGAAGTTATTCGAACAATCGAGGGTCGTTCGATAGCGCGGGAAGCTACGGAGATACTTCGCGCGGTAGTAATTATTCGGGAGGTTTTTCGAGAGATAACAATGGCGGATTAGGTGGGAAATCGATTGACAGTTATTCGCGAGACAGTAACAGCGGATATTCTCGAGGAGGCGGATATTCTCAAAGTGGCAACAGCGGGTATGGCAGAGACAGCAATAGCGGTTATTCGCGAGATAGTGGATATTCTCAAGATAATAGCGGATATTCTCGAGATAGCAACAGCGGATATTCCCGAGACAGCGGTGGATATTCGCAAGGGGGATACTCGAAGGGTTTCGATAGCGCCGGTAGTTACGGCGGTCAATCGTATCAGGAGCCGAAACGGGCGAAAACTTTCGATCAATTTCAGCAGAGTAAGAGCACGTATGCCGACCAGTACGTCCAGGAGAGCCAACACAATATGCAGTATCAATCGAGAGATCGCGATAATAGGGGCAGGGGGCGGGGAGGTAGGTCGAATTATAATCGTGGAGGTGGATCCTACCGGTAAATTGACTAATTTATTAGTGTACCATTTACCATGAGATCCCGTTTTTAATCTGGCTATAGTCTTAATCATAACAATCGCGATTTTAATTTATATGATTTTTGTATATTGTGTATGCATGTTATTTAATAAAATTAACAATACTTGATTCGCCTTTTATTACAAAAACCACTTTTCCTGGTTGGATTTAACGTTGGTGCCCAACGTGGGACCCGCAGCGATATTTTCACGTTCAATACACGCTATTTTGGCGCCGGGCGTGGAGTCCACGGCATTAATTTTGACGCCCAACGTGGGGCCATGATGTTCATCGAGCAGCTATCGCATTTTTTTGTCTTCAAATATAAATTAGAGAGTTTTCCCACGAGCCAATATTACAAAGAAAGCTAGTGTCGTTTAAATAGAGACTCAAGTGAAGTGAAAGAAGTGAGTTTAATCGTTTGGTGTTTTTTAACAAGTTAATTAATAGTGTCAATCGATCGCTTGTTGCGTGGTATTTGTACGCTGATGTTATCACCATCCAATGGGCGCCGTTCAGATGGGGTACAGATCAAAAGTTACAGCTCTTTGAATTTTCTTTCGAAATTGGTTTCTAGTCTATAACTTTTGATTGAGAAGTCTGATCGAAAAAGTACGAATCGTTTTGGATTCTACGCACCAAAATTAATAAAAAAAAGTTTTTTCCCGAGAAATTCTGGTGTAGTCGATTTTTGGTAAAAAGGAGGGTTATACACTGCCTTTTTTTGAGGCGCAAAAAAAAATTTTCTCAGATCAACCGGGAAAAAAAGTTTTCTTATAGAATGTGGCCTGCAGAATCCATAATTTCAAACAGTTCCAAGATCGGGCTACTAGATCAAAAGTTACAGCCCTTTGGAATTTTTTGTCGAAATTGGTTTTTTGCCCTGAGGTTAGGTTAGCGTGCTAGTTAGGTTAGCTCAGAAATCTGGTATCAGGAGAATATAATGTGCGAGGAGATCGAATGTTAAAATAAAATTTTAGTGAGGTTAGGTTAGAGTGCTAGTTAGGTTAGGTCAGATTAGTTTGGGCGTTTTAAATTTTTACAAATCTTGTATCTAACCTAACGCACATGAAACTTAGCTCTCAAAAGTCCTTAAAATGAACACCCATTTAAAATTCTTATTTATTGCGGCGTACTCTTATGGCGATTTAACTCGTATATTGCGAACAGATACTTTATTAAAATCGTCAAAAGATCTGTACGGACGGCCTTTCGTTCACTCGCCCTGTCCTATGCCCTATGGCAATCCAAAAACGCTGACGAAAAGGAATACGCTATAATACAGGAGCGAAAAGTTTAATTTTCGAGTTTCGTTGTTTACTTCTTTGACAGTGAAAGGCACAAATTTCAAAATGTTTATAGCATTGCCTGAGTTTTTGGTAATATCATTGAATTTATAACTATCAGAAGCGCGGGTTAAATGGCAGGATATGTGACTGTTTTCAATAGTTATAAATTCAATGGTAATATTAAAATAATCCAAGCAATATACATTGTGATGACATCTGTCTTTATTATTGAGGACTAAAATTTTATCGATAAATGCAGGACACTTTATTACCAACATTATTTTAGTTGCAACCTATACCTCAAAGATGTCGCCACACTAATTTTTTTATATACTTTATGTAACTAACGTTAGATGTCAGAGCGATAATTTTAACCATAAAGTCACTATATTTAGTGACTTTGTTTAACCATAGATATATGAAGATTTAACCTAAAATGCATAAATGTTTGTTTAATTTATAATCAAAAATTAAACTTTGTTATCATTCCTTTCTCGCTTACAGGTTTAAATTGTGGAACTGGCTACTGGGAGTGACAGGAAAGCGGCAGACTCGGGCATTGCGGAAAATGATACTGATCGCTCTGGGTCGTCCGATCAGAAGACTGGTAGTTCTCGATGGGTGTGAAACGTTAGCATTGAAATCGGACAACACAAATCGAAAAGGGAAAGGCTTTGTAACCAAAACAGGAGGACACGTTGGAGAACTCGCAGAAAACCCATTCAAACGCAATTCAAACTTCTTAACGTTAAAATCGGAACGATTACATGATTGCAGCAGCTGCCGATGGTGCGAAGCTATTCATTAAACAATTGAGCTTTGAGTTCATTCGACAGAACTAAAGTTATAAAAACGGTAGTGAAATTGGCAACGAAACGGAGCGAAAGTGTTACGCAGTTTGCAAGCACCCAAAAATGTGTTGTTTGTGCGATCTTCATGTGAAAGTTGTTGTAAAATGGTTCACTTTAATGTACCTGTATTGAAATTGTTCTTCCAAGTGCTTTAAATAAACTCCCATGCATAAGAAGTTACGAATTGCAAAAACAAATGTTCGTTTTCTGTTCATTGAGCATGATGTGTTGCCTACAAACCAGGCTACACAAATATCGAGTACCCATATTGAAATTTCGCGATTTGCTTGATTATCCCCAATTAAGTACATCAGGACACCGTAATGAGATAAGTGCTATTGCTACCCTCTACCGAAATGTTACAAAATAGTGACCAAAACGAGTCCCTTTTTGCATAAAGGATTTACATTTGAAAACATAGATATATATCTATGTTTGAAAACGTAACTTTTCGACATCTAACGTTAGTTTAATGAACTCGCAGCTCGTGTGTTAAAGGAAATCTGTTTCGTGCCAGTGGTGACATCTGTCCCTAAACTTAAACAACTAATATAATGGTAATATAGAGGTGCCCTACATTTATTGGTAACATCTGAGTCTGACCTAATTACGCCAGATGACGGGACGATATTTAAGATCATCAACTATTAATTATGGAATAAACTAAAATTATTCAATGACCGTAGTCAATAAACAAAGGTTACATANTATAATTAGCACTATAATTTCAAAAAGAAACCCCACCGATTGGACATATGCCGAAAGGTAGGCAAGACGAGTAGCGACCAAAATTTGATATTGTACGCACACACAGTCTATAAATTTCCTAAGAATATTGCACGGATCCTTCTTTGTGATCATGATACAAACGCACTGCATCAACATCATATAGGCCAAAATGATAATTGGAAACGAATTCACTTCCTGTCGCAACTTAATCTCCGTTACCATTACGCCTAAAAGCATGCAATTAAAATTAAAATGTTGAACATAAACTTTACTTACGTACGGTTTTTTTGATATTCTGCAAGCCAGCAATGAATTTACTGCAGCACATCATGCCAAACAAGGTAAACATAGTCCCAAATTTGAATGGCGTAGCTCTATGTAATAAAACTATTTCAGGAATAACAATTATGGACGCGTCTATCATTATGGCAAGCACTAATGTTATTCATATACATTTGATAACGCAATAATTACATAATATTTAGTGAAAAAAACCGTCCATCATGTTTAGGGCGAATATTTTTAGTTAGATTTGATTTCGCGCGATCGTGAAATGTGTCAACTGTCACATGACTTATGGGACGCGCTAAGTTTGTTTTAAGCGTCCGATTCGCGTACGACGTAGTGGTTAATGCAATAAAATGAGATAGAACATGTTTCTTCTTGGTTAGAAAGTAATGGAGAGATGTACAAATTTCTTTGATATGTTTTTTAAAAACCGAGGTACGTTTGTTAAGGATGGCGGTATCTAGGTATTTTATATATTATGTTGGTGTGAAAAACGTAACTTTTCGAATTAAGCGTAGTTTAATGACTCGCAGCTCGTGTAGTTAAAGGGAAATCTGTTCGTGCCCAGTGGTGACATCCTGTCCCTAAACTTAAACAAACTCATATAATTGGTAATATAGAGGTGCCCGCTACATTTATTGGTAACATCTGAGTCTGACTTAATTACGCCAGATGTCGGGACGATATTTAAGATCAACTATTAATTATGGAATAAACTAAAATTATTCAATGACCGTAGTCAATAAACAAAGGTTACATATCATTTGATGTAGGTGTTCAGGCTCTGGTCGTTTTGTATTCTAAAGGCCAAAATAGACTAACTGAGCCAACGGTCGGATACGACAGAAAAAACTTGATAAATATACAGCCTGGTTTGTAGGCAACACATCATACTCAATGATCGGAAAACTAATTTTCTACTGTTATTGGTAATTTCTTGCACGGGATTGTGTTTAAAGTCGATAGAACATTCCACACTGGTACGATTTATAATTTTTACTCGAAGTTCGCAAAAAGAACAATCCATTTTTCGTGCTTGCAAACTACGTAACACTTTTGCCCCGTTCCACCACCGTTTTTGTATCTGTAGTTCTATCGAATGATTCCTCGAAGCAAAATTTTTTTAAAAATAGCTTCGCACCATCTGCAGCTGCTGCAAACATGTGAACGCTTGGATTTTAACGTTGAGATGTTTGAACCGTTTCTCCACCGTGTCCGCTTGTTTGGATTATAATTTGTGTTGTCTGAATTCAATGCTAACGTTTCTCATCCATCGAGAACTACATGTCTTCCGATCCGATGACCGAGAGCGATCAGTTTCATTTTCCTCAATAGTCTGCCGCTTTCCTGTCACTCCCAGTAGTTCCCTAATTTAGACCCTGTAAGAACGCAAGGAGCGATAATAAAGTTCATTTTTTGATTAAAAAAATAAACAAACTTTTATTTACACATTTGAGGTTAATTGTTAATGTATCTATGGTTACTGTATGTAAAAAAAAACGCTCTGACATCTAACGTTGGTTTCATGAATTATATTTAAAAAGTTGTGTGGCGACATCTTTCAGAAATAGGTGTAATTAAAATAATGGTAATAATAAAGTATCCTGCATTTATCGATAAAATGTTAGTCTTCATTAATAATGATAGATGTCAGGACCATGCTTTTTGCTTTGAATATTTAATTATTTACAAAAAAAACTCACGCAAATCTATAATTTTTTTGGGTTTTGTGCCCACCCCTGTCATTGGAGTAAAGCCATGAAACTCGAAAACTAAACACTTTCTTCCTGTATTACAGCTTGATTATTAGGTGTTGTGGCGTTATTGGATTGTCATTGAAAAGGCCGGATGAACGAACGGCATCGCTACAGATTTTTTGACGATTTTGGTAAAAGTATCTGCTCGCAAAACACGAATTAAATCGTCGCCAAAAGAGTTTGCCGCAATAAATAATTATTTTAAATGAGAGTTAAGTTTCAGGTGAGTTAGGTAAGATCTTGTGAGGGAAGGTAAAGTTCCCTGATAGTGAGGTTAGACATTCCTTGAATCACCTCCTCGAATATCATATTCTCCTGATACAAGATTTGTAACAATTTAAAACGCCCAAACTAATCTGACCTAACCTAACTAGCACTCTAACCTAACCTAACCTAACCTTCATTCATCTCCTCGCACATTATATTCTCCTGATACAAGATTTCTGAGCTAACCTAACTAGCACGCTAAACTAACCCCACTAAAATTTTATTTTAACTTTCAATCTCTTCGCACATTATATTCTCCTGATACCAGATTTCTGAGCTAACCTAAAAGATACGCAGCGCGCAACTGGTATCTCTTCCACACAGTGAAGGATCAACCTCAAACAAGGGTGATCGGTCCCTTTTGAAGGTATCACAAGGGTTCTGGATTGTTCAGACTGTTCAGAGTACTTAGATCAAAAATTACAGCCCTTTGAATTTTCTTTCGAAATTGGTTTCTAGTCTATAACTTTTGATTGAGAAGTCTGATCGAAAAAGTACGAATCGTTTTGGATTCTACGCACCAAAATTAATAAGAAAAAGTTTTTTCCCCAGAAATTTTGGTGTAGTCGATTTTTGGTAAAAAGGAAGGTTATACACTGCCTGTTTTTGAGGCCTGAAGACAAAATTGTCTCAGATCGACCGGCAAAAAACATTTTCTTATAGAATGTGGCCTGCAGAATTCATAATTTCAAACAGTTCCAAGATCGGGCAACTAGATCAAAACTTACAGCCCTTTGAATTTTTTGTTGCAATTGGTTTTTTGCCCATAACTTTTGATTGAGACGTCAAATCGAAAAAGCACGAATCGTTTTGGATGCTACGCACCCATGAGAACTTTCGTGATACCAAGTTTAAGAAACTGGCATACTCGTTTTGAATATAAAAACATTGAGCCGGGGAGGTCTGGGGGGTATGGAATACCCCCCAACAAGGGGAAACTGGAGGAGCATTTCCTTACAATCATTATGAATTACCGGTGCATTCATATGAATAAAATCTAGGTATGCGGGGGGTGGGGGGGGGGGGGGAGGGTATTTACCATATAGCGTACGTATGCGCTCTATTTTTCTAGAATGAACGGTTTAAAGGTTGTAAAAGAGGTCGAGGTAAAATTGTTTCTCGGTTCACTATTTGTATAAACTGTATAATGGGCTCTTTGCTAAGAAGCACCCTTTTCGAGATAGAACCCAAAAACTAAAAATTTTTTTTATCCCCTTCCCCCATGGTCCTCATCTACACATATACCCTAAATTAGTGTTTGAAGTGAATCCATAAGTAACTGCTCATTTTGAGGCTTCATGTCTGAAATTAAACTTTCATCGCTCATCGGCCTACTTTAAGTCGTAACCAGGAAAAATTAACCCCAGCTGCTTTTTTTTATACCCTCTCGTGTTCATTATTTGCGGTATTATCTTTTAGTAATCGTAACAACACGGCATGGCATATGCAATTCATTAAGAAAGCTTTTAACGTTAATGTAGATTGATGAGTTCAGTGTGTTTGAGGTATACACGCGACTAACCATTGGTCAGTTAAAACGGGGGTGCTCGCCCCCGAAGTTAACCCGCTATTAAATGACGATGAAAATCGTGACATCCTGTTAATTTAATGCGTTTTCCGTCAAAGTCGTCGCAGGAATGTCGAAGATGGACTTGATTTAAAGACTGTTAAATTTAAGTGCGTGTTTGTCCCAAAGCAACTCTTACTTTAATAAGCACCTCGCGCCGGTAAATTACAGGGACGGTGCAATTGTTGCGTCATCGGAAGGGCAGAACCCACACTGTTAGTTTACATCTCGATTACTGTTATCGTTTTACGCAAACAATAGTGTCACCACTTGCCTTATAATTATATGGAATAGCTTAATAACGGTGTAGATACGTGTGCGACAGGTACCACCCATTTTGCTGTTTTTTACCGTCTAGATTCTCTAAAATTGCGAAAAAGTCCGGACAATGTGTAAACTCTGGTTTGATTTTTGAAAATTCAAAATCAGCAAGAAACTACCCTTAAAAAACCCCTAAATCGTACCGTAACCCTTCTATTTTTCAGCGTTTGTTTACTACGAACTTTACGTAACTCTTGAGAATACAATTTTTTAATTGCCCAGAAACCCGGATTTTTACTTGAGCGCTAATACGGCCCAAAAACAATGCCCGAAAAAGTAAACTGGACCTTCTCGAGGTGAAAAAAAAACCCAATTAAAGTATTTCTACAGCCAAACCTCGAATTTTGTCACCTTGATTACTCACCCTGAGCGCTACGCCGGCTCAAAACCGTATACACCCGAAAAAATTTCCTCTCTCTTAATCTCCACCTATAGTTCATAATTAATTGACAACCCCAAAATGGCGCTTTATTAATGAAATCGGCCATTTTTAATTAAGAATTAATCTGGTTCGTTGTGCGCCACGAATTACAAGGGGGGCAGGGTTATAACTTAAAATCTCGCGTACCTTTAATTTTGCAATTCCGCGGTTTCCAAAGGCCTGTAGTGAAATTACGCCACGCAATTCTATATCGGCAGTTCTGGTCACCTAGATCTAATTAAGACATACTCTAAATACCGGACAGACTGGTTAATATTTATTTAATTTCATTTCTTACTCAAGATCTTCGTTTAAGAGATTTATTTTCCATAACGTCACTTTATTATGAATTAGAGTACCACCATTGACTTTATACACCAGTATCACTATTCCAGTCTATTCCCAAAATCTATTTTTCAGATTATGGAATTGATTCGAAAATTGCTTTCCACGTATTACGTTCTCCAAAAACTGCTGTATCAGGATCGCAAAGAGTGTAAATAGGAAAGAATACATTAACAATAAACCAATTTTTTTTAAGAGAACCGATAGATATTTTGAATACAAATGGAAAAGAATTTCGTTACCTTAAATATAGCGTTTTCTGGGATCGATGGTTTCCTTATGATACACATCAATACTGTCTTTCTTAAAGGGATGGTGGATTAAAGCTGGACAATATAGAATGAAACCTGGATCTCCGGAAGGAATACTGCTGTAGTTTTCTTAGATTTTTGTATTTTTTCCTTTCAACCAACGTTCCGCTCCCGTAATATAATTTATTATTAGAGTATTGCCAACCTAAACCGAAACTGATTTAATTTGTTTCTTAAAAGTTTCGCTTTCGAAGTGGAGTTTCAATGTTTGCACTCTAAAAGCATTTTCCGTTAGTTCTAAATATTAAGGCTATCGCACGCTGGTTTCACCGAAAGTGAATTTTTTCGGTAATCCTTTCTGAATGTGTTCACGATGCGTTCGATTAATTTACTTTCAACGGAATTTCTTCGTTTGCGACAAACTATCTGCTTTAAATATTCATTCCGGAATGTTTATTTTCTGACCAAAAATGATCCTTGAACGTTATTACTAAAAATAGTAGATTTGTTCAGAAATGTGTCATGCGCATCAAAACCCTTCGATTTTGGACTAATTACGGGTTCTTTTACTTGAGTTCCACCAATGCTCAAACGAAAATTAAAATGAAAGCGCATTTGACGTTCTGGTGGTCCAAAACCGAATGCCTTACCGCTATCTTTTCCGCACGCCACCTCACCCTTTTTTAATTTTCTAACACGCCTACAAAATGGTGATAATAGGAAAAAGCGGCCATCTCTAATCGACTTCATTTCCCTAACTCGATCAAAGACCATCTATCGAAACCCACAAGATTTTAAGATCGCTTAGTTGACGCTTTTAACGTTCCTGTACTGTTTCGGTCACGTAAAAGACTTAAGATTGTGTTATCGCCCGTCAGACTGGCGCAGATAATTTTTCCGAGGCCATTAACCGATCATGACGCGTCCGATGGATCGCAGAATTCGTTAAGAAGCCAATTTGAAAACAATACAATTTCGAGTATCAACAAAGAACCAAAGGTACCATTTGTGCGAGTGTATATTAAATACTTGAGTATTCACAGTCAATTTTACTATTTCAGTCTTTGCCCTGGAACTGCTTCTGATAATTCTGAATCTGGCGCAAGAGCTGGGTCAGGTGCAACGCGGCGTTCGGCTCCTTCTTCGGGTCCGACGCCTTGCATTCCGAGAGCGCCTCGCACGAGGCGCGCTCCTTAAGCTTCTTCACTTGGTCCTTCAGCGCCATCACCTCCGTGCACAGGGACATCACCATCTTGATTTCCTCCTCCTTTTGATTCAACTGCGTGTCCATCTCCTCGAGCTGTTTCAGAACTTCGGGGGCGGCATTCGTGCTGGTCTTCGACAGCGTCTCGTACTTGCTGAAAGGGGCTGGATGGGGAGGGGTGTGCGAGTATTTGGGGTCCACTCACGCGTTTAAACTGTCGAACTCGTCGTGAAGATTTTTCAACACGGTTTTGAGACTCTTCTCATTTCCGGCAAAGTGATTTTGCTCGGGGACACCGGACGGTTTGCTCTCCGTAGGCGTGGTGGTTGATACCCAGGCCGCAGTGCGCTGTTTGGAGGTCACTCCTTCTGGTCGTCGTGCCGGTTTTATGAGCTGAAAGGGCGTGGTTACCTTAGCGACGCGAACGGGAGCTTACCTTGGAGCTCGAGTGGAGATTATTCGCGTTGGACACCTGGTACCTGCTCACGACCTTCTGGAATGGTACTCCGTTCTTGGGCACGCAAGTGCAACGACCCGTCGACGGCTCCGACGTCCAAATCGGCGGTACTGGGGGAGGCACCTCTACGTCTGGGAGGTTTTCTGCGACAGTCTCCTCCTCTTCAGGTATAGCCTTGGCCATCTCCTGCAGTTTGTTGTAGTTGAGCGAGTGCTTGGTCAGTGGACACGTTCCGCTTCTGCAATGAGGGCGATCTATTCGAAATTCAAATCTAAGTCTACGTACCCGATTCTCGTGCTCAAATTGGAGACGAAAGTCGAAAGCGGACTTCCTTGCAGCTTCTCGGCGGCCAGGCTGATGTTATGGGCGAGAGTCGGCGAGATACCCGTGATTGGCTGTCGCGTTTTAATAATGCTCATCACCTGCTGAATGTTGATGCCAATATTGTGACTCGGACTCGTGGATTTGGCCGCGCAAAAGGGAATGCACCGGAAGTTGAAGTAGTTAAAGGAGCGCAGATAGTTCTTCGTGACCCTCTTCAGCTTGGATGCGACCGTCTGCTGCTCGTAGTTTCTGGGGACGTGCTTGAAGTAATCCGATCGCACGATTGCGTTCTCCTGAATCGGACTTAGGGCGCCGCCGCCGGTGGCTTTGTTTGGTAGATCACCGGCTCCTTGTCTTGCGTGCTGGTGCGCCTTGTGACTGTCGTCGGACTCGCTTGACTTAGCGGCGAGGTTGTGGTAAATTTCCACCAGGTTTTCGCCGCTCAACTTGTTTATCTGCTTGCCCGCTTCGGAGTCGCTCAGTTTTTTGATGATCGACAGCTTCGAGACGGGCTTCAGCCTTTTGATCGAGCGCCTCCGCTTCCTCAAATCGTCATCCATCTGTCTTGATTTTGCGAATTTCGGTAGGTTAATTGTGCCTGAGGAGCCTTGGGCTTTATTTTTCATTTGGCTCGTCACGGACTTAGCCCACTTATCAAGGGGGGCATCTTGGGTATCCTCCCCGGAGATTTCCTCGACGCTGCACCCTTTAACGTCGTTTACTGAGGAAAATCGAGCGTCCTGCACTAATCGGTCGACGCGCTTCTGTTGCTCTTGGAGGCGCTTCTTGAGGCGCGGACTGAAAGGCCCCCCAGGTATGGCGCAGGTTGCACCTAGAGCTCACAATGTGTACAAGGAAGAGGGGGAGTATACTACCGATATCGTTCAGGAATGGCAGCCCATTGGACTGAGTAGCTCCGTTGACCGAATTCGTAATGCCCGAGAGGATGTTATTGATGGTTCGAACGGCGGCGCCGGTGTGATCCGTACCGATGGACGTCGAATTTTGACGCACAAGAGCCGACTTCGCAGGAGATTCGCTTTGCAACGGGAAGGAGGAGCTCGAACGACGCGGATAAACATCCAGGTTCTCGTAGGTATCTGAAACCGTGTCGTAAAGGGCGCCTCCACGTTCCGCCGCATTACCCAGCTCAAACTGATTTTTTGCCGGGTGCGTGGAAACCGGGCGCTTCCTGTTTTTCCACTTGGACGTACCACTCCCTAACTCCCCGGAGCTGCTTCTTTGGTAATTCTTTTTCATGAACTCCAGCTGGCCCTTCAAGGTGTTGCACCGATTCTCGGCGAGTTCCAGCTGTTCTTCAATGTCTACAATTTGAAAATTAATAATAACCAGAAGTTCCCAAAAAGTTTTTGATAGACCGAAGGTGTGTGATCCTTCATAGGACTAAAATAACTTAAAAAACCCCTGAAAGTTACCCTAAAAAATCTAAGAGGACTTCAGATATTATTCAAAGGCTTTTTAGAACTTTATAATATACACTGTGTCAAAAAAAAACAAAAGTCAGAAACCTATGGGACCATTGACTTCTGATGACCTTGAAAGTGGAATATGACACCGTAAAGAAATAGAAGTCGTTGAGCTTGGATAACCTTGAAAATTAGCTGCCATTGACCTCCGATGACCTTGAGAGCGAATGGCCTTGAGCATCACCTTGACTTATCGCCATCGCAGCGTGGCGTGTGGTCTTGAACTTCTGCCTTGTACATCATCATGAGGAAGCTTAAGGATCTAGGAGTTTGAATAATCAGAAATCCTTAAAAATTCCTAGAACCCAGAATTATATTTGAAAAAATGACACTTCATCGGTTTTCTTTTTTGTCCTCATGTTATTTCGTAAAAATTCCAATATGGCGTCAATAAGATTCTATGGCTATGGCAAAGCCGACCTGCGTAGCTCAGATGAGCTTACGTTAGAAGCTCTAACTTTGGCTACAAGGGTCCTGGGTTCGAATCCCAGGTAAGGCATGGCTGTTTGTGATTGTATAGTGTGGGAGTGGGAAGAGTAGCAAATTGCTAACACTCCGCCCACTATAAAATAAAGGCAATAAAAAAAAAAGAAATAAGAATGTAGTAGCCTGTAGCTTCTACATCTAGTGTGCTATGGAAAATCTGATAACGGGTTCAGATTTTCCGAAAACAAGTGCCCATAGAAGGCGCTACCGGAAACCGTCCATTTCCCACTGTTTAATCTGGGGAAATTTAACGTTTCCAGTTTTTCGGTGGTATCACAGTTATTTTCAAAGATTTTTCAAAAATTTCAAGTGCGTTTTTTTCAGCCACAAAAAGGGTCAACTTTCCCCCATTTAATATAATACACTGTATTCCTCATCGTTACGAAGATCCCAATGGTGAGCCACGAATTGGGGTTGATAGAGCAGCTTTGGCTGAAACCCCGACCAGTTAAAAAGGGCCAAAAATAAAATAAATAAATAAAATACAAAATATTCTGTGAATATACAGAAACTGAAGAATCTGTTTCTGTATCTCAAGCATTATAACAATATCCAGATTTGGAATCTTCCGACAAATCAATGGTCCGCAAAATTATTACTTAGGGTTTGCAGCTACCGAAAGCACAAATTAACGGCCGTTAACCTTTTTATCGGTTGCTGTTTCATTTATAATGTTATGAGCACATCGTATAAACAAATTAGATGCACGACTTTGATTAATAAACTAGTTTTTCAACGTAATCAGCCACACCAAAAAATACGCAACGCAATGTTTTGCACCTTGGACCCCAACCCTTTCGTGGTAACAATTTATTTGAATACGAGCACCGAAACGAAAATGCCCTCATCGCACTGTTCGCGGCGAAGTACCCACCTCTAATTATTTGTTTTGCTCCCACTGAATATCTAAAGAACGCAGGACAATAAATTCTTCGAAAAATGGTTGCACAATTTTTCGGCTGCGAGACCGGCTTTCGGTTCGCACTTTTAATTAATAATGAAATTCTACGCGGTCTCCAAAATGGCGTACACAATTCACAATATTCACCTGGACGGCTTGGCGAAGAATTTCGTTTCATGCGGTCTAAATATCTTTAGGTGTGTATAAGAAATAAAGTTTTTATGGCCCTTTAAAGGTTTTCCACAGCTTTAGTCACATATATAATCTGCAATGGCTTCCAATAGCACCAAAAGCACTTCAGAAACGTTTAGATTAATTAAGACCTTCTCCTCACTATAAGAACCCAACTTTTAGGAGCTTTTATAACCCTTTAAGAGCTTTAAAGGGTTTTAAAGAACGTTCAAAAAATTTAAGAACCTTTATGCGCCGAACCTTTGGAGGTTTTTATTAATTTTTGAAGATTTTTGAGAGTCCAGCAATAGATCCTTAGTGCGTTTAGGAATGTTCAACAGACGCGCTTTGAAGAGCCATAGAGCGCCTTTACAAAATAGGTTTTTAAAATCGTTTATCGGGATCTTTAAGAACCTTTACAAGTTGCAGGCAATTTCTAAGCCGAAAAAATCGTTAAGGTGCTTGCTTCTCTTTAAAAGACCCTTTAAAGGCCTTAAGGATCTGAAGAATGTGAAGAAACGGAACTGACAGGAAGAATCATGTGAATAAAGAAAATGCTAAAGCTTCGAAAAAACGGAAGAATTTTATGAATCGAAACAACTTGAATAATTTGAAGAAACTGAAGAATTCAAAGAATCGCAGATAATGTGAAAATAAGAAAAGAATCCGAAGCAACTTCCGTTACTAAAAAGTTAAGAATCTTAAGACTCGGTAGCACCCAAAAAACAATAAGAATTTCAAGGATTTCAAAAAGAAGAATCAAAAAAGTCTTCAGGGTCCTCAGAAGATAGAAAAATCAGAATTTATCCCTAAAAACCTTCAGAGACGTAGGCTGAAGAGCATTTAAGAGTCCTTAAAAATCCATAAAGAGCTTTTAAGTCTTTTTGTTAATCTTTGGGGCTTTTTAAAAAGAAACTTAAGGATTTGCAAGATCTCACCAGTCCGCAAGATCAAAAATATGCAAAGCATCGGAAGAAGCCAAAGGAAACGATTGGAAGGATTCGATAAAACGAGAGGATTGGAGAAATTATGCCAAGTCTAAAGAATCTTATGTTACTGGAGAATTTTCCAGAGAAATCAAAAAATCAAAGAATTTGAAAAATATTAAGAATCTGAAAACCCTTACGAAAAATTAAAAAAAAATCAGAAAAACTCACGGAGGAACCTGAAGAATTTAAAGAGCTGGAAAAATTGAAAGGTGCTGGAAGAAAGAAAATTGAAGGATGCTCGAAGAAATTAAAATTCTCTAAAAAATTCGAAGAAACCAAATGAATAGGAAGAATCGTATGATTTCATTTTAAAAACCGAAGGACTTCGAAAAACTGCAGAATAGGAGGGATCGAAAAAACGAACAATTTAAAGGATTTGAGGAATCGGTAGAATTTTAAGAAAACAATGTGAAGGATCTGATGGAGCTAAATTAAATAATCAAAAAATGCGAAACTCGATGAAAGGAAGGAATGTACCTTGAAGAACAATCTTTAAGAATCTTCAAGGGCCTTAAAAAACATTTAACAACTTTTAAGGGCTGAATCTCTAAATATTGCCATGTGCTCCACATTGGGCGTCAAATAAAAATGCTATGTGCCCCACGTTGGGCGCAAAACAAAAACTGGTACCTTCACTAAGCCCGGTATCCGCTATAATCAAAAGGTTCAATGTTGAGTTAAAATTAGTTCAGATGCGCAATTCAGCAGCCTTGACCGTCTCTACAATTTTCCAAGGGACTAACTATGTAAATTCCGGTACCAACAGAAAAAAATTATCAAAACTCTGATCTGGCTCGTACTTTGGGTTCGATTAGACACACAGCTACTTGATTGACAAAGACAAACACTTCTTCAGTAGTTCCTCGTATTTAAAGGATATCCTCTCTTCCACTTTAAAAATTTCTTTCTTTAAGATTTCGTATACAAACGGCCAATCAAAACCAAATTTGATTAATGCTAGCTTTTATATAACGTCAAACGTTCTACCCAAGAAAACCGCGTCTTCGTTGCAAGCATCTGTGTTTTATTATCGCATGCGCTAATCTTGAAACTAATTAGTTTTCACTTTACGCAACTCGATAACAAAAGTTCTTATCGCATTGACCAGATAGAATGTTAATAAAACGCGAAAATACGACGAAATTAACATTAATTACATTATCTAAATTTGACCGTCTCTCAATATTCCCCAGGGACTAACTATGTAAATTCCGGTACCCAACAAAAAATTATGAAAACTTTGATTTGGGTCGTACTCTTGGGTTCGATTAAAACAGCTACTTGATTGACAAAGACAAACATTTATTCAGTAATTCCTCTCTTCCATTTTAAAATGTCTTTCTTTAAAATTTCGTAAACAAACGGCCATTCAAAACCAAATTTGATTAATGCTACTTTTAAAATAATAACGTCAAATGTCCCACCAAGAAAACCGCGTCTTTGTTGCAAGCACCCGTGTTTTCTTATTGGCGTTACACATGCGCTAATCTTGAAACTAATTAGCTTTCATATTACGCAACGCGATAACAAAAGTTCTATCGCATTGACCAGATAACTGTTTAATAAAAGCGAAAATACGACGAGATGGCAAACACTTCTTAACATTATCTAAATTTGACCGTCTCTCCAATATTCCAAGGGACTAACTATGTAAATTGCGGTACCAACAGAAAAAAATTATGAAAACTCTGATCTGGGTCGTACTTTGGGTTCGATTAAACACACAGCTACTTGATTGACAAAGACAAAAGTTTATTCAGTAATTCCTCGTATTTAAAGGATATCCTCTCTTCCACCTTAAAAATTTCTTTCTTTAAGATTTCGTAAACAAACGGTCAATCAAAACCAAATTTGATTAATGCTAGCTTTTAAATAATAACGTCAAACGTCCCCACCAAGAAAACCGCGTCTTCGTTGCAAGCATCTGTGTTTTCTTATCGCATGCGCTAATCTTGAAACTAATTAGCTTTTATCTTACGCAACGCGATAACAAAAGTTCTTATCGCATTGACCAGATAAACCTTTCAATAAAACGCGATAATACGACGACGACGACTTAACATTATCTAAATTAATCAATCACAAAATCATTAAATACATAAATTTCAAAATAAAAATTAACACTGAAATTCAAATTCAATACAAAACGAATGCACTCCGTGCTTAATCTAAATAACCCACCGGATTTAACAAGAATGATGTTATTAACATCCAAGGTAGTCCATCATTGTTACGGGAGTTGAACCCGAAAAAACGTCTGCGTGACGTAGTTTATGAGTCCCTAAAAGTTTTCAAAGGTCCCATGAGGGTTTTAGAACCGTTAGTAGACATTTAATCTCTAAGACTGTTTGAAAGGCGAATCGTGGAGAGCTCGAGAACGTTGTGGGATTCTTTCCGAGCTTCTAAGAAGAGCTCCAGGAGCCTTAAACGAAGACCGTTTGTGGAGAGTCCCGAAAAGAACAGCCTACGATAATTTTCCCTGCCTCTGCGTAATGTGGTTATGATGTTGCTGAATGCTGGTCAACTTTTTGCCCTATCCTGTAGACAAACGACCTAACCATAGTTATTTTCGATTTATCTGTCACTTTGACAGTCCAAATTGTTGTCAGTTCCTTTTTTTTAATAATTATGGCGCGAGAACTCCCGGTTTGCAACGTGGCAATTTTGCACGACAAATTTCGTAATACGCCCGAGGATCGTTACATGGTGGACATCGCTTTGGCGCTCGACGAGAAACAGACAACTCTTTCGATCTACACCACGGATTCGGGCAACGGGGATATTTTAGATTCCACTTCGGTAGTAAGATCCTTTTGATTATCGGACCTACATTGTGCATTTGTAGCCTTTGGACAAATACATCCGCACGGTTGGAACGTGGATACCGTCCAACGTCTGTGGGGCATTCAAGCGTATGTTTGCGGTCTTCAGATCGATTTGGCTAACCTCGAAGTTACTCATTGATCCTCCCAGTCCCGAGCCGAGTGTTGTGATATTGGATTTGGAGCCCATTGCTATCCTTCTACTTAGCCTTTTATCTAATTACAAAACCCTCTACATCTACCACTTCCCTCACTTAAGGTGTAGTGATCACTATGACAAGAGCATGTGCGTCGTGCCCCCCTTACTGACACTCAAGAGCCTAAGGTACGCCGATGAGATCATAGTCCAAACCAAGTGCCTGCGGGAGGTTTTTCAAAGATCGTTCCCAGATATTACTGAACCTTTGGTGTTAACCCCATCCTACAGTACCGGACTGTGGAATGCGGACACCATCGACGTAAGACGAATAATCCCCGACCTACCGACGAACTACAAACTCTTCGTCGCGTTCGGCAAATTCATGGAACGTTCCAATTTCCTACTCATCCTCGAAGCAATCGACAAGCTGATGATATCCGCCGACAACAACCTGAAGGAAGAACTGCACGTGGTCATAGCGGGTTCCTATCGAAACCGCTCCCCCGACTACTACAACAAACTAACCGAGACGACCAAGGGCAAACCCTTCGCCTCCAAAATCTCGTTCCTGAAGCAACTGCCGACGGTCCACAAGAAGACGCTGATCCAGGCCGCCACCGCCGTGATTCACCTCGTCGATAACGACCTATACCCCGGGCCGATAGTCGCCGCGATGAGTATGGCGAAGGCGATCATCTCGATCGACTGCGGATTCGCGAGCACGGTCCTCACGCACCGAATTTCGGGAATATTCATCGAGCAGGACGCGACGAAGCTGGCGACGGTGATAAGAAAAGTCGCCGAAAGTCCTATGCTTAAGACGTTTCTGGGCAATATGGCGCGGGGGAAGTATCTGACCGACTACTCCCACAAGACCTTCTCGGACCAGATTTTTAGTTGGTGCACCAGGTCGATACCTGACCATTATAGAAGCGAAGATGACTGATGCACGTGGAGAAACTATCTATATCTAACCATACTGTAATAATAAATGCCTGTACCCTCTTCTACAGTTCAAATACTTACCGAAGTACGTTACTCACCATGTAGTTGGTAATCCTGACTCCTCTTGGTGCAGGTTCCATCATCGCCGTCGCAATTGCGCCTGTCCGCGTGGTTAGTACGATTGGTTTGCAAATTGTAGTCTACAACAACATGAGTAAGGATGGTTCAAATTAATGGAAAAACGGGCGATTAGGTACCATCACGAAAATTTGAACATTCACCCACTTCACCATTTGAATAGTATTCCCCACTCATCGTGTCTGAAATATGCACTCTACTTCCCTGCGATGGTCGCCGTACTTCATATACAGATTGTATAAAATTTAAAATGACACTTCAAGAAAGTGACGGAGCCGTCAGTGTATACCTTGTTTTTTACTAGAAGTCAGTGTGGCAACGGCTCCTTGTTTCAAATTGAACCGAATGCCCAGTAATTGCTCGTTAGCCCCGAGACTCCACCTCAATTTAAAATTGAGTCAGGTTCCACACAAAATGGCGTCGGAATCCGGCCCAAATGCTGGATGGCACGTCTCCTTATTGGAGATCTGCACACGATCACCTTTAAATGCCAAAAAGAAATAATTGAACCATTACCACTTACAATCATATAACAAGATAACAAAATGGCGGCAGGTTCTATAGAATATTATTAATGGTGTTAAGGCTAAGGGTAAATGATCGAAACTTTTTAGTCCTCTTCCATTGCTTCGAATGCCTCCAATTTTTCAAAATCCACTTTTCCCGATCCTTAACATTTTTCGGATTATCCCCTCCGCATTCTGCAATTAATATTTTAAGTCTATCAGATGACTGAAATTTCAAAAAAGCCTCGGGTACTTTCGTTTCTTTAAATTCTTCCCCTTGCCGATGGATTCTTCTGATTCTTTTGATTTTTATGGTCTTTCGTCTCTTCAATTTGCTTCTAACTCTACGGATTCTTCAGATCCATAGGATTCTTCGGTTTCAGTTGTTCTCAACTCTTCAATTTTTTTCCGACTACTTGTAACAGGTTTCGAATTTACAAATTTGCCAGTATAGGAAATTTTACGCGTGTACCGCTTCATAATGAAAAAGAACAGAACTATAATGCAATAGAATGAAGCGCTATCAGATAAGAAGCGAGTGTGTAAGCAGATAAGACCCAAATCACCACAGTGTTCGTTTTTACGGAGCATGAGGGACCAATTATTGCTAGACATGTATAAACAAGTATAAATTGTGCACAACTCTTGCAGATAAAGCGCATTTTTTTAACCGAAATAGCTTTTGTTTTGACATCACCAATGGATATATTTCTTGCAGACGTCTCAATCGCCCTTTGTGAGTACGCGCTTCCGACAATCCGTTCTTGAGGTATAAGGGAATATACCCGATCACGATAAGAGGTCAAGGAGAAGGGCTATGGTTGGTAGAAATTAATTCCTGTCGTTGAGACCTTTCATTAGAGTACCATGAAGGATAAAACTAGTTCCTCCCCCCTCAACCCCGTACTGATAAGAGGACAAAAAGAAGGACAGTAGTTGGTAGAAAACGGTTCCTTTCGTTGAGACCTTTAATTAGAATACAATGAGAGATAAAATCCATTTTTAACCCCCCCCCCCCACACAGGCCCTGTCGCTCACTGATATCGAAAAAGAGTCGCACGGGAAACCTTTCATTAGAATACCATGAAGGGTAGAACTCCTATCTGAGACCAATTGGTTGTCGTATGTAAAAGTTATGCACGTTTTACTTTCAAAAACAGCATCTCATGAAATCATTCATGGGGGGCCCCCCTTTTAGACAGCGAAATGTGATGGCCATCTGGCACACCTTCAAGGTGTAGGCTACCTACTGCAAAAATTCCAGGACTCTAGGACCATTTCTCTAGAAGTAGTTCAAAACGGTGGAAGTGGGTCCGGACGGACGGACGGACAAAACGCAAACAATAGCACATTTTTTTAATTCTTAAAAAATGCGCTAAAACGTAGTTGAAGTTTAGTTTTCGTCGGGTCCGTTTCGGGTTTTAGTCTTGGCGACTATATTAAGACAAATTAGGTTATCATATTGCAAAAGAAAGCTGTGCCGCCAATTCGACGAAATTGTTGTCGTGTGTGCCTTTAAATTCTTTTCGAATTACCTTTACGAGTAAAACTTGCGTATTTATGCAAAAGAGGAACTTCGTTGTGTAGAGAAATCGACTGATATATTTTTAACCGTGAATGTCCTTCGTCGTAATACGTGAGCGAATTTTCCGTTTTGGTTATTTAACCAGCGTGATCGCTGTTAAATACATTTTTCCACGAAAGCATTGGGGTCAAAAGTACAGAACGTTCATTGCGTTTATACTTGTGGTTAGTTGCTAACTAAATTTGTCCGGCTCTCTTGTTTATGTTTGGCGATAATAAAATGCTGCGTTAAACGGCAACCGGTAAAAAGGATAAAGACGATTAATTAGTGCTTTTGTTAGCTGTCAAAACCCTAGTATACAAGGGTCAAACTGACATTTCCATACTGCGAAACACTGGTAAATTATATCAACGATTAAACTAAATTTCGAGAAACCTGAAGCCAAGCTTGTTCCTGAATCAAATTGTCAACCATCTTTCACAATTCACCTTCCGATTTATAAGGCGATACAAAAGATTAAGGCGTTCCACCATCCAATTTTTCGAATTGCTGCTACCTTTTTTTATTAACATTTTGCAGAAGGTCTGTCATTTAAATTTTCCAATTATTTTTAGAATTGGCGAGTAAATTATATATTTTGACATATTTTGTTTATAAATTAAAATGAAAACTAAATTATTCTCCTTGTCATCGCTAGCTTAAACGTATGTATTTTTCTAACAATTGAATTCACAAAAACCTGATTATGAAAAATGAATGTTGTTCAAAATAAGTATACCGGGTCAGGTAAAAAAGTTATCGGACCTAATCTCATTTTTGAACGAAACACTCTGTATATTCTAATAAAAAAAAATAAAATAGCATATTAAATTCTTTTTTCAAAAATATAACCGACTAGGGGTGATAACAGATTCGAAAAAATTTAAAAAATATCCAGATAAAAAAATTCAAAAAGATTCAAATGGTTCAAAAAATACAAAATTTCAAATCAAAATCTTTTTGAATCAATATTGAATTTTCCACAATTTCTACCATATATGTACAAGGTGTTCCATTTAAAAAATGAGGTTACGTCCGATAACTTGTTTACCTGACCCCGTATACTTACTTTGAAAACGACGCATAATAATGTATAAATCTTTCTTTATAAGGATTGTTGAATCCAATAACTAAGAAAATATGGTACGTGTTATTCTGAAATTGACATTTTTTTGATTTCCCCCCGTACTCTTAAGCGATTTTTTGATTTTACCATTTCAAGAAAGAGCGCATAGCGCCTATTTTACTTTTTTGGATAGCACTGACGATTGTGATATCCTGTTAACGTGTCGAAAATGGGACACCCTGTACATGAACAAAATATTTGCATAAAGAGAGCAGAATAAGTCAGAATGTGTCTGATTTTCTGTTATCCTTATACAAAAATATAAAAAATACGTGTAATGTAACCAAAATCACACGGTGTTCACTAATACTAGCTGTATCTCCTTGGGTATCTGTTATCCTGACAAAGAAAATGTAAAGAGAACATAATTGGGCCGAAGGTCTTACCTAGATACATTTTAAGAGAATATGTACCTTAGCACACAGATTTGGAGTCGCTACTTGAGAGAAACTTTGTTTTTTAGTGATCTTAATAAAAGAAAGTAAATTAAAGCCCATAGCTAAGACTGCTCGTCAAGAAATTATGTCATAAATACGCCTTCTTGCAAGCATGTAATCCTGTTAACATTTGTTGTATTTAGAAAACATAAAACACGAAGAGGTGAGTTAGTGAAATTCCTAAATGTCGTCGTTCCTTTTGTACATATAGTCCTGTTACAATATTAAAACGCAGAAATGCTATTAGGACAACATAAAACCTGAAGAGACCGACAGGAAAAACCTTGTTTATGAAGCAGTGTAGGAGGTGGCATTTGCCTCTGTAACGAAAGTTAGAATAATGAACATGTTTTATCTATTAATAACTATCTGCACCTACTTGCGTTTTTTTGGGACCAGAATTCTTTAATTAGAAATATGTACCAGGAGAACATATAAACAAGTATATGTATTTTGAGTATGAAGCACTGTCATCTGCTGCCTGTTCTCTGATGCCGATACTATCTTTATAGTAAGAATTTTCTCAAGACGCAACCAAAGGAATATTTACCCTTTACGTTCATGTAGTCCTGCTACACAACTTGGGACAGAATTTGATACCAAGAAAATATATGAACGAATTTTGCACCTTTTTTTCATTCCTGTAGGATTTGTCAGTGGAAAGCTGTTTGCAAAATAGGCATTTCTGCGCCCCTGGTAGTATTTCTCAAAGAGATTGCGATCAGAAGATGATGCTACACCTGCCTGTGTTTCCGTTATCCTGAAACAAGAATTCGAAAAGGAATATTAATGTCGAGCGAGGTTTTTTACATTTCTGCAATCCTAATACAAGTCTCCAAAGAGAAACTTCTATCGGGAGAGAACATAATACGTACGAGGTTCTGCAATTACATGCTACCCGCCGCCTTTTTGTCTCTGTTATCCTGACACATGAATTATTCCATTATTCCACAAAACATCTCTTAGCACATTCATCATAATTTTTGAAGGTAATGTTTAGGTCTGAGAAAGAACAAGGTGGTACAGAATACCTCTCCGCTCCCAATCTCTCCTCATTTCCTGGGGGATAAATTATTGCTTTTCCTGGTGGTACACCATATCCCCAGACTTCTATATTTCTTCAAAAACGCCTCTTAGCTTTGTACCTTGTACCTTCCACCTTGTACTTTGTACCTTGTACCTTGTACCTTGTACCTTGCACCTTGTACCGTGCACCTTGTACCTTGTATCTTGTACTATGCACCTTGTAATTTGCACCTTGTACTTTGCACCTTGTACTTTGCACCTTGTACCTTGTACATTGCACCTTGTACCTTGCACCTTGTACCTTGCACCTTGTACCTTGCACTTTGTACCTTGCACTGCACATTGTACCTTGTACTCTATACCTTATACTTTATACGTTCCTTATCAATTGTGGGTAGAATTCTTCCAGGTTCTCCTTGATGTATGTGTTGGTAGCTACCATTGAATCAGAAAATTCAATGTAGCTACCATAATCCTTTTGATTGATCTCTTGTGTGGTTCTGAAGACACCGGGAATACCCTAAGTCGGTGCCCAATCGCTCCAAACAGGCAGTGCGGATATATAAAAAACGACGGGGCTGCCAATTTCTGCGGATATTAAGAGAGATTC